GACCATCATTACATACTACTTATGTAGATATCAGTATCCCACACCACAGTATGATTGAATTGTTTAATAATATTCAGTCAATGTCTATTCTGATTGAATATATCAATTAAAAGATTGGTTAAATTATCAACGTATTGAAGGTCATGATATTTCATTTATAGGGAAAACATATAATGAAATCTTACTACTTGACAAGTTTTTAAGCTTTACTAGTCACAGTATCCTCATTAGAATTCCAGGAATCCTTTCTCTTGAAATTAACCAATAGTAAGGATGAGATAGAGTTCAACCATATGACATATGTGACACTGGAAGATGTTTGATATTCTCATTTTTTTTAAATACTGAACTTTTTTTGAATATCAGTATAGGGTTGTGGAGATTGTTGAGTTTTAATGGAGATCATGAACTGATCAATGTTGGACCATCATTGAAAACGTGAAAGCACTGGACGGACGTTTCATCCTGGTATGGAACTCCTCAGCAGTAAGCATCCATAACCTCCCATGAAAGAAAGAGAGGTAATTCTCCGAATTCTAGTGAAAAACAGTGACTAGTCAAATTCAACTGTATCAGGCAGGTGTGAGGCAGTTACCCAGCGAAGAAAATAGACAGTAGTTGTTCAATATCGTGGAATAGTTGAATTCAGACATTAACACCAGTGGATGCCGGCTCAATAGTCTACAGGTTAAGTGTTCTCGCGCCAGACTGAAAGAGCTGGATTAAAGTTCCTTTGGTTAGAGTTCGTGGATGTACACTTCTGAGCAGTTCCACACTAGAACGAATTAGCTGTTGAATGTTTCAAGGTTTTCAATGGCAGTCTAACATTGATTAGTTCATATTTTCAATACAATTTTTGAATATATTTAACTTTTCTAATTGTAAAACATATACATATGAAGGAAGAATTTTTTAGAAATCAAGAGTCGATTGAAGCTAGACCATCATGGAGAACCTGGAAGCACTGCACAGCCGTTTCGTCCTATTGTCAGACTCTTCAGTGGCAGTGCACATCCACGATCCCACCTCACGAGATTCGAACACAGGGCCTATCAGTCTCGCGCGCGAGCGCTTAACCACTAGACCACTGAGCCGGTCGGCATCCAACGGTGTTAATGTCTAACTTCAACCAATCCACGAAATTGAGCAGCCATTGACCAATGTGTTCAGTGAGTTGATATCTCCCAACAGATCTGGTTGAACTCCACTGGTTAGAATCTCGCGAGGCGAGATCGTAGATGCTCACTGCTGAGGAGTCCCACAAGTTAAAAGAAGTGCTTGAACATACTTTTTCTGGATGGGAAGTTACGGCTGTTTGATTCAAATATCTATTGTTTCATCCTTCTTAAGGATTCTTAGTCTGACGAATATTGGCGGATTGTTGTTAACACAATATATTATTGCAGATGATTGCTCAATATCGATTGTATGAACCTGTTTGTATTTAGTGAGCGAGAATCGAGCTATCAACATTTCCAATCATCCCTTTGCTTCAATACACTGATAGGTATTGGAGAGCAGGAAAATACAAACTCCTAGCATGTTTACCAGTATAATGACTGTACATGAGAAGTTAAAGTGATAGGTACGGAAAGAAGTGGGTCAGTCAGTCAGTCAGCTATAAGGTAGGACCAGGCACATATATGCATCGGTCCAAGTTGCCATATCTCGTTAGCACAACAAGATCAACACCGGATTCATAGAAGTAGTTAATTTAGTGGTGGTAATATATACAAGATAGGTTGAATATAAGGATAAAGTATAGGATGGAAGAGAGATACGAAGCAATTTTAATCTCAAGGTATAAGGGAAGATAAAGAGTGTATACGCCTGCCCCATTGTGATCGATTCTGAGCCATGTCACACAGAATATCCAACTATTGGTTACGGACCCCAACCAAGTAGTCTGAACCTACCAACATGGCTTAGACTAAAAGTTAGTGACTTCAAGCTCTGATGCCACGTTTTGGTTTGGCCGCCCCTAACTCTCTTCCAACCATCCCCTACACCAGTCAGCATAGCGCGTCGTGGTAATCGGTGTTCAGGCATACGTAACATGTGGCCCAGTCGATGAAGATTCACAACTTCATCAACTGATTTACCATCGTTCCCTAATACCTTCAGTCTAACCTCACTTTTACTTACCCGGTGATCCCAGCAAATGCGAGCAATATTTCTAAGGCATCTGTGGTCAAATACCAGTAACTTACAAGTATCGTCTACTTTTAATAGCCATGTTTCACAGCAGTAAAGTAATTTATCTTTCAGTCTTGGAATAACCATCAAACGTGTAAAATACAGTAGTTATCATTAACTTTGTTATAGAACTATGGTTAGATGATTCAAGAAATGGGTAAATATTTGGGTTCGTTGAAGACTATTTTTGACATGTATACATCATATGATCTAGACAGGTAGAAAAGAAATTGTTTAGCATAAACTGACTGATTTGTTTTTTATTTTGAAATTATGAAACAACAACTTCATGATGTCCATTTGTTAATCAGTTAAAAATAAAAAACAATAATAGTACTTACGCCTGTTACACCCTGTGGAGGAGCATAGACCGCTCACCATTATTCTTCATCCAATTCTGTCCTGGACAATCTTTTCCAGTTGTTTCCAATCATTATTCATTGTTTTAATGTCTGCTTTTGATTCCCTATGCAAGATGTTACATGGTCTCCCTGTTTTATATTTCCCTTCAGGATTCACAGTTAGAACTTGTCTCGTAATACAGTCTGATGATTTCCATAATGTATATCCTACCAACCACCAAATTATTTTGTTGATTTTCTCTTTAGCTGGAAGTTGTTTCTGTTCTTATGATCTCAATCGAAACTTAATCTCTATAACCATATACTGATAATTATCATGTACTCACTGGTGACTAGCTTGAACACAGATTTCCTGGAGTTCTAGTGATAAGCTGTAATCAGTGGAGTTCAACTGTGTATGGTGTAAGGTAGTCACTCATTGCAGACAATAGAGGACGGTTGTACAATATCGTGAATTGGTGCCGACTCAGTGATCTACAGGTTAAGTGTTCATGTGTGAAAGCGAAGGTCCTGAGTTTGAGTCATTTGTGAATGATCGTGGATGCGTACTGCTTAGGAGTATGATACTAGGACGAAACAACCATCCAATCTTTCAAGGTTTTTAATAGTGGTCTATCATTAGTCTATCCATAAACTCAATCAATAAAACGTATTGTAGTGTTCATCTTTTAGATGAAACATTGATAAAAATGGCGTACTTATGGTATACATTCATTTTGATGGCTTAAGCAAGGTTTCGTGTAGTTCGTAATTAACTTTTTATATCTTCTTGAGATTTCTTTTCGTGGAGTTATTTTTCTTACAGAGATCTGTAAATGGTTACGATTGATTGGTCACTAGGTGGTGATCAATGTCATGTGTGCCAGGTCCTTCTTAATGCAGATCGAATCCTATCGATCAAGTTTCAATATGGTCATTAGTTTAGGTGATTCGACATTTCGTGCAATATGTTGAAATTGTGATTGGAGATAGTCGACAGGAAACTTTGGACCTAGGTTTCATGCTATTTGGTACTCATCAACAAGGTGTATTTGTAATCTTGAGGGAATTGATGCATGTATACCAAGCAAGACTGATCAACAATTTCAGTCGAAATATTAACAAATGGATCATATAATCCATATCAAAATGATTTGAAACACATACCTGTTTATCAGGTCAATGACAATCTGGATTTAATAGTTAAGTAGATAACACGATGATGTTTGAAGCAAACGGTAGTGGGTTTAAGTCCAGGAGTGAAAATCGACTCTAAGATGCAAGTACATCCAGTTCATAAGTCTTTAACAAGATAAGAAGCATATCTCGGATTCCATTGCTCGTCACATTTCATCTATTCTATACAAGCGATAATAGTATAATCGATAGACAAAGGGGTAGTTGAAACTATCAGTTTTTATCCAGCTGTTTTCATTTTTCACTTCAATTTGTTACATCCAACGATTCTCATCTAAATATTCTCATTGAATTATTGCTTTACTCTCATTTCGATTGATTGCAAATCATCCGTTCTGTGGTTTTCGGGACATCCCAGATATTTAATTTTGTTCGTACCTGGTGAATTACTTTATTCGTGTTGTTCGTTACCATGACAACTCGAGTCCTCGTTGACTTCACAATAAAATGATTAATTACCGCCGGAAAAACCACTTCAATTCTAGTAACATACCATCAAATAGCACGTTGATTCTATTTTTAGAATAGGCATATCATCTACCTTATATAAAAAGAGTTCAAAGTGTGTCACAATTAACATTGATTATTATTTACAAGCATTTTTCTTAGTTGGTAACTTTAAAATATACATACTATCAGTTCGGTTTTTCTCATGATAGGACAATTCTTTGTTGAATAGAACATGAGATGTTCAACAGTTGTAAGCTAACATCTAGTCACGACGGTAGCATTTACCTACACATGACTTATCGAACTTGCGTGTCATAATTAACCAATCAAGTTTTACTAGATGAAACATTTAATCTATTGGGTTCTACCAAACCAGCTGGGTTGGTTGAAGAACGATAAGATTAAAATCACTGAACTTATGATCAGAGAGCGATGTTACACTACTGACTGTACAGAAGTATAATGACATTAAGGTGTTTCCTTCAGGTAATCAGCGTTTAAAGATATACTGGTTAAAAAACGTCAGCACTAGAAAATTTCTATTCTACCTTACACTACAGATTACTGTTTCTGGCAATAACATATTTTAAAGTACAGAGCTAATACATTACAAAATTCTTACAGTAAGGTCATGCATGTACTACCGACCTAGAGCAATTATCCTTTAGGCTCTTCAATCACTAAGAATCCAGTCTCTTGTACAGATAACTCAAGAAGAAATATTGTTCCATGGTATAGGTAACCGGGAATTGACAACTGTCATCATATCTTTAATAGTAAAACATAATATATATTTTTCTTTTCATTTCATTATAGTTTGTAAAAGTAAATATACTTGGAGAGATATTTCGTTGCCATGGAAAATTTTAATGAAAAATTTCAATCCAAATTGTACTCATATTTTAGGGAATTTAATTATCTCCGGAGTAGATGAAGGTAAGTGAATGAATTCCAAAACAACAGTAAGTTCTTGTCAGTGGTTTCATTTTAGTTTTAACATATCACTAGTTATTACTTGGTGATTGATAGGTTTGACGGTCATTTCGTCCTATTGTAGGACTCCTCATTGGCAGTAGGCTTCCACGATCCCGCTTCAATTAATTCATGATCTCAACTATTGAAATTACTACACTATCCACAAAACCTCTTTCTGATATTAAACTATGTATTAGTTAATAGCTTTGAAAAACAATTAATGAAAGAGATATCATACTATACAAGATTACTCTAATCTAATATTCACCTATTAACTATCCAGGGATTTCATTCATCACTAATACAATTCAAACAAGCATCTTTCTTGGTTAATGTATTATGTAAATTAAGGTGAATTATGCATAATGCAATATATATGGGATATGCTAATATATACTGGGAATATTAGTTAGACTTTGCTTCAACATACACATATACATTAGCTGAGTCATATTACAATGACAATGACAATTAAGAGTGTACATAAAGTGAAGTGAAAAACTAAAAAAAAAATATGCAAAATAATGTTTTCGGTAATAAAAAAGGTAAATTGTTTGTACTACGGATAATTAGTAACCATGGTTACGTAATAGGATACACAAAAAGGTAAGAATCTTCATTTCGAAAAAGAGATTTTCTATAAAAAGTAAGATTTGAAGTTCAAAAGATAGTTTATCATTATGTAAACAAGAAATGGAAGTCCTAGATAGCTATCTTGTTCTCGTTCGAGATTTCTTACTATTGGATATCAGTGAACGTATTAGGAGTTTCTCATTCCCATATATGCTTGAGTCATGTTAGCAATCTTGACAGGTAAGCCCACTTTTTTTCATATGTTATTGTAACAATGAAGACTATGATTGATAGATGGTGATCTCCGACATGAAATGATGAGATGTAATGCAGTACAATACAAACTGCTAGAACCTATTCTAAACGACTTCTAGGGATTTAGAACACAGATACTAACAGATTATCTTGGTAAAATATGACAACTATACATTGAATACTTCATTCGCGAAATTCCATCATTCGTTCTTTACATTCTGTATGATTCTTCCAGTTCACAATTCCTTCCTAATTTCCTTTCTGTTTTCTTTTCAATGTGATATTCTTAGTTTTCTGCTGTTAGAGTTTCAACTTTCGGTTGGTTTACATACTACTTATATCTATCTACATAAGTAATATGCACCACAGACTTGCAAGTTCCACGAGTTATCTAAAAATAGAATAGAATTTAAAATGTAATTTTTCAAAGTTAAAACCATTAGTCAATTGAAGCTAGACCATCATGGAAAACCTGGAAGCACTGTTTGAAGGCCGTTTCGTCCTGTTATGAGACTCCGCAGTAGTGCACATCCACAATCCCGCCTCGCAAGATTCGAAACCAGGACCTACCAGTCTCGCGCCAGAGCACTTGACCGACAGACTGCTGAGCCGGCATCCAATGGTGTTAATGTCTAACTTCAACCAATCCAAGATTTTGAGCAACCGTTCACCAATTGTCTTCAGTGAGTTGTTATCTCACAACAGACGTGCTTGAACTCCATTCGGTTAAGTGCTCTGATTCTCATTGAAAGAGGTCTTGTTTTAATACTTCTGTTCAAAGATCATCACAGTAAAAAAAGTACTTTAAACTGACTTATTCAGGGAGCAAAAAAACTCCTTCATTTAGATTAAAGAAATGTCAGTAAGTTGATTTCCCTAATAGCATAGACTGTAATCTTTGGTTGACTCCACTGAAGTATCCCTTTAAGAAGTTGCGTCCGGACAACGATATTAATGAAAAGTCAATTAGTGGGGTAATAACTAGATACTTATATTTCAAGTATTCAAATATGAGCATCAAGCGACTGGAACTACCTTGAAACAAATCGTTTATTCTAAACATAAGTTAGTATATATATATATAACAGAAAATGGACAAAACATCACAAGGATGCATAAATAGGCAAATAGGGAAAACGTACTTAAAAGGTTGCATGGGTGAATGATAATTAGTAATTGACGAGAATGGATACAGAACATGGTTAATAGTATTAACAAAAACAAATATATGATGATTATCAGTACATAGTTGGATGCCAACTCGGTGGTCTACAGTTTAAGTGTTCACGCGTGGCACTAAAGGTACTGGGTTTGAATCTCATATGCAAAATAATGGATGTGAACCGCTGAAGAGTCTCATACTAGGACGAAACAGCCTTCAAATTTTTTCCGGTTTACAATGTTGGCCTAGCATTGTATGACTCATGACTTTAATCAAAATATATGATGATATCTCAGACAAAAATAAGTTTAGAATGAATTTTCTGTTACATAATTTATTTAATTTTACCCTGTTTAAATAAACGGATGAATTGTAAGCAAAAATGGATAGTGGCTAACAGTGGAATCTAAGACGTGCGTTTCTTCCTATTTGGGACTCGTCATATGGATCTACCTGCATCTCAGTCATGTTGATGTTCACTCTGAGACTCGAACCCAGTACCTTCCGCTTTAAACGCCATCGCGTTATCCACTTAGCTACCGAGTCCTGATAGCCAATTGCTTTTGCAATAGAGTGAAGTTTAAATTAACTTGGTATTGTTTCTTTGAATCTTACCATTGATGTTTAGGACTGAAATAGATCAGTCTCTAATTGATCATATTTGCATGATGTGCATATTGCCTCGATATCGCCTTAACTCACAAGCATTATAAGCAAAGATGGATAGTGTCCAGCAGTGGAGTCCAAGTTTGAAGCGCGTTTCGTCCTGTGTGGGACTCTTCAACTGGATGTACCTATATCTCAGACTTGTTCATGTTCACCCTGTAACTCGAACCCAGTACCTACTAACTCCTGATAGATGAATTCTTTGAATACCTATGAATGTCTTTATATACTATACAATCAAATTAGATCAGAATTATACCTTCTTTTTTTTCTTTTTTTAAGATGATGATGTAACCTTATTGGAAAATATAGAAGAAATTTCAGGTTATTTAGTTATATATGGAGTTGGTCGTAAAGAATTACGTTTATCCCATTTAAAATTAATTAAAGGTCATGAATGGATCATATTTAAATCAAGAAAAGTTGCATTACTTGTTGTAAGTAATTATAAACAGAATGATCTACTGTCATCTTCAAATGTATCATCACAATCAACTTCATTGGTTAATGATACTGGTAAACAAAGATATGGTCTTAGTCATTTACAATCATTAGAAATGACATCATTTATATGTAAGTGTGAATTTGGTAATATGATCTGATTATTCTGTATTATTGTTATCAGAAGGGGGTTTTGTGAAGATTTGAGTAATTTTATATCGTTGATATCATGAGTCAATTGAAACTAGACCAACATGGAAAACCTGGAAACACTGTTTGACGGCAGTTTCGTCCTATTGTAGGGCTCCTCAGTAGTGCGCATTCGCGATCTCGCCTCACGAGATTCAAACCCAGGACCTAACAATCTCGCGGGCGAGCACTTAGACCACTGAGTCGGTCGGAATCCAACGGTGTTAATGTCTAACTTCAACCAACCCACGAAATTGAGCAGCCATTGACCAATGTGTTCAGTAAGTTGATATATCCTAACAGACCTGGTTGAACTCCACTGGTCACTGCTTCTCACTAGAACTCCAGGAAATACCTTTTGAAGCCAGCCACTAGCGAGCATATGTTGATTAATATCAGAATGGTTGCTCAATTTCGTGGATTGGTTGAAGTTAGACAACAACACCGTTGGATGCCAGCTCAGTGGTTTATCGTTTAAGTGCTCGCGCGCTAGACTGATAGGTCTTGGGTTCGAATCTCGTGAGGCGAGATCGTGGATGCGCACTGCCACTGAGGAGTCCCACAATAGAACGAAACGGCCTTCAAACAGTGCTTCCAGGTTTTCCATGATGGTCTAACTTCAATTGACTCATGATTTCAACTATATAAAATTTTATTGTTACTTCAGATTCTGAAGAACGGATAGAAAACACTCCTTGAATTCTACTGCTAACCAAAAATCTGTCCATTACATAAAAGTTTCTATAAAGAAAAACTAGCTATGTTGTGATAATCTGCAGAGGATCTTCATAGGCCAACAAAAGCTGGCTAAAATTTAGTCACGGTTGCTAACAATGGGGTAATTTAAATCGTTTCTGATAGTACCATGTTGTTACATAACACACGAGAGTCTAGAAGCTTTTAATGAAAATATTTTTAAAAAAATAAATAAGTATAATTGATCATAAATATGAGATATTTAATCAATGAATTTACGACTACAATCAGTTCAATGAAAATAGTTAAACGTAAGTTCCATGAAGTACTTTTTTACTTACGTCTGTTACCCATCGTGGAGGAGCATAAGCCACCCACCAGCACTCTCCATCTAACCCTGTCCTGGGTAATCCTTTCCAGTTCTTCCCATTTGCTACTCATCTTTTTCATGTTTGCTTTCAATTCTCTGCCAAGTGTGTTCTTTGGCCTTCCTCTTTCCTGTTTCCCTTCATGATTCCACGTTAGGGTTTGTCTCATGATGCAGATTGGTGTCCATGAGGTATCTTATATTTACAGATACTTTTCAGTATAAGGTTGTGGAGATTATTGAATTTTATTGAAATCATAAACTGATCTAATTTAGATAACTATTAAAAATCTGGAAACACTGAACAGTCTTTTCGTCCTAGTATGACATTACCTAGTAGTGAGCATCCACAATTCCACATGTGGGCCTCGAATTCAGCACTTTCTGTCTTACTCTCGAACGCTTAATATCTAGACCATTAAACTGGAATCCAACGATATTAGTTCGTAATTTCAATCAATTCGAGAGATTGTCCATTGTCTTAAGCGATTAACCACCTGAAGTCCAACACTATTGTACTCTAACGGTCACGGCTTCGTACCAGGACTCTAGAAATTTCATTTCGAACCTGTTAACTAATGAACACATGAAGAAAATGGAAGATGATCACGCAATTTCGTGGATTGATTGAAGTTAGACAATAATACCGTTGGATGCCGACTCAATAGTCAACATATCAAGAGTTTGCACACAAGAAAGAAGGTCCTAGATTTGAGTCCTGAGTGTGGAATTGTGGATGTGCACTGTTTAAGTGTCGTACTGAGATGAAATGTTTGCCGTGTATTTCCATGATTTCTATGTATTATCGGTATGATACAGTTGAAATATGAATTCATCATGTAGAGTAGTTCATCTAAATTGTCAATGTACAAGTTTATTTTACCGAATTGTTTTGTTACTACAAAGAATCAAAAATCAATGATTGTTCTTTGTATCACTATCATGTGCTAAAAACTTTCTGAGTGAATATAGAAATTTGTAGTAAACTATCGATGAATGATTCAAAACATAACAATTCATATTAGTTAGTTACGATGTTGTACTCAACATTCACTGTCCGGATACTATCGGCAACAGCGTTTTATGGGAGAGGATAAACCAGCTTCCAGCTGAAGAAGATATTAGGAAAAGACGTTGGAAGTGGTGAGTGGGACATACATTAAGGAAATCACCAGTCTTCATCATGAGGCAAGCCCTAACTTAGAATCCGGAAAGAAAATTGAAAATTGGTAAACCAAGGAACACATCTCATCGGAAAATAGAAGCAGATATGAAAAGGATGAATGTTAACTGGGAAGAACTGTAAAAAATTACCCAGGACAGGATTGGATGGAGAATACTGGCGTGCGGCCTATGCTCCTCCACGATGGGTAACAAACGTAAGTTACAATGTTGTATTGTTCATTGTTGATATTCAAAAATCTCTTATCTATTCTTATTTTATTTTAGCTGTTGTACAACATGGTATATATTTTTATGATAATCCTGGTTTATGTTATACACCATTTACATTAAAATGGGATGAAATGATTGAAAGTTCCGAATTACAAACTATAGATTTATATGCATTACATTCTAATGATAATATAACATTATGGTTAGAATATTGTCAATGTAAATATTTAAATAAATGTATGAATATAATGAATAATACAGAGAGAAGTGAAGAGCTATCATCAATCAATGTATCTCATATACTCCAATCAAAGTATATATATAATGAATTATTAAAGAATACTGATGATGAATTGAAGGGACGAAATATTCAAAAAAGAGATATTCATATTGATTCAATGAATCAATCAAGTGAGTTTAATCATTTAATGTTAATATAATTAATTGCCCCTGAATGTCCTGGAACGGCCAAGAGTAGGGAGAGTCCTTTCTCTCTCTCCAAACCAATCGTGTACATGGGCTTCAGTATCCTGAAGGAACGAATGGCGTATGAACCAACTGTTGGTCACCGGCTACTATGGGACTGCATCTCCTCATGATGCTCCACTGCCTTGTGGATCAGATTTTCTGGTCAAAGGCTCGGGTTGTGGCCCCCTAAGAAAACCACCTGCTTCAGTCTGGGCAACTGGGTAGTATCACAGCCCTCACACAAATAAAATGAGATTTGTGAAGCGCATATGTATCTGGTGCTTCCTTGTATCAATGTTTATGTGTTTAAATAAATAAATAAAATATAATTAATTATTATCTATCTAAATAGTAGAAGTTATTATTTTTGAGGATATTAGTTAATTGAAACTAGACCAACATGGAAAAGCTGGAAGCATTGTTTGACGGTTGTTTCGTCCTATTGTGGGACTCCTTAACAATACTCATCCACAATCCTTTCTGATTTTAATCAGTATATGCTTAATAGTGACTGGCTTCAAAAGGTATTTCATGAGGTTCAATTGAGAAGCGGTGACCAATGGAGTTCAACCAGGTCTGTTGTGAGATAGTAACTCACTGAAGACATTGGTGGATGTATTGCTCAATTTTATGGATTTGTTGAAGTTAGACATTACCACCGTTGGATGCCGGCCGGCTCAATGGTCTATCGGTTAAGCGCTCTTGTGCATGACTGATAGGTTCTGGTTTCGAATCTCGTGAGGCGAGGTCGTGGATGCGCACTGCCACTGAGGAGTTCCACAATAGGACGAAACGGCCATCAAACAGTGCTCCCAGTTTTTCCATGGTGGTCTAGCTTCATTTGATTCATGATTTCAACTATAAAATTACCAAAATCTCTACAAAATCCCCTTCTGATACTAAACCAAAAACAACACAATACGGAAAGTTGGGTGATAAAACACTTCTTGAATATGTAAACTCATTCGATATTTGTGTTGTTGTTTGCGTGCAGTATAATTGTCAATAAATTTTCAAGACAATTTAAACTTTACTTGGATTCACAGAGTTATTTTTAGTTCATTAAATTATATTACTGATATTATAGCTTAGTAGTAAATAAACTTATGAATGGTCAGTATCTGAGTGAACAGATTACATTCTCATTATCAGAAGTTAGGTATTAACAGCATTGGATACCGGCGCAGTGGTCTATCGGTTAAGTTCTCTGGCGCGAGACAGGTAGGTCCTGGGTTCGAATCTCGCGAGTGCGGGATCGTGGATGCACACTGCTAAGAAGTCCCACAATAGGACGAAAAGACCTTCAAACAGTGCTTCCATGTTTTTCCATAGTGGTCTAGCTTCAGTCGACTCAGGTTCTCAACTATATAAAAAAAGATTACTCTAGTCAATCTTTTTTATTTTTAATAACAGTTGTAGACACTGTCAGCGAATTTCATCAAGATGATTTGAATACAATCAATCTTTCATCATATGAACAAACTACCCATCCAATGTCTCAAACTGAGAACATCAATAAAGATCCTGATCCTTTGAATTCAAATCAAATACGATCAAACAGTTTATCTAATGTGAACGAAGATACATTGGAATATCAAAATATGGTTCAAAATGATATATTCATGCCAAAAATAGGTTCAAAGTTAAATGAAATGTACATTGATGATAATAACTTGGCCTCAGATACTATTGATGATGAAACAACTACAGCTGCTATGGCAACACCATTTGAAAATTATACTTCAAGTGAAGGTAAGTTAAAGAAATTGAGAATATGTTCATAGTTGAAAGCGTGAGTCAATTGAAGCTAGACCACCATGGAAAACCTGGAAGCACTGGACGGCCGTTGAAGTTAGACATTAACACCGTTTGATGACGGCCGGCTAAGTGGTCTATCGGTTAAGTGCTCTGGCGCGAGACTAATAGATACTGGGTTCGAATCTTGCGAGTGAGGGATCGTGGTTGCGCACTGCTGAGGAGTTCCATAATGGGACGAAACGGCCGTCCAGTGCTTCCAGGTTTTCCATGGTAGTTTAGCTTCAATTGACTCACGCTTTCAACCATGAAAATACTAAATCTCCACAAAATCTCTTCTGATAAATTGAGAATAATTGGAAAAGATATAGTATTGGTATACTTATGGTAACACTCCTACGATTAATTGTTGTCAAACCCTTTTATTAACTTATTTAACAGACAATGTTATTCGGACGGTAACAATTCGTCTATTTCACAGGTGACAACCTACGCGCACATATCCCTCTCTAGTTTAAATGGTAATCGCTTAGATATCGCTCGATAAATCATTATCTTTCCCATATATATGCGCTCAAATCCTTATATTAGCCTTTGTCTTGCTTCTCTCGGCCTTGATTCGATTCCAGAACGCACATGTCATCGTATTCGAAACTCGTCAGCTGGATTTATCTTCATCCCAGAGTTGGTGTTCATATGTGAAATAAAATTCTCCCCATCCTACAAGACAGTGGCTACCTGGAATCAGTAGCTAAGTCAATTTGAAGTCGTCTTTTCTATGGGTTTCAAAATTTTGATACGAAATCTGAACACTTAAATATTGCTTAATAAATCCTTCTCTTTCCTATTTATATATGCGTTCGAATCCTAATAATAACCTTTGCTTTGCCACTCTTGGCCTTGATTCGATTCTAGAACGCACGTCTCATCGAATTCAAAACTCATTAACTGGACTTATCTTCATCCCAGCGTTGATGTTCATATGTGAATTAGAATTCTCCCTATCCTTCAAGACAGTTGTTAAGTGTATTACGCTATAGCCTATGGCTATTAAGATTGAATGCATAATATACAATGACACTTCAGTGATCATATCTCGATGTATGTAAGAAGAGAAAAGGCTGAAATTCTCAAAATACCTATATAATTTAAACGGATAAGGAACTAACAAGAACAGATGTCAGCTACTAATCTTCGATACTTCATAAAGGATGCAATCACCAAAAAAGGCAGCGATGATCTTAATTTAGGTCAAATCAATACATAACGAAGAGTACATATGTTTCACTGATAGTTCATTTACGATTACTTCATCATATTATACATTGATGGTTTAAAATTGAAAGTTCACCTGTTAGTTTTAAGTAGTATATATAGAATAGTAAAAATTACGTAAAACTAGCTAATTTATAAGGACGTTCTTCTAAATTTGAACGAATAGTTTTACAATACTTAAGCCCCGAATCAGTATAAAACATTGAAGAGAAATAATGTATTTGTAGAAATCCCAGAGACTGAATTTTAAGTCAATCCAGTTGACAACCTCGCCCAAGCTTCTTCAAGGAAATATAATTAAATATAAAGAGGTACATGGTTCTTCAGTCAACTGTATAGGTCATTCCGTGATGTTAATCATGATCTATTTAGTATACAGTTAACAGAAGAACCATGTGCCTTGAAAAATCTTGGATCAAACTGTCAACCGAAATGTTAGACTTACTTCAAATTCAATCTTTGAGATTTCTACAACTATATTCTTCCTCCCTAATGAACCAGCTAATTAATTTGTCAGAAAGGAGTTTTATGGATATTATATTAATTTAATAGCTGAATTCATGAGTCAATTAATGATAGCTCACCATGGGAAACATGGAAGCATTGGACGGCTATTTCATCCTAGTTTGGGACTACTCAGCAGTGCACATCCACGATCCCGTTTACAGAATTCGAACTCAAGACCTATCGGCTTCGCTCACGAGCGCTTAGCTTTTAGACCACTGAGCTGGCATCCAACGGTGTTCAACCAACCCACAATATTGCCCCAATGTTCACCATTGTCTTCACTGAGTTACTATTACATAACAGAGCCGGTTGAACTCCAGTGGTCACGGCTTCTCACTAGAACTCTTCGAATCACTTGATCGTGGATGCGCACTACTGTGAAGTAGTATACTGGAACGAAACAGCCGTCCAGTGCTTCCAAGTTTTCCACGGTGAACTAGCTTTAATTGTCTCATGAATTCAACTATTAAATGGTAATTTATTTATAGTTTAAGTAAAATTCATTTTCCTTTTAGAGATATGATTACGATAAGTAAATAATGCGATTATTATTTCCGTTTTTTGAAGTATGTTAAATCATGTAATTCTTGTGAATTAGGGCTATACCTAGGCAATCCGCTCAGTGTTCACATATGCCAATAAGAGACTGACCAGCTGCAGTCCTAAACATCAATGAGAAGATTCAGATAAACAATACCAAGTGAATTTAAACTCCACCTCATTGCACAAGCAAGTGGCTATCATGACTCAGTAGCTGAGTGGATAACGTGATGGCATTTGAAGTGAGCGATACTGGGTTCGAGTCTCAGAGTGAACACCAACAAGTCTGTGATGCAGGTGTATCCAGTTGACGAGTCCCAAATAGGATGAAATGCGCATCAAACTGGATTCCACCGCTAGCCACTATCCATCCATGCTTAGAATGCTTGTGAATTAGTGCTATATCGAGGCAATACGCATAGTATGCACATATGCCAATAACAGACTGATCAATTGCAGTCCTAAAAATCAATGGGAAGATTCAAATAAACACTACCAAGTGAATCTAAACTTCACTCCATTGCACAATCAAGTGAATGTCAGGACTCAATAGCTGAGTGGATAACGTGATAGCATTTGAAGCGAACGATACTAAGATAAATTCTCAGAGTGAACATCAACTTTGAGATGCAGATACATCCAACTGACGAGTCCCAAATAGGATGAAACGCACGTCCTCTATTCCAGTGTTAGCCACTATCCATCTTTGTTCATAATGTTAATAACAAGTAAAGTTTCAGTCAAAATTCAGTTTCAGTCAAAATAATTTAATAGCTTGATTATGATGTGTTTAGTACACATTATAGCATTAGCTTATATTCATAGTAGTTACTAATTACTATTACTATTTATTAAGAGTTACATCACTAGGGTTTTACACTTCTTTCCCCTTTTTTTTTCCTTTTCCCCTTTTTTTTCTGTTCAATAAACAAGTCTTAAATGAATCGTATTCTACCACGACTATGGATGATACAAATATATCAGTGACAACAAACATAGAAACTATAACACCTAGCAACAAGATCTCTGTATTGACTACTTATCCTACAAGCGATTTACCTAGTTATGAAAATACTACCAGTTCTATTATAGTAATATCAAATGAACGTATTCATGATGATAATCATTCTGTTAAAATGAAGCTTTCAAAAATTGATAATAAATCAATTATGAATTATTCAATAGAATATCCAAGTTTACCATGTCATACATCTTGTCCATTAATACAAGGGAAACGTTATTGTTGGGGTCCAGGACGAGATCAATGTCAAGCAGGTAACTATCTTATCTTCTTTTTGATTGTTCAATCCTTTTAATCTCGATAATATTCTTCGTCAGTTAGTGAAATTTTATACATCTATTATTATTATTATTATTATTATTATTATTGGCTTTCTGAAGCAATTCTGCAGCAATTTGGATGACTCTCGGGGTCTTCCACATTGTACGAGCATTCCATGTACCTTGATAAATGATTGCTCTGGTTGTCAGAAGAGGTGTCGGCATCGTGGATTCCGAAGGAACTCGGTTTTCGCCATGAGGCTGCATAACTTTTCTAAATGAAGACTTTCTGACTCCCAGGGCAGAGTTTAAATAGTTTGAATAAATTTTTCTGGTTAGCGTTTTTTTAGCGAGTAAGTTTTCTACAGCATGTGGTTGCTAACCCCAAGCCCAACCCTCCTCCTTTATCCGGTTTTGGGATCAGCAGTAGCCCCTGGAGGGGCTGCAGGCGGGGTTATTATTGATTTTATTCGACATTATACTTTTGGTACAATAGAGAATATTCAGCACAAAGTACTTCAACAAGTTTCCTTTCCTTATTTCTTGATCGAATCTGAAGATAAATATTGAGTGATCGCCAGTTTGGATATTAGTAGTTCAAGAGCTTTCATCTGGATAATGTATATTCTATTCGATGTATATTGCCAGCAACCAAGATGTTCCTGATTGGATCTATGAGGTAACAGGTTGTACAGTGAAATATCGTAAACTTATCATAAACGTACCTAAGTAGGTTATGAGACTAATAATCATAATGAAGTGTTAAAACAAACAAGGAAACAGAAAAATTGTTGAAACATCTAGATGACAGGAACTGGTAGCCCAGATATTCAAACAGGCCGCCTTGATCTAACATTCTTGTTATATCCCGAAGAGAATTATGACTGGTAACTTTGGGTTCCGTTTAATGGGCAATAGGACATGTATATTTCCTATTGTATAATTGTTATGTAACTAAACTATTCATATTCATGTCCCTCGTATTATAAGCTTTATTTTGACCTAGAGATTATTACTGTACGATATACCATTCTTGAGTTATCCCCAGTCTATTGATTACTGTTCCCCCTACTCACGGTCACTTTTGGTTGAATCTTGTACAAATGTTGTTTTCTATTTTATGGTATGATGTGGTCTGTTTGATTAGTATATAAACTCAGTATGTTTGAGAACAGTGATTCATACCATAGAGGCTGAGATTGATGTTCTAGACTTAACTAGCTGGGCTAGGCAGATAAAAGGACTGACAAGTACTCTAGACTGGTCACACAGGTTTTGTGTGTTAACGGTCCGATCGAAAAATAACTGCTCTCTAATTGGCGCTATCGTCACGTCATATATATTAACAGGGCACTCGGTCACAAGTTATAACAATTCCCATTAAAAGCAATTAGAAAAACGTAGTAGATTTAAGAAAAAAATTCTTTTTAGTTAACTTTTCATTATGAATCTATACTTCTAGATCAATACTACAATGTAAAATTTGAACAATGTTTTAAAATCAGAAGGGATTTTGTGGAGATTTCAGTATTTGCATAGTTGAAATCATGAGTCGAATGAAGCTAGATCACCATGGAAAACCTGGAAGCACTGTTTGACGTCTGTTTTGTCCTATTACGGGACTCCTCAGTAGCGCGTATCCACGATCCCACCTCACGAGATTCAAACTGAGGACCTATCAGTCTGGCGCTGAAGTACTCAACTGACAGGGGGTTTTGTGGAGATTTCAGTATTCACATAGTTGAAATAATAAGTCAATTTCAGCTGAGGAGTCCCACAATAGGACGAAACCGCCGTCAAACAGTACTTCCAGGTTTTCCATGGTGGTCTAGCTTCATCTGAATCATGATTTCAATTATGCAAAGTTTTGAAACTGAGGAATATTTAAACAATAAGAAGAAAACTTAAAATGTATTTTGAAGAAGTTACATAGGAACAAGGAAACATTTGTTAGAAACAATTACGTAATTACAAACAGACAAATTTAGATTGAAAAGAAGGAATAGTGTATATGATGATTAATTATACAGAATAAGTTATTATCATTATGGGAATTAGTGAAGATTATAACACTTTCAAAGTTGATTTCATTAGTCAGTCAAAGTTAGACCACCATTGAAAACCTAGAAGTAATGGATGATCGTTTCGTCCTATAGTGAGACTCTTCGGTAGTGTGAAGTGTGAAAATGCCACAATCTCCACTAATCCCTGTACTGTTAATAATCATTTGATCACTACTGACTAGATTCAAGATAGATTTGCTGGAGTTCTAGTCATAAGTCGTGACCAATGGAGTCCAATCAGTGTTGCGTGTAAGATAACTATCCACCCCAGATAATGAATGACGAGTTGCACAAGATCATGGATTGATTGAAGTTAGACATTAACACTATTGAATACCGGCTTATTTATCTACAGCTTAAGTGTTCGCGCGCCGGACCGAAGGACCTAGGTTCTAGTCCCACGTGCGGGATCATAGATGCCCACTACTGAGTAGCCCCATACGAGGACGAAACAGCTGTTTAGTACTTCATGGTTTTCACCGATGGTCTAGCTTAGATCGACTCATGAATTCAACAGTGAGAATAAGTTATAGTTATAGATATGACAATGAAAGCGGGTGAACTCAATTGAAAAAAAGGTCTTAATTTTGTAATTTTATCCTGAAAAATTGAATTTTATGTTTGCACGCCAAAAGACGCTTATTTGATCTACAGCTTACATTTCGCACTCGGAATTCCATGACTTTCATTGTTTGGCAGATATTTTTGTGGCTCTCTCTCAAGGGCATTTCTATCATTGTCTAATTAATCTTGATTTGTATGCTTAGTGACTTGGTAATTCACCCTATAGACCATCGATTCTTAGTTCCATAATTGTTTACCCTTTTGTTGTTGTTCTTGTTGTTGTTTTAGTTCATAAATGTCAAATTCGTTTATGTGAAGGATCTAATTGGTGTTTTCGTACAAAATCTAATGAATATTATCAAAAAAATTTAACTTATTATAAAATGAATTTTATTACATCATCAAAAGAACAATGTTGTCATTCGGAATGTGCAGCTAGTTGTTATGGTCCAAGAGCTCGTGATTGTAATGTATGTTATTTGAATAAGTTGATTATTTCTTTTTTATAAGCAAAGATGGATAGTGGCTAGCAGTGGAATCTAGGAAGCGCGTCTGGTCCTATTAGGGACTCGTCAGTTGGATGTATCTGCATCTCAGAATTGATGGTCACTCTGAGACTCGAAATCAGTACCTTTCACTTCAAATTCTATCGAGTTATCCACTCAGCTACTGTGCACAAGCAAGTGGCTATCAAGACTCAATAGCTAAGTGGATAACGCGATAGCGTTTGCAACGGACGGTAGCGAGTTTGAGTCCCACAGCAAACATCAACTCAGTTGCAGGCACATCCAGCTGACGAGTCCCAAATAGAACCAAACGGGAGTCCTGGATTCCACCGCTAGACGCTGCCTATCTTTGCCTTAAATGCTTGTGAATTAAAGCTTTATCGAGGCAATCTTTACAGTATCCACATATAACCAATAAGAGACTGATCAATTGTAGTCCTAAATAAGATTCAAGTAAAGAAGATTCAAGTAAACAATATCAATTGAATTTAATAGTTGTTGATGTTTAATTACTATTTGGTTATATTTGTTGCAGATTGATTTCAGGTCTGGTTCCTTTGAAAACCAAAGAGTACTGAAATACTACTTCATCTTAGTATTGGACTTCTCATCAATGCACATCCATGATCCAACCCACGGGACTAGAATCCAGGACTTTCTCTCTCTTGCGCGATATCGTGCTGTTTCATACTCTTCACGGAGGTTTACGTGGAGCCTTGTAGAAACTTGTACTCTCTGGTAAATTATAATCCTAGTCATTCGGTTTTGCCTTATAGGGAGTTGACACTATGCTTTTTCTGCCTCACTTGACATCTGTAACTTTGAAATACTTACATCGATCGACCATTTAGTAGTGACCACCGCAGTGTTTGCTTGGTCTTTTAGTTTTGATCAGGTTCTGTCAATCAAGTTGTAACATGGTCAAGAATCCATCACACTTGTTATCATATTCACTATAACTTGATCTTCGATGTCTGGATATCACCACATAACTATCAAATCATTTATCATGTTATAGCATCTCACGTACAATTGAGTTTATTCATATTGAATGTGGTTAAGCCCTTTTGGTAACTTATTTTACGGACGGAGTCATTTGTACAATAACAACCTATCTATAACTATTGTACCTTTATTATTGTTGCACTTATATGAATATGTATACTTGAGCATTGCCTACTGCTTACGCATATATTCATTCTGCTAGCCTTACTACTAGTCGCCTAATCAATTCGATGATCTATTCATTTCACTATGTATATATATGTACAGTTTAGTCCTGTTCACTAAGTCGTTCGTTGACTCGATCATTCGCTCGCTCATTCGATTCATACACTTACTCATTTGCTTTTCGGAACTACTCTTTCATGCTTGCTTAACGTACCTGTAGTTTTGGATAATTGAGCTTGGTTTAATAATAAACATAATCAACATTTTGAATTCGCCTTCTGATTTATACATCGTTGAGGTGTCATCAAATAACGGTTATCAGGACAAACAATATACAAAGTTTAAAGATAATATTGGATACCGACCATTACAATATAACGTGGCATAAATCCATGAAGTCAATGACAAGTGGACTGAGCCATGTTGGTAGGTGTAGACTACCTGGTTGGGATCCGTGAGATGATAGCAATCGATGGTTGAAGACCTTGAATGACATGACTCAAAATCGTTTGCAATGGCTCAGGTACATCCACTCTTTGTGTTCTGCCAGATAGACATGACGAGCTTAGGAAACCTTACGAAGCATTTTATCCAATCTAGAAGGTTTGCTAGAAACATCACGAAAGTGAAAAGTTACATGCTGATGTTCTGATTGGCTGGTTACAACACTGTTACTATGCTTAGTAGCACTCCAGAATTTTCAGGAAAACTCAAGGACTTCTAAAATACTATAAAAACCGTATATGTTCTGTACATAAATGAACCTTTGGGGTAAATTGCTTCTATCATATCTTGCGCCTTTTCTCTCGTGTTCAAGTCACTGTGTAGTTCTAGCTTGGGGTTTACGAGACTAGCTTAGGATCGGAGTATAGAGTTCAGTTAACAAGACTTATCAGGAAGTTAGGTCCAAGTGAGATAGACAGGTAATGTAATTTGATTTCGCTTGTGAAATCACGTGACCGCTCATTCTCGGAAACCGTTCAGTCAATGAGCCAACTGTTTGGAGATAACTCCTCATTGTTCAACACACGTTGCTGACGTCTGAAGCTGGTTATGAACGAAGACTCTGATTTGTTTACATATGTGGCAAAGTCAACAGCGAATGTGAACGCTTCCAGTTGAAGTCCTTAACTGAAGATCAGTTTAAAACCCTCATCCTCATTTATAGTCTCCAATCTCAAAAGTTCAGTGACTTTAGAACACGGATACTTAGGATCAACAAGACTTATCATGAATGCCTTTAGATATCATTACGTTTTTCCTGTTTTATCCTTCTAGGCATGTTTACGCTTATCTAATCGTGGTGTTTGTACAGATTCATGTCCAGCATCAAAAAAATATAACAAATCAACATTTAGCTGGGTAGAAAATCCAGATGGATTATTAACATTCGGTATGATTTGTGTTAAATCTTGTCCAAGTAAGTAAATTAATTAATCAATGGCTGTTACTACTTTAAAATGCCCCTCTATATTATTCTAAGCATTGTCTACCCTTATGTACTTTGTTGGTTGTTGGAAAAGCACTGTGGAAAACAACCTAGTTTCCATTAAATCAAAGCAAGGTATCAGTTCACAAGTTCCCTGACTGTTAGATTTATGAAATCTGGAAGATACAGAATATTCGATTATACATTATAACATGATCAGAAGGGGTTTTTTGTGGATATTATAGTAATTTCGATAGTTGAGATCATGAGTGAATTGAAGTTAGACCACCATGGAGAACCTGGAGGCACTGTTTGACGGTCGTTTCGTCTTATTGTGGGACTCCTCAGCACATTAACATCGTTAGATGATCTAGAATTAAGCGCTCGCGCGCGAGACTGATAGGTCCTGGGTTCGAATCCCGCGGGGTGAGACCGTGGATTCGCACAGCTACTGAGGAGTCTCATAATAGGACGAAATGGCCGTCAAACAATGCTTCCAGGTTTTCCATGGTGGTCTAACATCAATTGATTCATGAATTCAACTATTAAATGAATGGATCCTATTGGCTAGTTTCCTGAAGGAAGAATTCTTCACACAAAACATTAAAGAAATCCTAAACTATTGATTCAATCCCAACATCAACTAAGTGTTTCGACAACCAGACACTATATAGTGAACAAGAACACAAGTTAGGACAATCGAATGCATTTCAGTACAACATTACAGAATATCTCATTTAAATACGAGAACCATGTAGTGAACAGTTAATTTACAAACTATCAATCAATTGTCTCAATCTTGACCATTCCTTCTGCAAGTATCAGTCCATCATCTCTGGTTTCATTGTTCATGCATTTTCGTAGCAATTGCGTGCCGTTCCCGTTCTCTTCTTATTGATCTTCTACTGAAATACATTCAATGCTCGACCATCATCATATACTACTTATATGGATACCAGTAACCCACACCACAACTAAAATGAATTTTCACTACAAAATTTGTAAATTAAAAGTATAAATTATCAGAAGGGGTTTTGTGGAGATTTAGTATTTTTCATAGCTGAAAGCGTGTGTCAATTGAAGCTAGACAACCATGGAAAACCTGGAAACACTGTTTGACGGCCGTTTCGTTCTTATTATGGGACTCCTCAGCTATGAAAAATACTAAATCTCCACAAAACCCCTTCTGATAATTAATATAATCAGATGCTCACTAGTGAATTCGAGAAGTACATCCAAGAGCTCTAGTGAGAAGCAGTAACCAGTGGAGTTCAAACCACGTCTGTCGTGAGGTAGGAACTCACTGAAGACAGTTGGTGAACGGTTGCTCAACTTCGTGGATTGGTTGAAGTTAGACATTAACACCGTTGGATTCCGGCCAGCTCAGTGGTCTATCGGTTAAGGGCTCTGGCACGAGACTGGTAGGTCCTGGGTCCCAATCTCGCGAGTGCGGGATCATGGATGCGCACTGCTGAGAAGTTCCATAATACGACGAAACGGCCATCCAGTGCTTCCAGGTTTTCCGTGTTGGTCTAACTTCAATTGACTCACACTTTCAATTATAAAAGTATAAAATCAAATCTATTTTTCAATGTTCCAATTAGTGACTCTTTATTCTCCCATTTTTTTTGTTGTTTTACTGAGAAACGTATCTACGAGATGATGATCATTGTGTTTCAAAATGTGCACGTCCAGGATATATGGCATATCAAGGTGAATGCATACCATGTCCAAATTCTATTTGTCCTAAAAGTAAGTTAATGATAATCATTATCGTTTCATCTATATGAGATCTTCATTTGATAAAAAACTATATTGGGAACATTTCATTGTTCACAGTTACACATACCCTTGTAGGTCAGGGTAATTTTGCATTGGTTTGCAGGAGAACCAGAAACTATCCAGACTTTCATGTGACAACCCAAACAGTTCAGCTTAATCCCGTTTAACAGGAAAGTCAGACACTGCCCAGGATTAACCCGAGCAGTACAGCTCAATCCCGCCCCATTAGAGAACCAGATACTATATGGGCTTCAACCCTACAATCTGAATAGTACAGATCAATCCTGTGGCTCAACCAGACAGGCATCAAGCACCCTGGTGAACCATTCGCATCATTGATATACACATTCACATCACATGTATAATTATTCCAATCAATGATCGCGTAAACCAATTATGCACAGCATTAACAGGTCAAAGTTGACCCATTCCGCTCGCACGACAGTCAAACTTATTATGGTTAGCACTGGCGACATGCCTTACAATGGCTCCAATGACAATGGCTCTTGAGAACATTGAAAATCAACCACCAGTATGAATGAAATCGGTTAACCAGAAAACCGAGCTTTCCACTCGAACAGTCAGCAAAACTTGCCAAAGTAATGCCGAAACATCAACAATGTCAATGTCGAACCTCTAGTCTCACATAAGACCTTCAGCTCTACATGGCAATATAACTTATACTGCATACAACACATATGTAGGGTAGTAAGCGAAATAACCTAAACTGAAGCGTTATGGCATAAAAAAATGCTTAAAAACCCTTTGTCTGGTGTCAGAATACTAATACAAGACCATCAAGATCATTTTTATCGCGTTTTGCAAAATTTTCATTTTTCCGACTTTCCAGACCCTGAGTTTGGGGGTAGTATCCCTATTCAATAGGACGTAATGGCCGTCCAATGCTTCCAGGTTTTCCACGGTGGTCTAGCCTCAATTGACTCATCATTTCAACTATTAAAATACTGTAATCTCCACAAAACCCCTTTTCATCTATGATCATATGCTCACTGGTGACTGACTTCAAGGGATGTTTCCTTGAGTTCTAGTGGGAAGTAATGACCAGTGGAGTTCAACGAAGTCTGTTGTAGAGATATCAAATCGCTAAAGACAATTGGTAAACGGTTGCTCAAACTTCGTGGATTGGTTGAAGTTAGACATCAACACCGTTAAGTGCCGACCGGCTCAGTGATCTATTGGTTAAGTGCTCTGGCACGAGACTGATAGGTACTGGGTTTGAATCTTGTGAGACGGGATTGTGGATGTGCACTGCTGAGGAGACCCATAATAGAACGAAACGGCCGTCCAATGCTTCCAGGTTTTCCACTGTGGTTAAGCTTCAATTGACTCATAATTTCAATTATATGTATATATCATTATTTGTTAACCACTAAATGTTCTTATTTATTTCAGTTTGTACATTAAATGAAATTGAGTCAATTAAAGGAATTGATTATTTACATCGTAAATCACTTCATGCTATGGAAAATTGTACAGTATTTGAAGGTGATATTAAATTATCAATGCAATCATTTATTGGGTAATTTTCACATTGTGATTACATAATATGTCAGTAGAAATTAATAAAGTTATCTTCCTTTATTATACAAACTTTCTTTTAGTTTGCTGTCATTCTTCGTTTAGTTCCAGTGTAGGACTCCTTAGTACTGAGTATTTACCACTTCATCTTCGGCAATCAAACCCGGAATCTTTTGGTCGAGAGAGTGAATCCTTAGCCAACAAACCATTGTGACGGTATCCAGTGGTGTACAAGTTTGAATGAAATCAGTCCGTCATATTACTCAACCATCTTACAATGCTTTTGGTGGGTACCTTCCTCACATAAAACACGGATCAGCTTACCTCCTTAATACTGTCCAGGACACCTATGTTCTTAATGATTATCTAACTAATATGCATTCTCATAGTTCATAATACAGAGCAAAATGCAAGCTAACTAGGTGAACTTTATGCTGTAACTGAGTAACTTGTTAATTTTGAAGCTATTTTTCTTCTTAAAATATGCAAACACCTTACTGAAGAAGGTACACATTCAATCATTTTGATCTACCGAAGGTCTGTTCCTCAAACATTCAATAAGGACTAGTGCTCTTTACGGGATTCAGCGATACATCAATCAGCTTCATAGTATGACATGTTACCACTAAATTGTTTATCATTTAAAAAGATTAAATAAAGAATAACACTAGTCACTGTTCAGTAATCAGTCATTAATGACAACTTTGTCCTATAGTTTATCAATGGCAAAAGGAACAGCTTAGCAGCGAAACCTCAGACTTTGAAACTGAGTGATGAGGATTGAAATCTCATAAATAACACAAGTTCCCTAAGGATTAATAGTATTCCTTATTGAAAAGTACAATGTAGCACAAAACATAGATCCAGAGTTTCTTAATGATTACCTCTAAACACAATGTAAGCTAAATCGAATCACTTCAACCGGAGAACATATTACAACTCGAACGATAGGATCCTGTCAACATTCAAAGGAAAAAAACAAACATGATATTGTTCATTATTCCACGATCAACTGATTTCAGAAATAGGCATGTATATATTCCTAAATCAAGTTGAAAAATTCTTAACATACATAATATTCAATATTTAATGTTCATCGTCGATTCACAATGCATAGCGAGGTGGGATCTTGAATGAGCACTACCACTGAGGAGTCCCAGTGCTTCCAGGTTGTCTATGGTGATCTAGCTTCAATTGATTCATGATCCCAACTATTAAAATTACTATAATATCCACAAAACTCCTTCTGATATTAATCAACATATGCTCACTAGTGACTGGCTTCAAGAAGTATTTCCTGGAGTTCTAGTGAGAATCAATGACCAGTGGAGTTCAACCAGGTCTGTTGTGACATAGTAACTCACTGAAGAAATTGGTGGATGTATCGCTCAATTTTGTGGACTGGTTGAAGTTAGACATCAACACCGTTGGATGCCAGCACGCTCAGTGGTCTAGAGGTTGAACACTCGTAGATGCGCACTGCTGAGAAGTCCCACAATAGGACGAAACGGCCATCCAGTGCTTCCAGGTTTTCCATGGTGGTCTAACTTCAATTGATTCATGATCTCAACTATTAAAATTACTATAATATCCACAAAACCCCTTCTGATATTAAAAAAAAATAAGCATTTTGTATTTCATTTCTTATAGTGATCCATTTTATAACTTATCACAAATTGATGAAGGTGTAAAATGGAAAGATCTTATCATTGGTTTATCTAAATTAGAATATATAACAGGAACTCTCTATATCAGTGCTGGTTCACATGCTCCATGGATGACTAATTTAACATTTCTATCTAATGTGAAAATAATTGGAGGAAGTAAGACAATCAATTACATACTCTTTTCATATTGTATTTATCCATAAATATGGTTGATCTTCAATGTTAATGACGTTTAGGCTAATTTTGCAGTATTGTTTGTTTGGATCTTCCCATTGATGTTTAGGACTGCAACTGGTCAGTCTCTTAGTGACCATATGTGCATACTGTACGTATTGCCTCGATATAACTTTAATTCACAAGCATTATATGTAAAGATGGATAATGTCTAGCAGTGGAATCCAGTTTGACGCATGTTTCGTCCTATTTAAGTGGATAACGCTATGGCGTTTGATGTGAAAGGTACTGGGTTCGAGTCCCAGAGTGGACATCAACTCTGAGATGCAGGTACATCCACCTGATGAGTCCCAAATAGGACGAAACGCGCTTCAAACTGGATATCACTTATAGCCACTATCCATCTTTGCTTATAATTTAAATCATCGTCTGATTAAATGACAGATGGAAGTCAGGGAGTGGTAGGTAAATGTTTTGTTCTGGTATGAAACTTCTCGGGAGTATACGTCTACAACCTTACCGGTAATAGAACTCGAGAACTATAGGTCTCTCATTTAGCGCTTACCGTTTAACGAATAAGATCATCATCAAGTGGTTAACATTTCTTTCTAATTTCAATCAACTCGAAATACAGAAAAAGCATCTTTCAATACAATTGGTGAGTAACTAAATCACATCCAACGTGGCTGGAACCAAATGGTCACAGTTCCATAATATTATTTCCAAAATCATTCCTCAAAATTAGTCACTAGTAATCAAATTATTACAACACATACATTTTGTTGCCAGGTTATCTTTAGATGGGGATTTTGTTCATATGCATAAAGAAGCTTAATTAAATGAAAGATTTGTATAGAACTATTCAATGTATTAATGGATTTCGTTAACTAATAGTGGATGGCATTCTACAGCTAACTAAATCGAAGTTATGCAGTCATTAATAAATAGATCTGGAATAGGCTTGTATTATGCTTGTGAGTAATGGTAAAGATGGCTTGTTGGCAAACTCAAGGGAGCCTCAAGAAGCCAAGAAAGAGTCGAAGACATTCCATCAAATCACCGCTTGAGAAACATTCTAGAATGTCGACGCATAGCTTCCCTATTAGATGAATAAGAAGGATCCCCTATACGCTTATTGGCTTTCCGAAATGATGATTTACTTTCAGGCAAAAACTATAAATACATGAGATTTTTGTATTATATTTGACACTGTGTTGGGAATACCATTCCTATTTACTAGTCTTCTGTCTTCTTTCTTGCGATATTGTGGGTTCGATTGTTCAATTTGTCTAGTAGTACGCGGCATAGCAAGAATCTAAAGCTCTAGATATAGCAGAAATGATAACATACAAAGTCATTCATGTTAAAAGTGAACACAGTAGATTATTGTTATATTTCGAACTTAGATTCTTAGTATGTCGCGTATAAATTGAGCACTCGAACGCTAGAACCTTCCCAAGTAGCGAATGAGAAGGCAGAAGACAAGTGGAATGAATGTTATTCCAAATAGTGTCAATTATGGTATAAAACTGTCAGTAATTTATAGTTTTTAGTAGAAACGAAATCATCATCATAATTATCCAATCCGCACACAGGAGGTTTTTTAGCATTGTCCAATAGGGAAGCTATACGTAGTGATTCTGGAATATTCTTCCAAAATTGGATGGAATATGTTCGACTCTTTCTGAGCTTCTTAGTACTTCTTCAAGTTCACCTGTGGACCGTCCTCATAATTATCTACAACAATGGATAATCTTTACGAAAATTAAGAGTTGTCTGTTTCTGTTAGAAGGTATGATTTATTGCTCAAAGTGATGAGATTAGTAGTTAAGTGACGATTGTTTACAAAAACAACATTATTGACATAATCCCCCACAAAGGAAATACTGAGGTTGTAAGTTACAAACCGACTAAAAACATTTAGATCATTATATTTTTCAATTCAGCGGTCTAAAGATATTTTCCTCAATGCAAGAAACATAAATCACGCTAGCTGACAGATGAAGTTCCTTAAATGTCAAAGAAATGCATACTCAGTTACATTATGTTATAAACGTAAAGATGCCGTCGCCAATTGTTATAAACGTAGAGGATACTAGTTATAACTGGAGGGGTTTTCTTGTTATAACATTCCTTTTACTTTCTACACGTATGTGGGACGTTAATTTGCCTTAGACGAATATCTACACTAGATTCCCACCCAATGTCTATTCTACAGGACTTCAACAGAACTCAGATCAAGAACACGAGATTAGCCTGACTATAATGTCAATATATTTCACACCAAAATCCGACACAAGGAACAGTCCATCAATAAGTGTCCATCAACAAGGTACAGTTCATACATAATAAGGATAGGGGAATATATATAACACATATAATACCTGTCATCTTATCTAATGTCTGACTCATCAAGACAACCAATCACTGTCATTCTCGCCCACACATCACATTATTACCAATATTAGTCACCACCTGAATAGCTCAGTGATAACGTCTCAGACTTTATAGCTTCGAACTAATCAGTAAGCTTCAGTTCTTTCATATTTACAAGATCATTTTACTAGGAAGTTCCTTTAACTGTCTAACATATTAAAATAGTATGCACAATGTCGACTCACTTAGACTAGTAACCATATTATAACTTGATTGATTTAATTTGATAAGCACTAATGACTTGAAAAATCTAACATTGGTTACTAGTATGTGGTTAACTATATATTGTAGAGTATCATCACAAACAAGACCAACTAATCTGAAGGTATCATCGTACGGTATCATCCAGTCGTATTGAAATAACGTCCAGTTACCACACATCACATCAGTTGACCTAGTATTCAAACCGAACAGTAATTTAGCTGGAATCAATTACATCTCAACCATTGACCACAGTTACAACGAAGCGATATCTTGAGCATATTTTTCTGCAGCAATTTGAAAGACTCTTCCGGTCTCCCATATTGTCCGGACGTTCCATGTACCTATAAAAAAATGGTTGTTCTGGTTGTTGGAAGGTGCCTTGGCCTCATGACTTCTGAAAGAACTCGGCTTTCATCATGAGACGTCATAATGATTTCTTCAACTCCCAGGACAGAGTTTAAATGGTTTGAATAATTTCTCTGGTTAACGTTTTTTAGCGAGTTAGTTTTCTACGGGATGAGGTCGCTAACCTCATGTACAACCCTCCTTCTTTACCCAGGCTTGGGACCGGCAGTAGCCCCCGGAGGAGTTACAGGCGTTAAGATTATATTTAGTGTAACTATTTAATTTCCTGATAATGCAATAAACAAATACAGATTTAATAGTTGAATTCATAAATCAATTCAAGCTAGACCATCATAGAAAACCTGGAATCACAGAACAACCACTTTATCCTAGTATAGGACTCCTCAGCAGTGCCCACTCACTATCCCGCCCACGAGATTCGAACTCAGGACCTATCAGTCTTGAGCGCGAACGCTTAACCTCTAGGCAACAGCTGAGGAACCCCATACTAGGACAAAACGGCCGTCCAACGCTCCCAGGTTTTCCATGGTGGTCTAGCTTGAATTGCCTCATGAATTCAACTATCAGATTACTATAATAATGATTCGGACTGGATTTTAATTGAGATATTCTTTCACTAAATGAGATTTGTAATGTTTTACTATTATTCATTCCTTTTCACTTTTATTTTACTACAGTTAGTCCAAATATCCAACAAACGCGAACTGTCAATATAAATCTAAATCATCATTTAGAATTTTTAGGTATGACATCATTAAAAAAATTAGGTCATCCAAGTTTATTAATTACAGGTAATCCACGTTTATGTTATGTGGATACAATTGATTGGACAAGTTTATTAAATGATGAAACATTCGTCGATGAACTACATGACAAAGGTACAAAGATTTCGAAACTAATCAAAACATTCAATATTAATCTTAATAATGATTCATTAACACAAATTATATTACGTCATAGGAAGGATTCTAAAAGAAAACGACCATTTAAAGATTCAACTATTTTTGTTGGGGGAAATGCTCATTTTGAATTTTGTAGTAAGTTTTTCATCTATTTGGTAATACCTTATAGTTATCCCAATATTCTTAAAACTTACTTACTTACGCCTGTTACCCATTGTGGAGGAGCATTGGCCGTTCACCAGCGTTCACCATCCAACTTTGTCCTGAGCCTTCCTTTTCAGTTCTTTCCAGTTGTTATTCATCCTATTCTTAAAATATCCTTATTTAATGCCCTCCCCGTTCCCCCTCCCTCAAAAACAAACTATCAAACAAGAAACAATAACAATGTAATCTCGATATTATCCTTAATGACTTTGGAACAATGAAAGAGTTGTTTCTATGTTAGTTACTTGAAAATCGAATTCGAAAAATTACTTACTTATTTACTTACGCCTATTACCCCTCATGGAGGAGCATAGGATGCACAACAGTATTCTCTATTCAACCCTGTCCTGGGCAATCCTTCCCAGTTCTTTCCACTTGCTATTTATCCTTTTCATATCTGCTTCTATTTCCCCGCGTATTGTGTTCTTTGGCCTTCCCCTTTTTTGCTTCTCTTCCGGATTCCAAAATAGGGCTTGCCTCGTGATGCAGTTGGGTTGACTCTAACATCTACTAACTATCGAATGTTAGTTTTAAAACAATAATGGATTATATAAAGTAGACAGAATATAGTTAGCAGCGAAATTCAGGACACAAGTTTAGCCATATTCAGAGTTTATTAGGTGGTGATTGGAGTGGAAGGTACTATCTTTGAGTTATGATGTCAACATCAACTCGAGGATTCATGTGAGTCAGTAAGTCAGTCACAACATAGAACCTGTTACGTATGTCCATCGGTTCAGTTTACAATACCTCGTTAACGTGAGATCATATCATTAGGCCAAAACTCAGGAAAGTAGAGATAATAACAGTATTAGTGGTAATAAAAAATAATGAGCGTAGAAGATATGATCCAAGAAGATTCAAATTAGTGAAATAAAAACCCGAAAAAGTTATGAGGAATTTTCAATCTCATAAATTGGAGGAAGGCAAGGAACGAATGTACTTACGCCATTGAAAACGATTTTGAGCCATATCATTCAGTCTCTTATCATTGATTACAGCGACCACGCAAACCACAACCAGGTAGTCTATATCTATTAACAAGGTTCAGTTCAATTATCGATGACTTCATAGACTGATGCCATGTTTCATTACGGCCACCTCTGGCTTTTTTCTAATCTGATCTTACAATCTCACCTTTAGAGGTATTAGAGGGATGGATATATGTAATACATGTTACAACCAACTCAGTCGATAAACATTTACTGCCTATTTAACCTATTCCTATCTCAGGTATTTCAGCCTCATTCAGTTGACAAGTACCGAATAGGGTGAAGTATGCATTCTGTATTTCACTGCTAAGCACATTATATGCTATCTGTATTAACTTGCATCATGATGACTATATCGAGGCAATCCTTATAGGATGCACATATTCCGAACGAAGTTGATACAAAACTGAGCTTGTAAAAATATCTTTTTCGTCCCAATGCCTAATAACTATACAAAATCGCACTTCTTATTAGATGAATTATAACATTTTAAACAAAGATGAATAGTGGCTAGCAGTGTAATCCGAGACACGCATTTCGTCCTATTTGGGACTCATCAGCTGCAGATACCAGAAGCAAAAACTCACCATAATTAATACTGTAAAAAAATTTTACAATTAAACTGACAGAATTTTCATAATTTATTCTTATATAACAGAAGGTCGTGGAGCCGTATGTGATGAATTATGTCAACCACATAGTGGATGTTGGGGTCCAGGTAGACAATTTTGTACTTTATGTAAATATTGGTCTATTGAAAATATTGATAATAGTGGAAGAATTTGTGTTGAACATTGTGAAGATCTACCTGGTTTCTATACACCAAAATTGAATGATACACATAGTAACTTGGAACAAATGATAACTGACAGATCAAATATAATGATAGATGTACAAAATCTTTCAACAGCTGTTTATAATAATGAAATCAACAAATCTACTACTGAATTCATTAATAAGTACTATAGTAAAGAAAACAAAATTTTCTCATCAGCACAATGTAAAAAATGTTCAGATATGTGTAGTTTACAAAATCAAACATGTTATGGTCCTAATGATGATCAATGTATTGGTTTATGTCGATTTGTACAAGTAAGTAAACAATATGTGTTTGATCTATGATAAACTACTTAGTTCATATAAGCAAAGATGGATAGTGGCTAGTAGTGGAATCCAGTTTGACGGGCGTTTCGTCCTATTTGGGACTCGTCAGTTGGATGTACTTGCATCTCAGAGTTGATTTTCATTCTGGGACTCGAACCCAGTAACCTTCGCTTTAAACGCCATCGCGTTATTCACTCAGCTACTGAGTCCTGATACTCACTTGCTTGTGCAATGGGGTGAAGTTGAAATTCACTTAGTATTGTTTGTTTGAATCTTCCAATTGATTTTAGGACTGCAACTGGTCAGTCAGTTATTGACATATGTGCATACTGTGCGTATTACAGTCCTCGAAATCAATCGGAAGATTCAAACCAACAATGCCAAGTGAATTCATACTTAGTTTATAGTTGATTTTATAGAATATTATCATCACTTCATTGACAAACATAGGCCTCCCACAATCATTCTTCATCGAACTCTGTCCTGGACAATCTTTTACACTTTTTTCCAGTTTCTATTCATCCTTTCGATGTCTGCTTCCAATTATTGACGCAGTATGTTCTTTCATCTTCCTCTTTTCCTTTTCCCCTCAAAATTCCAAGTTAGGGCATGCCTCGTGATGCAGTTTGGTGATAGACGCGTTTTCTTGTACGTATGATTCAATTTTCAAAATGTACTTTAGCGAGGGTTTCAAAAATGTAGAGAAAACAAAAACATACTGTATTTATGAGGTGTTACCTAAACCTGTAGGGATTATCAGATGATAATTGTGTTTTTGTTAACTGATCGGTATCGGCTGTATCCATCTCCTATGATCTCTCTACAAGAAAGCAACGGACTCAAAGATGCCAATATCTTAAAAAATTTTGAAAAAACTTCAAAATTATACATTTTTTATAGTTTAAATAATGAACTGATGTTAGTTAGACTACTATCGAAAATCTAAAAGGGTTGGTTGGTTGCTTCTTCCTAGTATGACACACCTCAGTGACAGTCCACGTCTACGAGCCCACCACCAAGGGTCGAATCCAGGACTTTCTACACCTCACGAAAATATTCAACTTCTAGACCATTGAGCTGCAGTTTGAAATCCTCATTCATTGTCCGCGATGAAAAACTGTTTCACAATAAAACGAGATTTGTGAATTGATTGATGGTAGACGTGTACATTATTGAATGTCAGCTCAGTGATCTAGACGTTGACTGTTCACGTTTCTTCCTTGGTAATAGTTCGACAAAGATTAGATTCTTATTTATTATAGATCAGAAGGGGTTTTATGGAGAATTTAGTATTTTCATAGTTGAAATCATGAGTCAATTGAAGCTAGAACACCATGGAAAACCTGGAAGCACTGGACGGCCATTTCGTCTTACTATGAGACTCCTCAGCAGTGCACATCCACGCATCCTCTTCTGATCTATATTCATATGCTCATTAATGACTGACTTCAAGAGATATTTCCTTGAGTTCTAGTGAGAAGCAGTGAACAGTGGAGTTCAACGAAGTCTGTTGTAGAGATATCAACTCACTGAAGACAATTGGTGAACGGTTGCTCAAAATCGTGGATTGGTTGAAGTTAGACATTAACATCGTTGAACGCCGGCCGGCTTAGTGGTCTATTGGTTAAGTGCTCTAGCGCGAGACTGCTAGGTCCTTGGTTCAAATCTCGCGAGTGCGGGATCGTGATGCGCACTGCCACTGAGGAGTTCCACAGTAGGACGAAACAGCCGTCCTGTGCTTCGATCTTTTTTATTAGATAATAGATTCTATTCAAAAGATGACATTTCGAATAATATAACATTTCAATCTTCATTAACTTGTTTTTCTTTCAATCAAAGGATGGTCCATTTTGCCGAGCTTATTGTCCACCTAATAAATATACAGACCCAATAACTAAGAAATGCATGGAATGTTCATCAACGTGTACACCGCCTGGTGATATAGAAAATGGTAATATATATATCAATAATAATTTATTGAATCAAAAGATTGAAACCAAACTTAAATATTACTGTACAGGATCAGGTGATTGGCCAGGTAATGGTGGATGTAGTTTTTGTAAACAAACAGTTTTATATTTGGAGCCAAAAAATTCGAATCATCATTTAAAGTGTGCCAATGTAAGTATGAAAATTATCAATCATTTTTATCTGTTCAATAAAATACTTCTATGTATTTTTCTTAGACATTCAATGAAATAGCGTCAACATCTGAACAAAGGATAGGGAGTGAAATAGTTGAACATGTCGACGACTTCACTTAGCTTGGAAGTTTGATCAACTCTATTGAGTTGGTGTCTGACGAAATCTCTGCACCAATTCAAAAAGCTGGTTTGGCTTTCGCCAACTTACGTCACCTATGACGAAGACGAGATATTCTTCTATCAATTAAGAGACGAGTATACTGAGCAGCAGTTCGCTCTGTTCTACTTTAAGGCTGCGAAACGTGGCCATTAAGAGTAGAAGATACTCATAAGTTACTATTATCTGACCACAAATGCCTTAAAAATATTGCTCAAATCTGCTGGAATCACCAGGTAAGTAATAGTGAGGTTAGACGCAGGGTATTAGTAAATGATGATAAATCAGTCGATGATGTTGTGAATCTTCATAGATTGAGATGGTTGGGCCAGTGTTACGTATGTCTGAACACCGATTACCACGACGCACTATGCTGACTAGTGTAGGGGATGGTTGGAAGAGAGTTAGGGGCGGCCAAACCAAAACGCGTCATCAATGCTTGAAGTCACTAACTTCTAGTCTGAGTCATATTGATAGATGTAGACTACTTGGTTGGGGTGTGTGTGTGACTATCGTTACCAATGGTTGGAGACTCTGTGTGACATGGCTCAGAATCAATCGCAATGGCGTAGGTGTATACACTCTTTATCTTCCTTTAAACCTTAAGATTAAAATTGCTTCGTAACTTTCTCCCTTCCTATACTAGATCTTTATATACAACCTATGATTTATATACTACTACCAACACTAAATTAACTACTATGAATCCGGTGTTGATCTTGTTGTGCTAACGAGGTGTGGTAACTTGGACCGATGCATACATGTGCCTTGTCCTATGTTGTAGCTGACTGACTGACTGAAATGAAATTGCTCAGTTTAGAATAAATTATCTGTTTTAGATTTCCTTAGAAAAGATATTTATTATGAAATTTTGTTGTTTTTACGGATGTGGTGAACAATGAAGGCGAGACTCGAACCCATGACCTTTGGTGTCACACGCTAACGTTTATTCTGCAGGCCACTCAGCCGGTGGGACGGAAGGTCCTGTATTCGAGTCCCTCACATGGGATTGTGGATGCGCACTGCTAAAGAGTTTCATACTAGGGTGAAATGGATCTTCAATGGTGGTCAAGCTTACATAGATCAATGAATTTAACTATTAAAATTACTACAACCTCTACAAACCCCCATTCTGATATTATAATTTCCATAACTTGGAGTCATCAACTAACTTCTTCAACTTGATGATAACAAAAAGGACAACCAATGAACATTTAGCAAGGTTCTTTTGAATAATAGTACTTTATAAACATCTTAATAATAAGCATGAGTGTGCATTTTGAAACAGACAAATGTTTCAATATCATTTCCTTGACCATCATTAAAAACCTGGAAATACTGAACGACTGTTTCGTCCTAGTATGAAACTATTCACATCGAAGATCCCTCATCAAGGGGACTCCAATCCAGGACCTTCGGTCTTGCATGCGAACGCTTAATCTTTAGACCACTAAGCAAGCATCTAACGGTGCTAATGTCTGACTTTAATCAATCCATTATATTGCTGAACCCTTCATCCATTGTCTGATGTGAATAACTGCCTCTACCCTACACGGATTCGACTCCACAAGTCACAACTTCTCACTAGAACTCTAAGGAATCCCTCTCGAAGCTAGTCACTAGTGAATACATGATTGTTATCAGAATGGGGATTTGTGGAGATTGTAGTAGTTTGTACAGTTGAATTCACAAGTCATTATGGGGTTTAGAGAAATAGATGACTTCAGTTTACTCTGAGGTTGAAGTTAGACAATGTAAATTACCGGAGGATAACAAACTGATCAAAATTTTATGGACTTCTAGAAAGAAATGAAGGCATAGGGTTTGATTCTTGAAAGGGTTGTAGATTTCCTCTGCTCAGGAGTCCCATATTGAGACGATATATCTGTACAGAGTTTCATAGTTTCCAATGCTTATCTAGTTAAGATCAGTTCATGATGGAAACTATGAAGGAAAATATGAATCAGACTATGACTTGAGTCGATTGTCATCACTCAATCTAACTCAATAATTTTCACTATCCTCCTATTTTAATGATCCTCTTTATAGAGTTGTCCATTTGGTACTTATCAACACGTTATCAACTTACACCATAGAGGTGGTTCCAGTGTAGATCGTCAATCAACAGTTTATTTCAATATGAAAGAACAGGATAGTTCAATGAATCGATTTACTTGGAGTCAAACTGATGTGAATCTTTTTTATAATTTCCCATCAAAAATAATTGATGAAATTTCTCTATGGTTATTAAATCATACTCAACCACAATTATATGGTTTAGCACAAATATGTTTACCATGTAATGAACAATGTCATTCAGAAATTATTCCATCAAGACAATTAAACTTGATAGGATCATCTAATGTTGCATGTTACGGACCTAGTCCAGAACAATGTGTACGTTGTGCTTATGCAAGTTATCAAGGTCGCTGTGTTTCCACTTGTCCATCAGGTTAGATATTTAGTATTTTTAATGATTCATTTATTAGTTATAGGATCTATGAATTACATGGGTATTGTTATGACTTGATCAAGGTCATCGCTAATTTATTATGACCTTACAAATTAAACTCGTGTGACTTATCCACCAATAGAAATACGACTTCTCCAACCTTAACACGGTGACAATCAAGGACATCCAATCGGTATGAGTAATCTCGCGTCCTTATTGGTCCTTAATCCGCCTAGCCCGTTCACTTCAGTCCAGAACACCAATAGCAGCTGCTGTAATGCAAATTATTTATTTCGAGCATACTCTGTTTATATACTAGACAGACAGACCACACCACACCATAAAATAGAAAATAATATCTGTACAAAATCAAGGTAAATGTGGCTGTGAACGTGGGATACCATAATCAATAAACTGAACATAATTTGGGAACAGTAAATCGTATAATAATAATTCATAAGTCAAAATGAAGCTTATCATAAGATGAATATAGTTATACATAATCTAGTTACTGAATAGTTATACAATAGGAATAGATATAGAATAATCGTCCATTAATAGGTCCTGGGAGTAACTCGAACTTGTGTCTTCACCAGAATATAACAGGTATTGGTAGCTCTATGTTCAGAATGCCCCCAAATGCCCTGGTACGGTCGAGAGTGGGGAGAGTCATCACTCCATCTCGAAATACTCTCATATGGCCAGCGAATATATAGCCTCTGTCAGGGAAGTCATACTCACTGCCTTCTCGTGGCGGGGGTGTTGTTTACGAAAGTGAGAGGACGAAGAGCGAATGTCCGGCGCTTTAACCGGGCTGGTGGATGTGGAGGATCCACCTAGGGGAGTTGGAAAACCCTGATCCCAAACCAATGGTGCACATGGACTCCAGTATCCTGAGGAAACAAATGGCGTACGAATCAATCATTGATCACCGGCTATCATGGGACTGCATCTCTTCACGATGCTCCACTGCCTTGTGGATTAGACCTTCAGGTCAAAGGCTCCGGGTGTGGGCCTTTAAGAAAACCACCTGCTTCCGTTTGGGCACCTGGGCAGTATCACATCCCTCACACAAATCAAATGAGATTTGTATGGCGCATATTTATCTGGTACTTCCTTGTACCAATATTTATGTGTTTAAATAAATAATAATAAATAAAATGAAGGCGTTTTACTTGGATAAAGTAATTTGACCTGATAAAATAGCACAAGTGAATTCGAACTTCAATCATTTTTAGTTGTTTATAGCTGAAAGCGTGAGTCAATTGAGGCTAAACCACCAGGGAAAACCCGAAAGCACTGGATGGCCCTTTCGTCCTATTGATTAAACTAATGAAGAAACCATTAACAGTCAACTACTCAGCTTACCGAACATGATAGCAAACTTTCCTGTCTTATCAGTTCGAATTCTAACATTCTATAGACATTGAACTAAGTAATCTAACATCTCAGCAATAGATCCATAGAAGGAATAACCTTTGCCTACTCAACTATATATAGGAAAAGTCTATCATTAGGTTATTAAAGGTTTAACTAACCTCTTACATAATTGAGGTAACATTAGAAAAAGTAAATGAACACAGTTTGGAATAGTAAGCTATAGAATAGGAGAGTGCAATGTTAGAACTACCTTTTAGGTTGTTTTTCAGTCATTTAGATTTACTTTTCACTGTGTGATAACATAAGCTTGAAAAATATTATGAAGTAATTTCAATAGTTGATATCATGAGTCGATTGAAGCTAGACCACCATGGGAAACCTGTAAGCACTGTTTGACGGAAGGCTCATCCTATTGTGGGACTCCTCAGAAGTGCGCATCCACGATCCCGCTACGCCAGATTCGAACACAGGGTCTATCAGTCTCGCGCGCAAGCGCTTAACCTCTAGAATCATGATCTCAACTACTGAAATTACTGGCTAGTTGAACCGACATAAAAACGTTTTAGTTATGCACAGAATTATGGAGTAAATAGTAATCTTATGCTCATTAACCAGTTGCTTGAAAATTGGATCTTTGAATTTCTACAATAAAATTGTAATCTGTGAAGTTTTTGAACTTGATAAACAAAAAGTAACTCATCTATATCACAGGATAAGGATTGCACTATTTCATTGCTTAATTACTTACGCCTGTTACCCCTAATGGAGGAGCATAGGCCGCCCACCAGCATTCTTCATCCAACTCTGTCCTGGGCAATCCTTTCCAGTTCTTTCCACTTGTTATTCATTCTGTTAATTAAAACTGGAAATGATAACTATTTGTATCAGTACTTTGTGTGTAGATGGCATTTTGCTCCAAAGAAGAACTTAAAAGGTTATGAGTTTACACTTAGTGAAGAGAACACCCGATGAAGATCATTCCATTTTACTAAAGTTTCTCAGATGATATTCATTCATAATGAAAACTACTAAGGTATAATCAAGAACGGCAAAACATACTTGAACAGAATAAAAATAATCATATAGTGACTTATGATCTTTCAACCAATACCGGCAGTGTACATCCACGATCCCGCACCTGGGATTCGAACCCAGAACCTTCGGTCTGGCGCTTAAGAATAGCACCGTTGAATGCCGGCTATCTGATCTAGAGATTAAACGTTTTCGCACAAGACCAAAGGTCCTATATTCGAATTCCGTGTGCGGTATCGTGGATGTAAACTGCTGATGAGTCCCATACTTGGACGAAACGGCCGTTCAATGCTTCCAGGTTTTTAATGGTGGTCTAGCATTAATCGGTTGATGATCTCAATCAGAATTTATTTTCACTGATAACCCATAATAAGTAATATCTAACGAATATCATCTAAGGTTTCAATGAATCATAATAAAACTCTAAATCATTTCATTGTTATTTTTTTATTGATTTCTAATTAGGAACTTATCTAAAAAAGAAATCATTACGTAATTTTGATCCAACTCTATTAAATGATTATTACATTGGATATTTACCTGATAATATTACATCATTTGAATGTTTATCATGTCATAAAGAATGTGAAATTGGTTGTAATGGACCAACCGCAGAAGAATGTACACGTTGTCGACATGTGAAAATTTATCATGATTCTCAAATGGAATCGGTAAGTACTACTAATGTGAATTAAGATGATTTATAATTAAATATTATATTAATAATGAGCCCCCAAATGCCCTGGAGTGGGGAGAGTCCTCTCTCCCTCTCAAAATGCTCTCACATGCACACGCGTATACAGCCACCACCGGGTGAGTCCTACTCACTATCTTCTCTTAGCATTACTGTTGTCTACGAAATTGAGAAGACGAAAAGCGAATGTCCGTCGCTTTAACCGAGTTGGTGAACACAGAAAGTTCACCTAGGGGAATTGGAAAACCCTCATTCCAAACCAATGGTGAAAATGAGCTCCAGTATCCTATGGCATCAAATGGCATATGAATCAATCGTTGGTCACCGGCTACCTTTGGACTGCATCTCCTTACGAACCTGGAAAATAGATCATTCTATGCAGCTTCAGTGTTTTTTGAGGAACATTACAACAGACAGCTTTAACACAAATATGCAAGTTACATCTTTTAAGCAATGATGAATAGTGACTAACAATGAACTCCAGGACCCTCGTTTCGTCCTATTTGGGGCTCGTCAGCTGGATGTACCTGCATTCTAGAATTAATATTCCCTCTGAGACTCGAACCCAATACTGTCATCACGTTATCCACTTACCTTACTTGGTTTACTTGAATCTTCCAACTGATATTTAAAACTTCAATTGATCAGCCTCGATAGTCCCTTAATTTACATCCAGTTGACGAGTCCAAAAAGGGACGAAACGCGCATCCTTGATTCTATTACTATTACTATCCATCGTTGCTAAGAATTAAACCATATTCCCTTATTTTCATCTCTTGTTATTATTATTATCATCATTATTCTTTACACTTGTTACTTTCAGTGGTTATGCAACCTTACTTGTCCTGATTTTAGTCCATTCAAAATATTCGATCAAAAAACTGGTGAAATAATTTGTTCTAGTGATTCAATCAACTTACACATTATACCCTATTACAATGGACATTATTCCATTGAAAATCATCTTAATTCTACAATATTACATAATAGTTATAATAATAATATTGTAACCATGGCAACAAAGAACCTTAATTTTCTTCAAAATGTTCATATGATGAATTATAATAATATATGGCATTATAATTACTTATCAACACAAACCGCTGGTCTTATCTCATCATTATCAGCATTATTTATTATGTTATTATTATTAAGTTTAATTATTTATTGGACAATTTATAAAAGATCTAAATATATACGAATTGAACAATACGATACTACTGATAATACTACTGATAATAATAAGGGGAATAAGTCATGTTTTATATCCTTGAATAAAATGTGTGAAAATTTTTGGACACAAGGTAAACCACAATTAATGATGAAGAAAGAGAAAAATGAGAAAAATAAAAAGGAGAAAAGAAAAAAAAAGAAAACATTCACCATAGCAACTAAAAATCATCGATCAATATTAAATTATAAAAATAATCAATTAATAAAAGAGAAATTATTATTTCATCCATTAAATTGGAATCATTCATTAATACAAATGAATGGTAGTTTATTATTAGATAAAGATAATAAATGGATGAATAATATGGATGAAGAAAAATCTGTAAGTAGTATGTTTGTTTGTTTGTGTTTTATTTAAATAAAAAAGTGAATTTTATAGTTGAAGCTAGACCATTATAGAAAACCAGGAAGCAATGGACAACTGGCTGTTTCGTCCTAGTGTGAGACTCTTCTGCAATGAGCATCCACGATCCCGCCTCGTAAAATTCGAACCCAGGACATATCCCTTTCGCGCTCAAGTGCTTAACCGATAGACCAATGAGCCGTCCGGTATCCAACGGCGTTACTATCTAAATTCAACCAATCCACGAAATTGAGGAACCGTCCATCATTGTCTTCAGTGAGTTACTATCTCACAACAGACATGGTTGAACTCCACTGGTTACTGCTTCTCAGTAGAACTCAAGGAAATATCTTTTGAAGTCAGTCACTAGTGAGCGAGGCGATATCGTGGATGCTCACTGCTGAGAAGTCCCACAGTGGGACGAAACGGCAGTCGAGTGCTTCCAGGTTTTCTATGGTTGTCTGGCTCTAATTAACTCATGATTTCAACTATAAAATTACTGAAATCTCCACAAAACCCCTTCTGATAAAAAAGTGAATATTTATTGATTATATGTCTGATGAAATATGTTCTAAGCTTATAGGCTTTTTATGGCGGTTAAACTTTAATTGACTCATGAATTTAACTTTAAAAGAAATAATTACAATCTCTACAAAATCCCCCTTTCTCATAATAATTATTATGTGCTAGCTAATGAATAACTTCAAAAGGTATTTCTTGGTGTTCTAGTGAGAAGCCTTGACTAGTGCAGTTCAACCTGGTCTTTTATGTGATAGTAACTTACTGAAGACAATGGTGGACGGTAGCACAATATTGTGAATTAGTTGAAGTTAGACATCAACATTGTTGGATGCAGGCTCAGTGATCTACAGGTTAAGTGTTCGCGTGCAAGACCGATAGGTCCTGGGTTCGAATCACACGAGCAGAATCGTGGATATGAGTAACCCCATACTAGGAGGGAACGGCCGTCGAACAGTGCTTCCAGGTTTCCAGTGGTAGTCTATCTTCAATCGACTCATGAATTCAACTATCAAATCTACATTTGTAAACTATTTAAACAATAATGAACATTTGTTCATTATATGTTTGATTAGATGTGTTCTTATACATATTAATAATAGCCTTTCCTAAGTCAAACGATAACTAAAGAAAATCAAAATAATATGGATAGCATGAAACTTCTAAGAGGTGACTATATTAACAACCACATCAATCATTGAACAATGTATCATTAGGTCTCAAGACCAGTACTTAGTCTTCAGACAACCAAGCCAGCATCTAAGGATGTGGAATTTTAACTTCATTTAATGCGTGTTATTTTACAATCAACTTTTAGTATTATTGGTGGATAACTTCTTCATATTGACGTGAATAAACTATGTTGACCACAGCTTCCTATTTGAATTAAAGGAGTTACCTAACTAAATTAGTTACTAGTGAACAGTTGATTACTATTAGTAGTATAAGGGGATTTTGATGAATGTAGAATTCAAGGTCTTCATTGTTTGCTTCCTAACAATTGGGTAGTATACCTAACCCTCAAACAATAACTATAACCGAAATCTATCTACTTTTAATATGACCGAATTCTTAGGTGTATTTGACCAAGTATAACTGTGGTGTGTGCGTTACTTATATTTACTTAAGTAGTATATGTCTTGAGTAAGGAGTAGAATATCTAGCAGCAGAAGATTAAGAAGATCGAGGAGGGATGAACAGAAACAAAAAGTGATTGGTGCGCACTAGACGGCCTTTTAGTCCTAGTATGGGACTCCTCGATAGTGCGCATCTACGATCCCACATCGAAGGGATTCGAACCCAGTACCTCCAAACTCTCACGCGAACACATAATTTATAGAGACCACTGAGTTGGCATCCAACGGTGTCAATGTCTAACTTCAACCAATCCACGAAACTGAGCAACCGTCCACCATTGTCTTGAGTGAGTTACTATCTCACAACAGACCCGGTTGAACTTCAATGGTCACGACTTCTCATTGGAACTCTAGGAAATTCATGTTGAAGCTAGTCACTAGTAAGCACATGACAACCTCATGAATTCAACTACCGAAGTTACTACAATCTCCACTAAACTTCTTTCTAATATTAATGATTTACATTTTTTGGTGTCTTACTAATAAACTACTGATTACTTTTGTATATGGTTTATTAAACCTTTAATATATTTTCTTTCACAAAATAAAAATAGCCTACTCATTCAGAATCATTAAAACCAAACATGGCAACATTACGTATCATCACTGAATCTGAATTAATTCGTGGTCCATTGATTGGTTCTGGTGCATTTGGTACAGTTTATTGTGGTATTTGGTGTCCAAAATTCACACAACAAAAACTGGATCCCATTAATAATGATACATGTAGTGCAATAACCAATTCAACAATAACACCAACCCCAAATGTATTTAATTCAAAAAAATTTGATTGGGATAAGAATACCAATGGAATAGAAACTATTCCAGTAGCATTCAACAATGATAATGATTTCAATTTGCATATACCAGTAGCTATTAAAGTTTTATCAGATTCAGCAGATCCACAAACTAATAAAGAACTATTAGAAGAAGCAAAAGTAATCCTTTTTTCTTTTTTATTTAGAGATTTATTGTTCATTTTATTCTAATCCCTCAAATGCCCTGGTACGGTCGAGAGTGGGGAGAGTCATCACTCCATCTCGAAATACTCTCATATGGCCAGCGAATATATAGCCTCTGTCAGGGAAGTCATACTCACTGCCTTCTCGTGGCGGGGGTGTTGTTTACGAAAGTGAGAGGACGAAAAGCGAATATCCGGCTCTTTAACCGGGTTGGTGGACACGGAGGGTCCACCTAGAGGAGTTGGAAAACCCTGATTCCAAACCAATGGTGCACATGGGTTCCAGTATCCTGATGGAACGAATGGCGGACGAACCTGTCATTGGTCAACGACTACCATGGGACTGAATCTCCTCACGATGCTCCACTGCCTTGTGGATTAGACCTTTAGGTCAAAGTCTCCGGGGGTGGCCCCCTAAGAAAACCAACTGCTTCAGTTTGAGTACCCGGGTAGTATCACAGCCTTCACACAAATCAAATGAGATTTGTGTGGCGCATATATATATGGTGCCCCCTTGTACCAATATTTATATGTTTAAATAAATAAATAATCCATTCCTCGTAATTACCAACGAAGGACTTCATACCTACAATAGTTTATGGATAATTTGATTAGTCCATATTAAAACGTTGATAAACATCGCTTAATCAGTGATAGATTGGTTCATTGAGATTAATTAGCCCCATGTGTACAAGCATATCAGCCATAAGTAACCATCAATGTTATCTAAATTTCATACTTAATCCTGTTAGCAGGTATTTTTGTAGTTCCTATTGATACTTAGATAACCCTGATATTTTAGTCTACACATGTTGCTCTAAACTCTTTTGATTGATATAACCAGAATATCTCGATGATGATGCTTCAGACTGTGATATTTGATGGCATAAATCTTGAATCAAACGAAAAACATCATTTCTTTCACGACCGTAGATATGCTTGTTAATGTGTTCCGTGTAGGGAAAAACTTAGCGTATCTATCACTAGCCACCTAACATTAAAGTATTTCTAAATAACTAGTGAAAAGTAATCGATTTCTTGGTATGGTGGTTATCATCTCTGACTTCTGAGTAGTGGTTAAGAAGTTCTGCTTTTAGCCTCAAATCCTCAAGTTCAAACCCAGTCTCATCTGCTTCCCGTTGAACAACCACACGCGTGAACTCAAGGAAGCTCTAAGAAGCTCAGAAAGAGCCAAAGATATTCCATCCAATCATCTTTTGGAAGAATATTCCAGAATGTCTACGTGTAGCTTCCATATTGCCAAAAACCCTTGTACATCTAGCTGATGATTCCTACATAGAACGAAACGCGCATCAAACTTGATTCCACTGCTAGCCACTGTCCATCTTTGCTTATAATGCTTGTGTATTAAGGCTATATCGAGGCAATACGTAGAAGTATACACATATGTCACTTAGCGACTGACTAGTTGCAGTTCTAAAAAATCAATGGGGAAATTCAAACAAACAATACTGAATGAACTTTTCTTTTTTGCTTTTTTTTCCCACAGGTTATGGCAACTGTTGATCATCCATGTTGTGTAAGATTTTTAGCTTTATGTCTTACATCTAAATTACAATTAATAACACAATATTTACCATTAGGTAGTTTATTAGAATTTATTAAAATACGTTGGGATTTTATTGAAGTGAATTCATTATTTCAATGGTCTGAACAAATTGCTTCTGGTATGATTTATTTATCATCACGTGGTATTATACATCGTGATTTAGCAGCTCGTAATGTATTAGTTCAATCAAAAGATCAAGTAAGTAATATTGTTAAATTGAAGATTTAAGTTAGACCATTATGGAAAACCTGAGACTCCTCGGTGATCCTACAATAAGTCGAAATGGCCATCCAATGATTTCAGGTTTTCCATGGAGGTCTTGATGTGTGGGTGAGAATGATAATGATTGGTTGTTTTGCTAAGTCAGACATGTAGATAGTGTGACAGGTGTTATATGTTTTATATATTCCTATATCCTGACTATTATTGATTGACTGCTCCTTGCTGTTGGATTGTGTGGAATTTCGGTGTGGAAATATATTGACTTTCTAGTCAGGCTAATCTCGTGTTCTTGATCTGAGTTATGTTGAAGTCCTGTAGAATAGACATTGGGTGGGAATCTAGTATAGATATTCGTCTAAGGTAAATGAACGTCCCACATGCGTGTAAAAAGTGAAAGGACTGTTATAACAAGAAACCCTGGCGTTATAACAAGTCTAGCTTCAATTAATTTATGATTTCAACTATTAAATTACTATATCATCTACAAAAACCCCTTCTAGTGTTCAAAGTGGATTTTTTTATTAAAAAAGAGAAGTTATCGATTCTTCAGTAGATGGGGATAAGACTTAAACTCAATTTACCTAAAAGATCCTGCTTATAATTTTAAGAGAAAAGAGGATTTATTGACGCTTAACAGAAGAAAGTATTTAATATCGACTTTAGATATTGAATAGAACGAAGGGTCGACAAAACTATGGGGGTCAGCGAGCTGCAGACTCGACATTCTAGCGGAGAGCGTGGTACAGACTGTAGTGAAAGGAAAAATGGCTCGGCGAGCAGAAACACCGGATGAACGAATGCTTTAAAGGGAGGACGAGTGTGGTGTGGGTTACTTATATAATGATACAGAAGAAAGTACTTAATATCGACTTTAGATATTCGATAGAACGAAGGGTCATTGAAATCAATATAAGACTACACCAATTACACTTACTAGAAGATAATGAATATGTAAAGTTGGCTCAAATGATACTCTATATATCTTAAATGTCATACATAATTCTATTTAAGAATGTATCATTATAGCGAATCGGTTTTAGAAAAAGATTTCATTGGTTGAGGTTAGACATTAACATTGCTGGATGCCGACTCAGTGGTCTATCGGTTAAGTGATCTGGGGCGAGACTAGTAGGTTCTGGGTTACAATCCTGAGAGGCGGGATCGTGGATGCGCACCGCTGAGGAGCCACATAATAAGACGAAACGGCTATCTAGTGCTTCCAGATTGTCCATAGTGATCTAACCTCATGATCTTAACTATATAAAATTTCATAGGAATTACTTACTTCATTCATCGATATACTTTTGATTGTATTTTGGATGGTAAGCATAAATGTATTTGTCAACTGGTTACGATTACATTCAGTTATTGATGTGCTCAAAAACTTGAAGTCCATAGTTCTTATTATAAATTCTAATCTATTTTACATTCGTTATAAGCAAAGGTGGACAGTAGCTAACAGTGGAATCCAGGACGCGCGTTTCGTCTTATTTGGGGCTTGTCAGCTAAATGTATCAGCATCCCAGAGTTGATGTTCACTCTGGGACTCGAACCCAGTACCTTTCGCTTTAAACACCATCCCGTTGTCCGAAACGTGCGTCAAACTGGATTCCACTGATAGTCACTATCCAACTTTGCTTATAATGCTTTTGAATTAAGGCCATGTCAAGACAGTCCGCACAGGATGCACATATGCCAATAATAGACTGATCAATTGCAGTCCTAAATAACAAACTATAAATGAATTGTCTCAATCCTGACCGTTAATTTCGTAAATATTAGTCCATCGTCTCTGACTATTATTGTTCATGCATTTTCATATCAATTCCGTCCCGTTCCCATTCTCTCCTTATCGATCTTCCACTGAAATACATTCAATGCCCGACCATCGTTATATACAACTACTTATGTGAACATAAGTAGCCTACGCCACACTATGACGAAAAATCTAAAGCAGAAATCAAACTCGCAAACTCTGAAACCTGTACCTTATTTTAATCGTAAGCACCATACAATAATCTTTACTCCTTTATATATTTCTAATTCTAACCTGAATCCTATCATCAATCGTAACTCTGATAAACATCATTACGATAGAACACTTTACACCATGTTCATAACAATTTCATTTCTGCATTCATAAGAGAGTTCCTCCTCAGCAATCAAAAATCTCATATCTACTAAGTGATGTTTTATTCATCAAAATTTACTATAGTACGATTGATAGACGGTATATTGGCTTGATATTTGTACTATAACCTTTAAGTCTCTTCCCCGATGCTAACTGACATAGTTGCAAACTGTCGGTTCACCAAGAACAACAAAAAAGCCAACATAATTTCCAACCTTTTTTATAAGTTTCATTAGTCTTTCATTCATCATTCAAAGTACTTCAATAATTTGTTGTGATGAACCAAGTTGACTTCAAAGACAAATATTTGTCACATCTATGTTTATCAACATGGGAATTTGTGGAGATTGTAGTATTTTCACATTTGAAATTGCAAGTTTATCTAAGCTAGATCAACAGTGAAAACCTGGAAGCACTGGATGGCTGTTTTGTTCTAGTATGGAACTCCTCAGTAATGCTCATCTGCGAACCCGCACATGGAACTCGAACCCAGGACCTTCAGTATCGCATGCAAAGCCCCTAACTTCCAGACCGCTGAGCCGCTTCAACCAATCAATGATCTTGTGTAGATGTGCTCTGCTGAGGAGTCCTATACTGGGACGAAACTATCGACCAAGACTTCCAGGTTTTCATTAGTGGTTAAGCTTAAGTCGACTCGTGATTTCATTATCTATGTTTAGTCTTTAATGATGAATAGTTTCTGTCGATTAGATTTTTATACTGGTCAATTGACCCAACTTTAAGTTATACTATAAATGACAAACATGTCTTTACATCACTTATATACATGTATATTACATCACTTTACTTTTATAGGTACAAATAACTGATTTCGGTTTGGCTAAGTGTTTAGATACAACACATAGTGAATATCATGCAAGTGGAGGACGTATGCCAATTAAATGGCTTGCAATTGAATGTATACAAGATAGAATATTTTCAAGTAAATCAGATGTTTGGGCATATGGTAAGTTCATAATGATTATTTGTTGGTTAATATTATATCTGAAATCATCAGTCAATTGAAGCTAGACCATCATGGAAAACCGAGAAGCACTGGACGGCCATTTCGTCCTATTATGGAACTCCTCAGCAGTGCGCATCCATGATACCGCCTCACGAGATTCGAACCCAGAACCTACCAGTCTCGCGCCAGAGCACTTGATCGATAAACCATGGTGGTCTAGCTTCAATTGACTCATGATTTCAACCATGAAAATACTGAAATCTCTACGAAACCCCTTCTAATATCATGTCTATTATTCCTCTACATGTAATCAAAACTTAGGAAGCTCTGAAAATCAACATTTTATAAATCTATTATAGACAACAAAAAATACTAATACCTAAATAAGGTCTTACATGATTATTATCATTATATTGTATCATAATTGATTAACTCTAGTCAGTCCATACTCTTCACTTCCTATGGGATTAAGTTTATAACTTTCATGATCAGTCAGTCACTCAGATATAACGTAGGACCAGGCACATATATGCATCGGCCCAAATTACCACACAACATTAGCACAACAAGATGAACACCAAATTCATGATAAAGATTCTATGTATTTTAAAAACATGAAAACAAAATCAGTTATACGATGGTGGTTGGAGGTACCCTCCCCCTTTTAGCCATAAGAACATGGTGAAGCCTAGTAGGCCCTTCTGGAGAAGAGTGCAATATCGAAGCATGGCACAACTACCGCAGCTCAATAGCTATTTTTTGCATTGCTTACGCAGAACCATTACATCATTCTTTCCTTTTTTGGGAACTTATTTTTTCTTTCTTTTTGATCCAACAATAATTATGCAATGATTTTTTGTAGCAATCGTAATCATTTGTGGGTATAGGTAGAGTGGTTGATTAGGCCGATCCTCACTACCCGTGTTACTGCTCACGTTAGTACATAGGATGAATGCCATGATCTGGGAGGCACGACGAGGAGTTAGTCAGTAAAATCACTGACTTCAGAAGTGAGCAATTTAGGTAGGTATAGACTACCTAGTTGGAGTCAATGAGATAATCCTGAATAATAGATGAAGACTGTGAATAAGATAACTCAATATCGTTCGTAGTGATGCAGTACCATCCATGCTATATCATCCTTTCCATTTTGAATTCTATTATTGCTGCATCTTCATGAACAACATTCTTGTTTTTATTGCTACATTGTTTCGATTTGTTTTACTATTCCTATATACTACTTTTATCCTGTCATGCTAATGTAGTATGGCATCTAAAGAAAATGCACACAGACTCTATGATGGTGTTTATCTGTCTATGTGTTTAAGTGTACCACAGCTAGTTAAATGAAATCAAACAGAATGTCTTAACGAGCGGTAATGCCAGTTACATTTATGCTAAGAAGGTTGTGATGATGTTTAATGTGACAACTTTGACTGATACATTCTTTTACCAGATGCAACATTGTTAATCACTGAAATACATCATTATAATAAAAATACAAATTAGACAATTGTAGTTGAGACCATAAGTCAATTGAAGTTGGATGCCCGTACGGTAATCTAGAGATTAATCATTCGCGCGCGAAACTGATAGGTCCTAGGTTCGAGTCTCGAGAGGCGAGATCGTGTATGCCCACTGCAGAGGAGTCCCACAATAGGACGAAATGGCTGTCCAGTGCTTCCAGGTTTTCCATGATGATCTAGCTTCAATTGACTCATGATCTCAACTATATAAAATTACTATAATATCCACTAAACCCCTTCTGATATTAGACAATTGTATTAAAACACTTTTTAAAACCATTGTAAGAATAATTTATATGGATATGTATATATGTTTTACATTTAGGTATAACCTTATGGGAAATGTGTACATTTGGTCATCGACCATATGAAAATATTCATGCAAAAGATTTACTAGATTTTCTAGAGAAAGGAAATCGTTTACCTCAACCGGAAACAACAAGTCTTGATTTTTATTGTTTAATGTTACAATGTAAGTTTATTATAGCCTATTGTTACTCTATTGTGTATTCATTCATATGCCTTTTATGGATGGTGACTAGCAGTTGAATTCAGAATGTGTACTTCGCCCTGTATTGGGCTAATCAGCTGGATGTACCTGCAATGGATTAATCTGTTTCAGGATTTGTAAATCCTTCACATCCAGCTGACGTGTCCCCGTATAGGACGAAATGGACTTCCTTGATTCCTCTACTAGCCAATATCTATCTCTGCTGTACCGCTAAAAAACGATATAACAATGAATCGATCTAGATAAAAACATGAGGGAGAATGAACTTGATCAGGTTAGTAATTCCCTTATTTACAATAATCAGAATACACTTGCATTGCTCCCCTACTATTTAGTCTTCAGATAGCTTATAATTCCTTCAAGCTTACATCGTATATCATACTTCATCATTGGCTTTACGGTTTATCCTAACCCATATGACGCTACTGTGATAAACATTTAAATCTAAACTAATTGTAGTATCTCAGTGGATTTATCCTCCTGATTAATTTATTTTACTGCGCACTCAGTCGATTCTAATAGGGTTTTTTTGAGATCAAATATTACTTGATCAAGGCAAACAAGACATTGTCTTTTTTTTATCAATGACTATTTAAATATCTTTTACATTTCCAGTAAATGTTCCAGTACCCTGTGAACTATATAACTTAATTTAAGCAGCTGAAATAAACATTTTACTCATTCAATTTAACTAAAATGGGCTATAAGTTGAAATCTTTGACTTCCAACTAATTAGTCACGAGGTCCGCAAACCCTTTTCTATCATTTCTTTTAAAAGTATTGAGTAGTAACCAATCCTTGACATTATATCAGTGATCTTCAGCGTTGTTAGAGGTTTGAAGTTAGTTTTCACTTCCCGGTTACCCACACCGTGGAGGGGTTCTTCTACAGGTATTTGAAAAGGAAACCGGGTTAGAGTTGCTCTTAGTAACCTCTATTTTTAATTTACTGTTCTTTTTTAACTTTCAAATTAACAGGTTGGCAAGCCGATCCAAATCTTAGACCAACATTTAAAGAATTATGTTCAGCTTTATGTGAAATGAAAGCAACACCTAATCGTTATTTATTCATAACAGTAAGTTCTAAACGTATTTAAATGATTGAACTGATATGGAATCACTATAGGGTTTTGTGGAGATTGTGGAATTTTTCATACTTGTGAAATCACACATAGATCCTAGATTACTATTAGTGGAAATCTAGAAATACTAGACCAGTTTCATCCTAGTATAAGACTCCTAAGTAATTGAGGTAGGATGGTGGTTGGAGGTGGTCAACAGGAAACCCTAGACCGGAGTTTCGTGCTACTTGGCACTCGTCAGCAAGGTGTACCTGTAATCTTGAGGGAACTGATGCTCCCTGATGGATTCGATCCCGTGTCACTCAGCTTCACAGTCAGAGATGTTACCACTGAGCTATTAGGGCCGCGACCAACCTCCTGTAGGACTGAGATGTAATCATAATTGATTGATCACTGGGTGGTGATCAATGTCATGCGTGTCAAGTCCTACTTAGTGCTGATCGAATGCTATCAATCAAGTTGCAATGTGGCCACCAGTCTAGGTGACTCGACACTGTGTGCACTATATATATTGAGGTAAGATGGTGGTTGGAGGTGGTGATCGATAGCATTCGATCAGCACTAAGTACGACTTAACACGCATGACATTGATCACCACCCAGTGATCAATCAATGGTGACTCCTAAGTAATGCCCATTCACGACCCCAAATGCCGTAATCTAAACTAGAACGATTAACTTCTAAACCACTGAGTCGGCTTCCGAAGGTGTTGTTGTCTAATCACAATCGATTCACCATATTACGAGTCAATCATCCTTCACTGCCCTATGATGGATAACTGTCTCACATCCGACATGGTAGGGAATAATCGAAATCGTAACAGACTGTTCGTTCCGGGCATTCTATCCATACTGTAAATTACTGAACGGGTTGTAGTAAATACAGATTGAAATCTTTAGCGACCGAATGTACTACGAAACTCAAACACCATCGAGCCGATTGTAAAACGCAACAACCTTCTTATACATAATTAAATAAACATCAGATAACTAACAGTTGTCTGTATTAATTCATAAACAGAAATGTTTTCTGATATGACAGAGAATGAAAATTGAACAAATGACAACGATTTGTGCGAATGAATCGGTTAGCTCAAAATTGAGTCCATCTACTCTCTGAATCATAGCGATCGTAGTGATCTTACAGTTGTGATCGTGAACTGATCTTAGTTAGACTATCATTGAAAACTTGAAAGTTAAGCGTTTGCGCGAGACCAGAGGACCTAGGTCCGATTACCGAGTGTGGAGTCGTGGTAGCTCACTGATGAAAAGTCCCGTACTATGATGAAACAATCATCTAGTATTTACAGGTGTTCAATCGTGGTCTAGCTAAGATCACTTGGTGATTTCATGCAATAAGTTGTGTAAATAATCAGATAATGAGAAATATAAACGGTAGGTGGAAAGTCAAACCAAATACGGAATATGGAAATATCCATAAATCCTTGTTGAACTGTAGTTTAAGGAAAAATCGTTTCTTACAAGCTGTCCACATCTGAGACTTTAACTCCTTCTATAAGGGATTGTTCGGGTAGATCTTTTTTGTTCTTCCTTTAGGATATCTGGCCAGATTTCTTTGGCAGGGATTAACTGTAAGACTACAAAAATGTACACATTGTCACACACACACAGATAGCTCTTTCTATACCTGCTTCTTTTTAACAAAGAGTCACCATTCTGCTTAACGAGATATCAAGGAAATTTATTGTCTCATTCATGCTCATTAGTGAAAATGATTTCTAAGTGTACGCTGTTGAACAGATTTAGGAGTTCTTCATTAGAATTCTGACCTTAAATGATGAATATGTTGTCGAAGTAATGGCAGCATGGATCTAGTTAATCGATCGCATCCAAGAGGGATCGATTTTATAGCTCGGCCAGGAGGAAATAAGCTAAAATGAAGCCTAAAGGTGACCTCATAATCATTCCATAAATTTGTCCAATAAGAACCATTGTTAAAGACAAAATGAACGTTCATCTTACTTCTCAGGCGTTTAAGACTATCATCAGGGAAAATTATTCCTTTTTATTTCCAATTGATAGACATGATAATGTGTTAAAACAAACATAAATCAGATAACGGTAGGTCCTGGGTTCGAATATTGCGAAATGAGGATGCGCATCGCCACTGAGGAGTCCCGCAATAGGACGGAACGGCCGTCAAACAGTGCTTCCAGGTTTTCGACGGTGATCTAGCTTCTTTGATTCATGATCTTAACTATATGCAATTACTAAAATCTCCACAAATCCCCCTTGTGATAAACCATATAACTTGTTGAGATATCTAAATGGTAGGAATAGATAGCCCAGATATTCAAGCAGGTCGTCATAAAATTGAATTCTCTCTATATTGAGAATTAATTGAAGTTGGAAAATATCATCAGAAACTGTGTTAGTAGTTCGTATCATATTCACAATAAGGCTTTAATAAGTTCAATTCGATCCCATATTAGAATTTTAGTACTCTTTAACTCGGATGAAACAGCTACCTACCACTTCTTTATCTTCAGTCTATTCTCACCCTACCTGTTTTGTTAAAAATTTATTATCAGTATAGAGTTGTTGAGATTTTTAACTTTTGATTGAGATCATCAATGGATCAATGTTAGACTATCATTGAAAACCTAGAAACACCAAACGGCTAACTCATCCTAGTGTGGAACTCTTTATCAGTTCACATCCACGACCCTACACTAAAAGTACTTAGAAATTGAGCCAGTATTCAATGGTGTTAATGTCCTCCTTCAACTAATCCACGATATTGTTCGACCGTCCTCCATTATCTTAAATGAATAATATTTATATGAATGAATTCACTTAGTATTGTTTGTTTGAACCTTCACATTGAAGTTTAGGACTGCAACTGGTCAATCTCTAATTGGCATATGTGCATCCTGTGCGGACTGCCTCGATATAAGTAAAGATGGATAGCAGCTAGCAATGGGATATAGTTTGACGCGCGTTTCGTCCTATTAAGGACTCGTTGGCTGAATGTACCTGCATCTCAGAGTTGATGTTCACTCTGGGACTCGAACCCAGTACTTTTCGCTTCAAACGCTATAGCGTTATGCACTCAGCTACTGAGTCCTGATAACCACTTGCTTTTGCAATGGGTTGAAGTTTGAATTCACTTATTATTGTTTGGCTGAATCTTCCCATTAATGTTTAGCACTACAATTGATCAGTAAGGTACATCCGACTGACGAGTCCCAAATAAGACGAACTGGATTACGCTGCTAGTCATATTTTTTTTCTAAAATTCATTATACTGTTTATTATTTCTACTTCTTTTTTAGCCTGAACTTCGTACATCTAATTTTACCAATCAAGATATATCACAAAATGCATTAGAATTTTTAACTAGTTGTTTAACCGATACAACTATATCATTGAAATCTACTCATACAAATATAAGTAGTATAAAATCATATCAACAAATTTATAATGATCTAAATGAATATCATAATAATGATAATGATCATTCATTATTAAATCAATTGAATATTGAAGATTATACACAATATACACAAATGAATTATGATTGGTTAAATAATTTATATGTGAATAGTAGAATAAATTTATTACCAGAAGAATATATTCAAACTTTATTAAATAATTATAATTATTTAATTGGAATTAATACTACTACTGATAAGACTACTACTAATACCACTGATACAACTACTACTAATACTGCTGATAGTACTACTACTACTAATACTACTGATAATACTACTACTAATACTACTGATAATACTAATACTAATACCAATACTATCACTACTAATACTGATACCACTACTACTACTAATACTACTGATAACACTACTACTAATACTAATACTAATACTACCATTACTAATACTGATACTACTAATACTACTGATAACACTACTACTAATACTAATACTAATACTACCATTACTAATACTGATACTACTAATACTACTGATAACACTACTACTAGTACTACTACTAATTATAGTAATAATAATAACTATATTAGGTTCCAAAATGAAATCAATAAGGTTACATTGCCTAATCAATACATTGATAATATAAACATAAATGATCCTAGAGACAATAATATTCATCATTGTAATGATATCATAATCGATGCGGAAGAGACAAATAGGAATAAAGAAAATTTAGTTACAAAGGAATCAGAAGGAAGTTTTATGGAGGAATCATCTGAAAATGTATCATTATCTATATTAAAAATAGTGGATAACGATCAAATATCTGATCAACATTATATTAATATTGTTAATGAAGAAAATAATTGTAATAAAGTAAGTTGTATTGTTATTCTGTAAACGGTACCCACACTACTTTCATCATTATTACTTATATTACTACTAATGTAATGAAAGGGGACACAGATGAGAACAACCGATTACATTTAACACAAAATTACAGAGTTACTTGGTACATATGCGCCACACAAATCTCACTTGATTTGTGTGAGGGCTGTGATACTGCTCAGGTGCCCAAACTGAAGCAGGTGGTTTTCTTAGAGAGCCACACCCTGAACCTTTGACCGAAAGATCTGATCCACAAAGCAGTGGAGCATCGTGAGGAGGTGCAGTCCCATGGTAGACGGTGACCAGCGATTGGTTTACACGTCATTTGTTCCATCAGGATACTGGAGCCCATTCGCACCATTGGTTTGAAATGAGGGTATTCAAACTCTCCTAGGTGAACTTTCCGTGTCGACTGACCCGGTTAAAGCCCCGGACATTCACTTTTCGTCCTCTCAATTTCGTAAACAACACCCCCACCACTAGAATGCAGTGAATAGGACTTCCCTGACAGAGGCTATCTCACTAAATGACTCTTTAATATAGATAGAATCACAATCGATATATCCTAATTTATGTATTAACATAAAAAGGTTTCTATCCTTTATAAGAACAAAAGAATTTCGAATGATGTTAGTTGTTTTTGCACTATGCTATAATTCTGGATTGTTTTAAAACTATTTGGAGTTCTTTGGTTGTACTACGGTGGTATGGTTAAAATACGGTACAAATCCATGGTATTTCATTCGAACTATTATTTAACAGTGAATCGTTCTATTTTCTTGCATTCTTCATAATCTTCATAAGGAAATTATACTCTTTCGTCCCAATTGTCTATCCTCTTCAGATGCAATAATTTTACTTGCTCTTCTAAGAAGATTTAAGTCTAGAGAGATTTTTTACATTGAATGAATTTGTTAAATTAAATTTAATATAACAATTTAAGTATGTTAGTTTTTTGGTAGATAATTCAATTCAAAGTCTCTTTAAAAACAATAATTCATCATTTCCATTTTTACAATCAAAATTTAATAAGGGATCAAAGTGTATTCATTAGTTTATAAGAAAATTTCATAGAGGTAGCCCTTTTTATTCCAAATTATCAATAAAATTGACTACATGAAACTAACTACTTATGAAGGGGTTTTTTTGTGTGGATATTATGGTAATTTTCATAGTTGAGATCATAAATCAATTAAACCTAGACCACCATGGAAAACTTGAAAGCACTAGAAGGCTGTTTCTTTCTATTATGAGACTCCTCAGTAGTGTGGGTCCATGAGCTCGTCTCACGACCTATCGGTTTCGCGCACGAACGCTTAACCTTTGGACCACTGAGCCGCCATCCAACGATGTTAATGCCTAAGTTCAACTAATCCTCAAAATTGAGCGACACATCCATCAATGTCTTCATTGAGTCACTATCTTACAACAGATCCGGTTGAACTCCACTAGTCACTGCTTCTCACTAGAACTTCAAGTAATATCTCTTGAAACCAGTCACTAATGAGCATGTGTTGATTAATATCAAAAGTAGTTTTTGTAGACTGATAAGGTCAAGAGTTCGAATCTCACGAGACGAGATCGTGGATGGCCACTGCTGTGGAATCGCACAACAAGATGTAACCACCGTCATATAATGCTTCCAGGTTTTCCATGATGATCTAGTTTCAATAAACTCATGATATCAATCATCAAAAACTAATTATTTATCAAAATCATTTATTTTCTCACAGGTTCCATCGTCAATACAAAATCAATAAATGTTTTGTAAATAATTCAATATGATAAAGAAAAAACAGAAAAAGAAAAAAGAAAAAAAACTTTAGAAATAATCTATTCCTGTTTGCATTTTTTTTTATTTTAATTCGTCTAATCAACATTGAAATGATGGAATATTCTAGGCGATTTCTTTTTTTTTAAAAAAAAACACAAAAATTTTTGTATTTTTGTACATTTATTATATAATCAGAAAAATTTATCACTTTTATTTTCCCCATAGTTACACATATATGATAATATGAATGTAAAATTGTTACTATGTATATTTATATACTTCACTTCATTTGAGATAAATAGAATATACACAAGTATTAAATGTTAGTTTTTGAAATAATAACAGTTGAGATCATGAGTTAATTGAAGCTAGACGATTATGGAGAACCAGGAAGCACTGTTTGACGGCCATCTCGTCCTATTGTCGCAATCTTCACTGGCAGTGCGCATTCACGACCTTGACTCACGAAATTCGAATCCAGGATCTACCAGTCCATAAAAACTCTTTCTGATATTAATCAACATATATGCTCACTAGTGACTGACTTCAAGAGGTATTTCTTGGAGTTCTAATATGAAGCAGTGAGCATTGGAAGTCAACGAAGTCCGTTGTGAGATAGTAACTCACTGAAGACAATGGTGGATGTGTTGCTCAATTTCGTGGATGAGTTGAAGTTCGACATCAACACCATTGGATCCCGATTGGCTCGGTGGTCTATGACGAAATAGCCGTCAAACAGTGCCTCCAGATTTTTCCTGGTGGTCTAGATTCAATTGACTCACGCTTTCAACGACGAAAATACTAAATCTCCTAAAAACCCTTTCTGAAATAATAATAATAATAAAGCAGGATCACTCTATTGATGTTCCCGTAAAAAAAGCCGATCATATTGATAAGCATCTTTACCAATAATGGATTTTCCTTTCTATAAATATACAGAGTATTTATGAAATAGTCATTTCATTTATTCTCATTATTATTAATATTATTGTAGTGAATGACAACACTAGTTGGGACAACCAAATGTATTTTAATACATACCATACAGTGGATACTACTTTGGCGAAATATCCATCAGTTGTCTTAGACTTGATTGTTCCTTCATTTCTACACCGACCACTCTCTGTTCTCGTTCTCTTTCCTTTGATCTTCTTAACCTTTTACCACCAGACATTTCATTTTCAGTTGGGGATACATACTACTTAAATCTGTCGACATCAGTAGCATAAGCCAAATTATCATCGATAGTGAACAGTTTTTAGATATGCTATTAATAAAATCAGTCACTCAGTCGTAAACAATGTAGAATATAGAGTATATTTGCATCGGTTCATATTACAACAAGGAATCAGCATAACGAGATGAAATTATCAAAACAAAGAGTAAAGTATTAACAGTATTAAATTCACTTGGTATTGCTTACTTGTATCTTTCTATTGTTTCTTGGGACTGCAATTGATCAGTCTCTTGTTGGCAAATGTGCATCCTGTGTGGACTGCCTCAATATTGCTTGAAGTCACAAGCTTTATAAGCAAAGATTGATAGTGGCTAGCAGTGGAATCCAGGACAATGGGAAGATATAAGTAAACAACATCAAGTGAATTCAAACTTCATCCCATTGCACAAGCAAGTGGATATCAGGACTCAGTAGCTAAGTGGATAACGTGATGGCGTTTGAAGCGAACGGTACTGATTTCAAGTCCCAGAGTGAACATCAACTCTGACGTGAATATACATTCAGTGGACGAGTTACAATTAGGACTAAATGCGCGTCAAACTGGATTCCACTGCTAGCCACTATCCATCTTTGCTTTTACTAACAGTATTAGATGTAGTGAAAAATATTATACATACACGGTACGAGTCGAGAAGAATGAAAAATGGAGATTGTTTAATACAAAGAATACATGTATCTGTGTCATGGTGGCCAACTCTAATCCATGTCATTCAACTATTGGTTATTAATATTACCCAAGCCCTAACCAGCTGATTTTCACCTATTAATAAGGCTCAGTTCAAAAGTCAATAGCCATTACGGACAAAATATCTAGGTGAGAGATTTATTAATGTATAATAGTAATTTATAGTGAAATTCAAGATATTGTAGATCATATCGAACAAATCCTCTGGTATTATAGTAAGTGTTGACAGTCTTACTGGAACCTATCGCAGTCGAGCATGTTAACAGCGAGAAGTAAAAGACACATACCTTGAACATATATTCCACATATAATATAACCACCAGAACTTAAAAGTTATCAATGTAAAATGCTGGAACATAAAACCTTAATTCAGCTTTTTTTCTCTTACTACTATAGAATAACTTGTTGTCAGTTAGGAAGAAGCACGAAATTTAGTAGAGTGGCGTTCTGAGATGAGTACTCCAGTTGTTAAGTTTACATTGCCTTCTCAGACAGGATTGCCAGCATTCAAACTTCTCCACATACAACGGACAGTTTGTTTTGATGATTTCAGTCAATGTTATCCTTTAAGGCTACAAATCTTCATCAAATCAAAAGTATGAATGTGATCTAGCCAATATTCATTATTCTTAACTAGTTATGATACTTCGCTTATCTGCCAGTTAAATCTATCATATACATAATATAATCTTTTATTTATTTAAACACATAAATATCGGTACAACGGGGCACGAGATACATATGCGCAAACATAAGTTATTTACGTTCATCTAACGACAGTTCAAACAATGTGTGACTTCTTAGAGATATGTTGCTATCTAGTTCAACTATTTGATTGCTTGACGTTTGAGTGTTTTTGCATTGTATCGATGATATTAAATCTCGAATAGTTGAACTAGATAGCAACATATCTCTAAGATGTCACACATTGTTTGAACTGTCGTTAGATGAACGTAAATAACTTGAAGATTATGTTACTAATGTTACTGAAAAATTGTAACAAAAAGTTAAACGTAAACACTTGGAAACATTGCAACACGTAGACGTGATTTAAGAAATTCCAGAACATCTCGAAAATTATGTATTTAATCATTCTTCTATTAAACTTTCGGCAATTTAAATGCAGGCCTTATCATTTGGTCCCAAGTTCTGTAATAGCACCTCCAAAATCAGTAGACTTTATACACAAATACAATTCGAAAATCTATCAAATCGAACTCATGATCTTGTGTCGACATCCCCACAAAATCTTCAGCATTTTAAATCCACATTACTGGACTGTAGTAAGAATAACTTATCAACTAAGAAGCATTTGAATCAGCTAATGCTCCTGAAAAGAAATAAGGATTTAATCCTAAGTAAACCTGACAAAGGAACTGGTGTAGTACTACTTGACCGCCATGAATATTTGGATAAAATTAGGTTAATCCTAGAGGATGTCACTAAATTCTCCAAACCTAAAAGAGGAGTTGACAAAACACTGTAAATTGAAAAACATCTAACGGATGTTGTTAAAAATCTTAAGAATAAGGGGATAATAACCCAAGATCTATATGATCACATACACTCAATGGGTTCAATCATCCTGTGCTTATATGGACTACCGAAAGTACATAAACCTGGTTTACCGTTACGACCTTTTTTGAATATGTCGAGTTCACCATACCACCGAATAACCCAATGGTTAGCTGAAACATTGGAACCAGTTAGAAGGCAAGTATCTAAATATTCTATTCATGATACTTCTCAATTTATGGATCGTATTAAAGACGTTAATACCTCCGGAAAACACATGTTCTCGCTTGACGTTAACTCTTTGTTCACTAGTGTACCGTTAACGGAAACGATATGCTATATATGTGAGTATATTGATTCTAACAACATAGATCTAGGTTTGCTAACTAAACACTTGAAAGAACTATTGTTACGTTGTACCCCTAATGTCCAGTTCAGTTTCAACAATGAAATATATAGACAATGAGATGGGATCGCAATGGGATCTCCATTGGGTCCAATTCTAGTAGACTGTTTCATGACAAGACTAGAAAATGACCAACTCAGTTCAATGATAAATCGATTTCACCTATACGCATGATAAATGGACGACACATTTGTCGTTTATGACGATAATATTGATTTAGAGGATATCTTACACACCTTCAACTCATGCCACCCTTCCATAGAATTCACGTAAGGAAAGGATAGAGATCAATCAATCCCTTTTCTTGATGTACGTCTGATGAGAAGTAATGGATCTTTTAAAAAGATCTATCTTTAGAAAACAAACGTGGAATAGCCAGCTAACCAACTTCTATAGTTGGGTTCCGTTAAGTAGAAAAAGAAACTTCATTCATTCTGCATGTTATCGAATACATCGGATAAGTAGTACGGAATGCATCAACGAAGAACTCGCATTCCTCAAGAAAACCTTGACGAAAAATGGCTACCCAGACCGTTTCATAGAGAAGAATAGGAATAGAAGTAGTTTCGACAGGAAACCTAGTTGTTCCATCTCAAAGAAAAACCTTTATTTAAGTCTGGAATTTAAAGGTGATCGAACATCAGAGGTAATCGAAAATCGTCTAACAACAACGATTAGAAGAACATTTAATGCGGCTAAACTGCGAATAACCTTCGCTAGTAGGAACTTATTTTCCCTATCGATAAAAGATAAGCTTCCGCATCTGGTCTCCTCCATGTGTATCTACCAGTTCATCTGCTCTGGTGGAGCGAGGTACATTGGCCGTAGCCAGCGTTCGCTTTCAACTCGGGTACGAGTACATATCCCAGTTTGGTTCTACAAGGGTGAAAAGTAAGCAGTTAGGAATTATATGCTTGAACACCTAATCGACTGTTATCATTCTACGGATCCACAGTTTGATTTTAATGTTGTTTATATGATTCGTTTAAATCTACCTAGATTTCTTCGTATCCAACTCTTAAGAATAGCCGAAGCTCTTACCATCCATGAGCTTAAACCAGAAGTGTGCGTACAAAGGAAGTACTTCTCATCGTTAACGTGGACTTCGTTAATATTATTATTATCGTTTCTGCATTCTACTTCTTATATTCTCATTATTTTATTCATGAGTACTCATCATATCACCTTACTTATTTTTACACCTCTATGATGTTTAATTATTGTAACAAAAAAACCCACTTCAATTATTATAGTTATCTTATTATATTCACTAAATCTATTGTTATTACTCGTATTATGTAATCAAGTATTATAGTCTTTCTATTACGTCGTGTTGGTTAAAACAATTGTGCAATTAGGTCATACTATTACAAGAAGGTCGTCTGTATAACGGTAAAACTAAGTGCAGTAAACACATGATTTGAGAGTGAAGTCGTCTAGCTGATTGTGACGTCAGTAAGATATTTCCGTCAGGAAACCAGCATCGCTAGTGGTTTTGCTTACTCACAACGGCAGGTAGTTACGATAGGTTAACATATTAACAAATTATGGCCCCCAAATACCCTGGTACGGTCGAGAGTGGGTAGAATCCGCTCTCTCTCCAAATGCTTTCACATGGCCACGCGAATATATAGCCTCTGCCAGGGAAGTCCTATTCACTGCCTTCTCGTAGCATTACTGTTGTTTACGAAATTGAGAGGACGAAAAGCGAATGTCCGGTGCTTTAACCGGGTTGGTGGACATGGAGGTTCCACCTAGGGAAGTTGGAAAACCCTCATTACAAACCAATGGTGCACATGGACTCCAGTATACTGAGGGAACAAATGACGTGTAAACCAATCGTTGATCACCGGCTACCATGGGACTGCATCTCCTCACGATGCTCCACTGCCTTGTGGATTAGACCTTCAGGTCAAAGGCTCGGGGTGTGGCCCCCTAAGAAAACACCTGCTTCAGTCTGGGCACCTGGGCAGTATCACAGCCCTAACACAAATGAAATGAGATTTGTGAGGCGCATATTTATCTGGTACTTTTTGTACCAATATTTATGTGTTTAAATAAAAATAAATAAAAACATAAATATAGAATATATCACTACGCTCAGTGGATAAGACGTTTAAATTAGGTGCTGATATATCAAGAACTGGTACCAAAACGTCCATATGATAACTTAAGCAGCTACCCTCTGATTTGCGATCAAACTCACGGGCTATTGAGACTATCCCTAACCCAGCTTCTTCCCAAGTTTTTACAAGAAGTATCTTTACATGGTGTGAGCATGAATATCGACATTCTGCAGTTTTAGTTGAAATTTATGGCTTGTACAGCTTACAAGCTTCCGAGGATTAAACTATATCATAAATAAGCTGTTAGAATAATTGAACTAGTGTATTGTGTTCACAGCAATACCTAATGGAGCCGTGTCTGTACACTACCAGAGAGTTCCAGGATTAAACAAAACAGTTTCTCCTTAGATTTCAGAGGGCAATGAATATTCAGCGATTTTATCATATTAAACAAATGACCTAGGATATTCAATATTTTAGAGCAAATACTTCTCAAATTACATCAGAACAGTATTAACCATTTTGGTAAAATCTGTTTTGAGTACTTACAAATTAGCAATAAGTTGTCAAGATAAACTTGGAAGCGCTCAAAACAGAAATCACGTACATCTATTAATCACTATTTCGTTATGAATTGACCTTATTTTTATAACCAAATGTATCAACTTCCACTATGTCTCATTTTATTAACAGAAAATATTGGCAAAAAGAATGAACGTTACAAAAAAAATAATGTCCTGTTGTCATGTAACTTTTTCGTACTAACTGAAAAAACTTTCATATCAGACACACACACAGAGGAGGAGAGATAGAGAGGAAAAATAAACACATGTTGCATGAAAAATCAAATATAAGTCAGTCAGTCAGCTACAACGTAGGACCAGGCACATATACGCATCGGTCTAAGTTGCCATACCTCGTTAGCACAACAAGATGAACACCGGATTCATAGAAGTAGTTAATTCAGTGGTGGTAATATATAAAAGAAAGATTGCATGTGAGGATTTAGTATAGGAAGGAAGAAAGTTGTGAAGCAATTTTAATCTCAAGGTTTAAGGGAAGATAAAGAGTGTATACACCTACGCCATTGTGATCAATTCTGAGCCATGTCACACAGAGTCTCCAACCATTGGTTACGACAGTCGCGCGGACCCCAACCAAGTAGTCTGCATCTGCCAACATGGCTCAGACTAAAAGTTAGTGACTTCAAATATAAGTAGACTGGATATAATCATATAGAGAATTTGAAATTAAAAATAAGACTTGCGTCATAGGGAGACTAAAAAAATCACTAGCATATAGATTGATCACCAATCCTATTAACTGAATTAAGTACCTTGCTTTCAAAGCCTGACGAATTTTCTTCTATGACTAAGTAGATTTTATTTATTTAAAAAAACATATACAATTAGCAATATTAAAAATTGGATTGATCCCATACAATTGAAACCATTTATTGCATTAGTCTAAATAAAAAATACACTCTGTCTTCCAAGTACACCTACGGGTTTGACATTACGTTTACACTTTTGTTTTCTTTTATAATATCAAATACCAGATGAAATGAGAAGTGTAAAACGCATAATCATCAGAGATAATGTGCAATTATATAGTTATATCACAGTTAAAATTCAAAAAATTCATAACATATTTACTTAGTCTCTTTTTTACATTATGTATAGAGGAATACGTGAGATGTGTTGTTGTCTTTCCTTAGGCAACCAATGGTAGACCACCCCCAGATGTGGTATTTGAACCGGATTTAGTTTGAGACAAAGGCCATAAGTTAGACATTTTGCTGGTTGCTGTAGATTTGATTACTTTCAAAATATTTGATTCACTTTCATTCATATTAGACATCCAACAACGAATATAACCATAAACATTCGCTATATTCATACACAATGCGATGGTGCAAACAAAAGCCCAACGAATATGCAGTGAAAATAATGACGCCAAGAAAAATACACACCATATTGCTGGACTTCCAATTAAACCCATCCAAAATAAACGAGATAATTGTTGTCTAGCCATACGAGCGGCCAATTCACGCCGACTAAGGGAGGAAACATCAGCAGAATCTATAGGTGAAGGTTTACGTGAGTCATATCGCCAATGTACCACTCCGGCGTCATCGGTATAACTTGACCAACGTAAGCCAACTAAGATGCGTCCAGAAATATTTTTTACAACCCAAAAATCGAGTGATAAGCAAACAAGTATAAAGATAAACGGAAGAACGAAAGACGTTGTAAACCAAGCGCATAGTATATATATGACCAAAGCAGAAGAACGGAAGAGGAAATGACCGATTACAGCTGAGCGTCGGGTTGATGGGCTATGAGGTCCGTCCGATGATCCAGTATCCATATCATCTGTCAAAGCTAAGACAACTTCATCTCTGGAATCCATCATGGCTAATGAAAATGTGCCTACAAAATGAGTGCAAGTATGTAAGCATAGGATAATATCCAATAGTAATTCGGTAGTAGTGAACCCTACCAGACAAGCAATAATAGAATAACTTTTACTATGAAATATAATCATTGACTAATTTAATACCCCTGAAAATTGACAGAAAAAGACGGTAACTGATGTATGTGATAAAGTCAGTTATTGAAGTAGTGTGTATAAATAGCTTGATCTATGAAAATAATATGTGGAAAGTAACATTCCCCCGGACAATATAACCTCTTTAGTAGTACTAGATATGATAGTCAAGTCAAACAGATGTTGGTTTGTTGGCGAATGAGTGATAAAAAAACTGGTATCCTTCAATCGGCTAAAGTATGTAATCATGTTTATTATTGCGTTAAGATAGTGCACACAAGTAAATAATTCTATCAAAAAAAGCCTACTTTGTAAGTGATACTTCTGTTTTGGATAGAGATTCATCTAGGTGTTAGTGTCAATAGTCTCGTCTCGAAAGCGTTTATCACTCGATTACACCGTAACAGAGTTCATCCATTACTCAGCACTATTTGTCTAACAATCCAGACTCTCTTATTACATATAATAAAATCTTCCATAAGAGTAGTTATCAAGCAACTCTTATAACCAAAATAAAGTTTTAGATTTCTGAGTGGATAAACATGAATTTAAGTTGAACGATGCCTAATTAACTATATATTTCCTGCAAACCAGAAAATATAACAATCGCTACTGGCCTGACATGATTAATTACTGAGGTTAAAAGCTTTTGATGTGGGTTCTTAAAACAAGGATCCGATTCGGTCTGGATACTTGAGGAAAATTACAGTCATCATACACTGCGACGATCAGACAAAAATATTGAAAAGTCTCATGCGGCTCCTTTTTCATCCAAAATTTTAAACATTGTTACACATTTCGGTTAATTGGTTAGTTGAGGACAAAGTAGAGAGCAAGATGGATCTGTGACGGTCTAAGCAAGCATACCTCACACATTTTATGGAGAGCAAAAAGTGAAATCAGGCACAAGAAGTTGATTAGCACTTGTTGCAATGGGACCTAAACATAACAAGATGAACAAATGAAATCGAAGAATAAAAAGTATGAAACGACACAAATATCAGGGATTGGAAAAGCATCGACAGTTAGTGCCACTGAACTACCGAGACTAATGTCAAGCTGCTTTCTACCTCACTAAAATGATTTTTCGAGGTTTTCCGGCAAATATTAATTCTACGCTGCACTATCCAACAGCAAAGTACTACCACAATGTTTGGTATAACCAATCTATGTAACTATTGGTCATTTCCTTGGAAAGTTCTGTGTAGGTGACTGTGTAAAGAAAAACGTTTAGGGAATAACACAGCATTTAGTCAACGGGTCAGATGGCGAGAAGGAGGGCGCGTGAGATCTTCAACATTGTCACGTGAACTATATGAAGGCTCTTCATTTCCTCTGACATTTACAATTATTACTACGTTTGGATAGAATTGGCAATCAAGAGAAATCTAATTTGTGTACCAAGAGGAGATTGCCATGTAACTTTATGATATCCAATCCAGTTCTTTCACAAGAATGTAATGACAACGAAAATATAATCTTTGGACGAACCAATGAAATTAAGGATAGAAAGTCTTGAATTCTGGGGCGAAATCCATTTATACATATGGCTAAATAGCATTTCGACATTATAGCTGATATAATTTCCTGATGAGAACCCTAAGTTTCATTTCTGATAACGAACTCGGAACCCTAATATTAATTTCTTATACTCGTTTGGAACTCTCTTCATGAATGCCACTTCAGCATCCATCAAAGGTCCACGTATTCTAGGCATACGGTTTCGATATGCAACACCAAAACGATCCAATGAAAACTGATTAATTTCGTTGCGATAGCCTCTAATTGCTTCGGTAATGTTCCAAGTCTTCAGTAATTTCCAATAGGAGGGAGTCCAACCACTTGACTGTGGTAGCTCTAATTAGTTTGGTAGTTGTTGGTAAGTTTATTTATCTTGAAATCTGAGTAACCGTGTATTACGCAACTAGGATTTCTGGAACACACACATCATATGACCAGAGAGGACGTTGCATAGTTATGATTAAGAAAAAATTGACGACCTGGATGGAGGAAGGTCAATAAAAGAATATTTCTGGAAGAGGTGAACTAATTAACGAATTAATCGAATACTAATGCAATGTGAGTGAAAAGAAATGTATGGATAACAGATAAATTTAGATTGTAGAGGCAAAATAGGAACAAGCCGATGATAATAATAATGGTAGATAGGTTACAAAACGTGCGATAGGTACAGCTAACCTAAATGGGAGATGTTAATCCATAATTACATGCCTATCAAATCTCCTTTTGAACCTGTATATTCAAAAGATTTACAAACGTAACTGTAAATACAAAGAATCTGGATCAAGTGCTATAAACAGACGCACGATCTACAGTCCATAATTGTTTATATTTAGTACAAACACTACTAGACGCACTGATTCCTTAAAAGAAACTAGGGAGAAGAACGCCAACATACTCTGACAAACGTACTCAGCGTTATTCTGAAAAATTGCGATTTTATTGTACAATCTTCAATAACCTAATGTCCAGCTAATGTGAACTGGTTTACTTTTCTTGGCCAGCAATATAGTGTTCAATAAATGTCTCCGATCTATAGAAGGGTGCAGTCAATGTGATTCAGTCCTTCTTAATCGTAGTTTTGAAGTAATTAACTCTTCAACAGATATTGCCGAAACTTTAAGAAACGCGATTCATGCATACTTTAACAACTGTCGCTATTCCCATGCATCGATAGGTTTCTCAAATAAACTCACACATATTACTCATGTTCACCTTGGGCAGGTCATCATATTGTAATATCACAAGTACTGAACATTCGTGATTGATGCAGACATCAAGAAGTTTGGATGTACGACGTAATCACACAAAAATGGATCAACAAATGTACATTTTACAGGAAACAATCCTGATTGCAACACGATTGCAGCATAAGACTGCGTATACTTTTATGTTTTATCTTCCAAACCAAGTTTACATCCGGTAACTCTAAGCAATTTGTGTATAGCAACTATTACTCTTGATTCCACACAACTGTAGTATCACAACGTACGGAAAGTAATCCAGATCAGTAAAACGAAAGTGAGTTTCGATGGCTGTTGTGCAGCTGACTACCGATTAACTCGGCAATGAGAAACGTGAATTTGAGTTCAACACTTTCACTCTCGATAATCAAGTTGACAACAAGTTTTTGTCATAAAGTAAGTGTGATACAATCCAAGTGCATGAAGTAAACCCCGTATATTTGAAGGACGTTTGAAAGCTCGACCTTTCAAAGACTGACCCTTCACTTGGTGACTTCTTTCTTAAAATGACTTACTCGGTGCCTGTACCACACAATTGTTGTGCAGTACTGGAAAGTTGTGGTGGAAAATAAAAATAAAATGTATTATATGGTGTACGCCCAAATGTGATAGCTTGATATGAAAGTTGATTCGCCAAAGATTTTGATATTTATAAATTTCATCCTCTTGATTCTTAGTTACATCTTTACGACATAAAAGTGACAGATGGCAAGGTCGTGCTTTACATAACCTCCTCATTCAGTGTTTAGGAAATCTCCACAAGGCGCAGATATCCATGTCGGTACAGCACAAGCAACTACCACAATGGGATACCATGGTGCATCAGCGACCCGAAGTACTTTACTTATGCAAAACATCGAACTATCTCTTGATAAATCTTTCCTCAACTTCTAGTTGTTAGACAACTAAAAAATATTTTGACGAAGAGATTACAACCAAACGGTGTCGCTTTTGATTCATCGAGTCGGTTGACTATGAGATGTGCCGTACCACCAGATTCCGGCCAATGCGGCATATTTTGACACGAGTTTAGGTCATAGAAAGCTAATAAAAACTGTGTGAGGGCTAAGGGAAAAGTAAAACTAGAGTACAATACAAAAGGCACCAGTTGAAGTGGAGTTAAAATGATTGATAGTGTACATCTGAAGGAAACAAGAGGAAATTAAATTACGTGAAGAAGTTTGCATATACAAAGCAATCGAAAAGGATCTTACAGGCAGTATAAGTATTTCGTCGTTATAAATAGAAACACATCAATACTGTATCAATGATGATATTGGTGTTATCTTTGGTTCAGTTTAGCAAGCTAGTTTACAATTATGCACGTACGCTATCCGTATGATTTCATTTTTATTTTCGTCTGCATCAATAGACTAACCGAAGGAACAGGAATATAACCTCGGAGAGGAAGAATTTCGGCCAGTGTTCCGATTAGTTTGCTATGTTTGATACGGTTTACTTAGTCACGGGGATATCAATAATATTGATGGTGCATATGAATTGCAATCAAAAATTCATTTAATACGTGAATTCAGTGATAATTATGTGAATTCCAGACAGATATATGACAGTAGTTTGTTGAACATGAAAGCCCAGTGACAGATACACTCTGGACATAATTTTTTGATTGGCGACAAACCAGTTTTTTATATTCATACATACATGTTGGTGTATGCAATTCAGTTGCAAGCATCACGTCTGGGACGATATGTAGATTGGTTTGTATGAAACTGAGTGATTATATGATATTGAGGTCAACTAAGCTTACATGACATAAATATAGATGATATGGTGTTGCAGGATACTTTCAGATAAATCAGTTTTTACGAGATGATTGACAGTGGGTGATGCTTATTTGATTATCGAGAAGAGAATAAGTTGTAACCAAAAGGATTACAACTCCCAACTCATATCTATGGTAATATCATGAACCTTTGCCAGTGTTGCGGTTGATTCGACGGTGATGTTTTAAGTTTGCAGGAGATATGCTCGACTGCGCCGCTAAACCTCCAAGTAGACTGACAAGGTTCTAAGATGTCTACTGAATGAGCAACTGACAGAGAAAAATGCTGAAATCATTTACAGTTGATAAAGATAACCACAAGAAGACAAAAGTGTTCAATTTATCAATTAAGTTTGTTGACAGTTTCATCAGTTTTATCAATCATATTACGTGACTGTCAAGTCATAACAATGCTTTATAACGATATCCAGAAATCATTATAAATAACTAGTTATAGTGTTGATTGGTTATTAGCTATTGGGAGCTGGGTATTGTTGTTTTAAGTGATACTCAAATATCAGAAGTTGTGACACTAACGGATCGGAGATGCATGATTATATAACAAATGGCGACCCGGAAACATTTGTCCACTTAGGATTAGTTTTATTAGTAGGCTCCAGAATTTTTATTTTCAACGCTTATTTGGATGACAACCAAGTGACAGCCTATTCATTATATCAGTGGAGAACGATAATATCTTAATGCGGTGACTTTGTTACCTTATCTACGTTAAAAGTCATTTCAGGCCACCGATTTTATAACCCGATTATTAAACTCAAATACTGTAGTTAGTCTAGTAACGTTCATAAATATGTAGTAATGAAAATCAGAACTGAGAAGTAAAAAATTGCCGTTAAACCTGATATGGTTTTTCTGAAAAGGACACACCTCAAAGTAGCATGTCACCATCTTATCTCAAAGATAGATAGATGGACTTTTCATAAGAAGTTGCTGTAGTTAGCTTCGTGGCATTTACAAATACATGTCTATGGTAATTTGGACTGAGAAATGCCGCATTAATTTTGAATCTAATGGGCTTTGTCTGAGAGCAGCACACTTTTCCATGGCAGTATGTTATCGCATAAAACTATTAAATATATCTATGTAGAAAACAGTTCCTGTAGTGGTTTATGTGAAACATTTATGGACTATCTAAGCGAATATACATATATATCAAGAAGTATCAGAAACATGGATTGTCTGGTGAAAAAATAAAACCTGCTAGCATTTTTTTTGAAATTAGGACAAGCCAACTGTGACAAATAGAATAAACCCAAAAGGAACTAGACTGAACACGCAATGTTGCGAATAAATACGGGATGTGCGGGATACTGTTGACTTTTTCGCTCTGTCTATTCAGCACAAATCTAAGAGTTCAGATCAATACTTGACTATCACCGTCTGAACAAATCTGAAATGAGCTTAAGGTCGAATAAGCCATACACCTTAAACTCGCCATAGGTTTCTGCAATATTGTCTTCGTTGTCCGGCAATGCAGCCGTGAAATTGGAAATTAGGCAGGCAGTGGTTGAAAGAAGGGAAAAGTCCGTAGTTTAGAATAGAGTAAAATATTGGAAGGAGAAACAGGATAAAGAATTAAACCAAGATATTGATCGAGTCCTTGCTTACATTGCTAGCCAATGTGTATATACATCGATTAAGGGCCATATTTACTAGTGGTTGATGTTTAAACAAGTCCATTTCGCTGAAGCATATGAATGCTAATAAAACTTGTTGGTTCACGGTCACAGCTAGTCACAAATATGGGCGATCATTTATTAGTATCGATCGAGCTAGTAAGCTATGTGTACTAATCAATATTAAAACACAATACACTTTAGACTAATCACTGACTATTAGACAAATGGGTAAACATAAGTGAAAACTAATTGATAAAGCTTATGTGAAAATGACGAATAATAACAGGCCGCGTTTCTGTAGTCGGCCTAACCAATGTTATGTTATGGTCTAATTTGGTCTAATTCACCTTCTCTCCGTGCTTAAGGTTGAGCAACCATCAAGCATATGGCAAAGCGATTTCGTTGACCTGGTTTGAATAAAGACATGAGGGAGCGGGCACGCCTTTGTATGAGCTGCCAAAAGTCTAGAGTGATTAACAAAACAAGTGACCCTTAGTCTCTTTTGTAATTCCTGACGCCTGTTTCGACCATGTTCATTTTTAGATGGTAGGATCTTTACCAGATTCATATGGATGCTCTTATTTCTTAACATGTTTAGACCGTTTCATACGATGACCAGAAGCAGTATTTATCAAGGACATTACTACTGAAGCAGTGGCCTGCGCCCTCGTCGAACGATGGGTAGCGAATGTTGGCTGCCCTTCAACAACCACTACAGATTTCGTACGCCAGTTAGAATTAGGACTTTTTCGTCGTCTTACTACATTACTAGGAATCCCACTTTTAAAATGAATGTCTATCATCCACAAGCTAGCGAGTCGGTAGAACGATTTTATAGGCGTTTGAAGGCTTCGGTTTTAGCTGCAAATGTATCACAATTAACTAACGCTATTCCACACTTGTTACTCGAAATACACAATACCGTGAAAGCTGATATTGGATTCACTACGTCAAAACTCGTCCACGGTACGACACTTCGATTCCCGGGAGAACCAGCGAATCCTTCGTCTACTTCAACTAACTCTCAAATTAGCGACATAATAGACGTCATGCATTCAGTCAAACTTCCCCTAATCTCATTTTTTTAAACACTTCAAGGCTGGAAGAATATTACATGAACCCTATATCTCCGTGACAAGCATAACCCCATACTTCTAAGTTACAGATCCAAGGGGGCAATTAATTATTCAATTCTGACCAATGAAATTCGAAATATCGGCCTCCATATGATAATCAAATTTGCGAGGGATTAATGCATCTGTTCGCACATAATTTTTGCCTAGGAAATCATCCAATATCTGAAACCGTTTTTAAACGTCATGAGATTTTCACAAATATATGAACTGGTTCGCGCTAGTTCTAAACAAAGTTATTTTTGGCATATTGGACAAAGATTATAAGGTAGAAAGGGAGGAAGTCTAACTAATGCGCTACAGATGTTAAACAGTCTTGGTTTTATCGTTTTAGACATTTCTTCTAATTTGCATATCTCTTCGCTATCCTGATTGTAAATATCATTTCTTTTTCACTCTGTAAGTCTCGTTTTCCTCCTTCTTCGCTTTTCAAAAAGCTAGCTCTAGTCTCGACTTCTCAAATTATACGTAAGCTTAGTAGAAGTAGAGCATACGACCGATCTTGTCATACCTTTCAGACGACAGAGAAGTCGTTTGATTGTGAAACTATTAATGGGAAAAAACTAATGCAACTATTATTGGCTAACAATTTTAACAAATACAGAACCTTCATTAGAGTTCTCATCATGAACTGATATCAGCTCTAACACAATAATGGATTATGTAAAAAAATCTGGTCTGTACGTCTACGTACTTTACTTCGTCTATTTTACATGTTAAAGGAATTGTAAGTTGGCAAATAAGCATTCTACTTGTTCATGTTTTTACCCGGTGTCTTAAAAACAAATAAATCTAACAGCTCCCTGAATCTCAATAATATATTCAGCGCCATTATGTTATGATTAATTATTCACTTCCTTTGTTTCGATGATTTTCCTCTTTAAAAGCCAACTGTATAAGATTGTATAAAGTGCTATAAAAACGCTGTACCAAACAGATTCAGATTTGTGTAGTAAGGAAAGAAGGCCTACGGCCTTAAGAGCGTAATGTGGCTAAGGTCGTGCTAAAATCTAGTTTTTGGTTCCTTTTCGAAAGATTTTGTTAACTTAGAAAAATGACTGACCTATCAGCGAGATCCGTTTTAACATGCTGTGAGATTTTAGCTCCTGAAATCTTCCTGCAATCCGAATTCGCGTCAAGTGCTCAAGAACTCCTTACTTTTCTTTTTCTGGGTGTGATTAAGCCAATCATTCACCTTATTATGTCTCTTGATCACATAATCGGCGAGACTATAATTCATGGACGAACCGACCAGACTTAAGATAACAGGTCTTGGATTTTGGTGCGAAATTCGTTCATCCATTTGGTTAAAGAGTGTTTTGACATTTTAGCTGATGTCAGTTCGTGATGAAAACTCTAAATCGAATTTCTAACCCTAATCATCGCATTGGTTCATAATCCTCGTTTAGTCTTAGTATGTGGACATTCCGAAGGTCACTTTGGCATCGCTCAAATGTCGTCTATAAATTATAGTCTCATCACAGTAAAAAGCTAATGATATGGAAATATTGTTTACGTACTGAGACAAAATGTAACATCACCACTGTTACATTTAACTCACTGCCTTTAGCTTCCTTTCATTTAAATTTATATTCAGAGTTGAAATGGAAACAGTCTTCCGCTACGGAGAAAAGCCGATCGAGTTTCAGCTGGAGTCTGATGGTGAATACTTTTACTTAGCATCAGAAGTGAGTTATATTTTTAATTCTCGGTTGTCGTAAGTGTAAAGTTAGTTAAGTGCTCGTGCTTATGTACTTTAGAAAGTAATGTGGAAAATGCGTGACAACAGTTCGTCATCTCAGTTGAATATTCTAGAACAGCAGTAACTGCGATAGGGTACAGAAATTAATGACTCCCGTTATTACAGAACTTTCTTACCGATTAGAATCCATATCCGGGCATCTTGATTTTACATTTAATAAAAACGATGTAGGCGTGTTGAAAATTATCAGGAGAGTAGAATTCAGCAACCATATTCACGGTCGTGTGTTTACCTTTGAGTCGTACATATCCTCTGTATTAACACCTTCATTTGACTCCCCTGCCATTAGTAGATTAAGCAGATTTCTGCCACATCACTCACTGCTAAAGGCCAAATACATAAATCACTAAACTAAGGCTTTGTACTACAAAAAATATATCTTCAGAGAGGAGAAATTTACCATTAAATTATAATGTGAATTCATCTCAATCATTCTTTATAGTTACAATGCAGGTGGTTCATCACTGTTATCAGATAAGGGTTGTCTGAGTGTAATAATAGTAGTACTTACACATGGTTAGTCTTGTTATTAGTTCATCTAATAAGGCATCTCGTAGCAATAACAATAATAAAAACACTAGTACAAAGAAGGTCTAATGTATATTTTAGTGATACTACTCCTTACTACAAACTTATTCTACAATCCGTTTGTCGTCAGGCTTTTTTAATAAAATTACAAAAAAGTGACATTTTTTGGTTAACCTTAAAACATGTTCACCTGAACGACCTCTGTTTATGTTTCGGAATATTTCTACATTGATAGCTAGCGGTGGGCACTTATTTGGAACTCGTTGTCTAAATGTATCAATATTTTAATGAATTTTGATATTCTCATCAAAATTCGAATCTACTTTTTAGCATCCCAAGCTTTACAGTGTTATTCCTTCACCACGCTGTCAAATCATAAGTTGACTATTATTAGTGAGTAGAACTCACTAGCAACCAAAGGACGAGTTTACTGTGCAGCAGTTCGTTCCGTCCTACTTTATGACAGTAAAACATGGCCGGTAAAAGTAGATCACAGCCCTCAAGCAAATCAAATGAGATTTGTATGGCGCATATGTATCTGGTGCTTCCTTGTACCAATATTTATGTGTTTAAATAAATAAATAAGAGTAGATAATATTCACAGGTTACTAGTTTTCGATCATAGATGTCTCAGAAGCATTGTTCGTATATCCTGGGACCACTGAGTAAGTAATGCAGTTGTTAGGACACGGGTACTAGGTAAGGATGCCAAATCGATTGATGAAGTAATGAAACTTCATCAGTTGAGACGGCTGGGACACAAGTCATGTATGCCCAACCACTGGCTTCCCCGACGTGCGGTGTTTTATGGTGTAGAAATAGGTTTGAAGAGAGCTAGGGGCGTCCAGACCAAAACGTGGCACAAATCAATAAATTCACTGACAATGGGACTGAGCCATGTTGGTAGGTGTAGCTACCTGGTTTGGATCCGCGAGATGATAGCAATCGGTGGTTAGAGACCTTGAATGATATGGCTCAAAATCGTTTGCAATGGCGAATGTGCATTCACTCTTTGTGTTCTACCAAATTCTAATCTTTTGAATTCTTCATGTCTGTCTTTTTCCATTTCCAAATTTATTTCACTGGATTATACTCCTTCAATAACATCTTCAAACCGTAATCTTTCGGATTACTGTTTATACTCTTACTATCTCTACCACTATGGGATTTGAATCTACAACTGCATCTCGGTGTTAATGTGGTATGGCAACTCGAACTAATGTACGTACGTACGAAGTCCTACGTTGTGACTAACTGACTGACTGAGATCGAACTAATTTGCTACAGTATGTTTTCTTCATAATGCGTGTGCCCATTATTTTCGCTGTTTTTTTCTAAAACTGCTTCATTTCTGATTGACACTAGGACTCGATAAACTCTTGAGTAATAGTTTCAGAATTCAAAGTATCATTATTATTTATTTTGCTTATTAGGTGGGTCGATATCTGCGCTTATTTCGTAAAGAATTATTTAAAAAATATCCGAATTTATGGAAACGATTAGTTACTCCAGAAGAAAAAGAGAAATTAATTCAAATGGGTGAGTAAATATGATTTCTTATGGAATTTGCCTGGTAAAGTTTTCGTATTAGGTTGGTATATGAATTCCACCAGCTTATTCCAGCGTTGCAAATAGTGGACCGAGAAATCAAGGTCTGCATTTGAAATATGGATGATAAAATACTGGGATAGTTGAACAACAACTCAGATGTGTTGAGAAAAGAAGTGTTTGGTTCTATTTGTCATAGACTGTTTGCGAGCTTCAAAGTCATATCATCAGAACATCTCACAACAGTATCAACATATTGCTTGCATTTTTCCAGCTTGTCATCAGATAATTTGTGCAACGACTGCTGTTAATGAGATGTTATGCTCACATTCCGACGATCTTCGTCGACTTAATTTAATTTGAAACGTTTAAGAAAGCGACAGTATGAGTGGATGTGACTGCGATGGAGAGTCTTACAGAACATTCTATAGTATTCACATTTCGCTGTTCAGCTTCTCGAAAAGAAAGTGATTTTCGTATTTGCTAACACAGAATATCCCAGGAACCCATTGAGTTACTTCACAGTTACAGGATTTTCAAACAATGATCAACAAAGCCCCATAAACTTGAACTTAGGAGACTAAACATCAACTTGATCTTCATGCTGATAGTTGTTGTGACTCAAATTTGAGTGCTCAATAATTGTTTTACATTAATTAATGTAAAATATAGTTCTCTTGAATTTTTTTATCTAAACTTATTTAACACAAAATAGGATTGGCAACTCCTATAACTGCTACTAATGCTATGTTGTTGCGTACATATGAGGTCAATGAAATTATTTGCGATCAAGATCGGTTAGCAGATTTAAAAAGTGGGGAGCTTATTTCAAAAGACTGCTCATCAAGCTCTAATAATTTAAATATGAACTCCAGTGGTTTACGAAATTTCAACTCGAATGCGACTCCTAAATTGAATGCTGGGTTCGCATCTGTTGGTCGAACAAGTCTTGGTTCAAGTACTAATTCGGCGACGTCAGCAACGTTACCAGGTGTTATGAACACTTCCGGTACTATTGATCACACAACTGCAAGTGGAAATTTTAAGTCAAGAAGAGATAGCAGGTGGCTTGGTGTTGGTTCAACTCCAAATACATCATTTCATTTGGACTCAGTTCCTTGTCCAACTCCTATCAGTCGATTAAGAACTGGTAAGTCGTCTGTTTTCTTGATTATTAGTATTGTTTTTGCTACAAGACAAGCTAAACTATTCCGATACGTTCCAGGCCCGCTAACTAGAGCGAGGAGGCCTGGTTCGGATGAGGGAAAAGTGTATTCCACAAGCAACCAGAAGCATGAACAATAACAAGAACACAACTCAAACGTATATATATATATATATATATATATATATATATATGGCATAAAAATGTCCTTAGGAGACTTCACAAATTAGCATATTAAAAGCGGCAACCAAAAATGATATTTAAGGTCCTGCCGAGTGGGAAATACAATCTGAAGGTAAAAATGAGTGCTTTTGGCGCAAAAACGAGAAATCAAAATTTCCAAAATAAAATTACCAAAATAAGACGTTTGCAAACTGATTTCTGGGGATCTAGCATCCCCAGTAGTTTGAGTTGAAAAATCTAAATTCCCTATTTGTTTGTTTGCATACTAATAAGTAGTTGATTAGTAAGCAATTAAACCAATACATGAAGTCTAATTTTATTTATTTCGACATGAACATACATACGAAAGGGCACCAAAATATGCACGTCACACATAATTTGTGAGGACTGGGATACTACCCGGATCCCCAAAGCGAAACACGTGGCTTTATTAGAGAACCATTTCCTGAGCTTTTGACGTCAAGGCCTAATCCACAAAACAGTGGAGCGACGTCAGGAGATGCAGTCCCATGGTAGCCGGTGACCAACGATTGATTCATACGCCGTTTGTACCATCAGGACTCTGGAGCCCATGTGCACCATTGATTTGGAATGAGGGTTTTCTAACTCTCCTAGGTGGATCCCGCTTACCCACCAACCTGGTTAAAGTACCGGACATTTGTTTTTTGTTCTTTCAATTTCGTAAACAACAACCCCGCCGCGGGAAAGCGATGAGTAGAACTTCCCTGACAGAGGCTGTATACGCGTGGCCATGTGAGAGCATTTTGAGAGGGAGAGCTGAATCTCCCCACTGTTGACCATGCTAGGGCATTCAGGGGCAGAATTAAAAGCCGGCGATACCCGGTATTCGAATTCATTCGGTATAGAGATACTGTGTAAGATTCTCTATGATTATACTTATCTGTCTATGACTTTTAAAAATCTTAACAATACACCTTATTTCTTTTTTACTTCCATTTTCATATTGTAGCCAGACAGACAAGTAAATCATTTACATTCCCTTTTTGTTTGGATGATTCTGATCCAATTGCATTTCATGAGAATGCACGTCAACCGGAATGTTTAGTACCAATTCGTTTAGATATAGAATGTGATGGTGTTAAACTACGTGATTGTTTTACATGGAATCGTAATGAACAATTAATTACATTGGAACAAATGGCTGAAGTACTTTGTGATGATTTAGACTTGAATCCAATAAATTTTGTTCCAGCTATTGTGAATGCTATGAGACAACAGGTAAAAAAATGTGTCATATTCTATACAGTCATGAGGAAACTTATTACAGTGCAATATCTTGTGCTAAGAAATCCTTACTGTAATCAAATAATATGTTTTTGGTGGGTATAGACGTGTTGGGGAGATCTCCGAATCTTATAGTTTACATCACTGTGTAACCTTAGTTAGACAGGCAGAAAGCACTACAAAGCTATTTAAGCCTATTATAGGATTTCTCAGCAGTGCTCATCCATGACTCCACTGCTTTGAGTGTAAGCTACAATCATAAAGGCTAAATAGTACCATAAATATAATTCCATATTCGAACGTAGTCCTATATATCCATTAGGATTTAAATCGTACTTGTTTCGTGAAGATCAGCTGGTGTTAATTTTACTTCAATCATTATGTATTTTACTCCACTTTCCTTCGAGGTACTTTTCATCGCTAGTTTTCAAATCTATTTTTGTATATTTTCGACTATATCTCTGTATCATGCATTTCGGGATTAGATGTGTGTAAAGTAGGAACCTGTGCTTCGCAGGAGAAAGGTTTTACATGCCAACCAATGTCATACAGTTAGTGTCTCTGAAAAGTTAGGTATCATAATCAGGCTTACTGGTAGCGAGTAGATTATATATCTGTACAAGATTCCCGCCCAAGTTTCTTTGTCTGTCGACATAACTAGCATACACCACGATATCAGTCAGTCAGTTAGTCACAACGTAGGACTTCGTACGTACGTACATTAGTTCGAGTTGCCATACCACATTAACACCGAGATGCAGTTGTAGATTCAAATCCCATAGTGGTAGAGATAGTAAGAGTATAAACAGTAATCCGAAAGATTACGGTTTGAAGATGTTATTGAAGGAGTATAATCCAGTGAAATAAATTTGGAAATGGAAAAAGACAGACATGAAGAATTCAAAAGATTAGAATTTGGTAGAACACAAAGAGTGAATGCACATTCGCCATTGCAAACGATTTTGAGCCATATCATTCAAGGTCTCTAACCACCGATTGCTATCATCTCGCGGATCCAAACCAGGTAGCTACACCTACCAACATGGCTCAGTCCCATTGTCAGTGAATTTATTGATTTGTGCCACGTTTTGGTCTGGACGCCCCTAGCTCTCTTCAAACCTATTTCTACACCATAAAACACCGCACGTCGGGTAAGCCGGTGGTTGGGCATACATGACTTGTGTCCCAGCCGTCTCAACTGATGAAGTTTCATTACTTCATCAATCGATTTGGCATCCTTACCTAGTACCCGTGTCCTAACAACTGCATTACTTACTCAGTGGTCCCAGGATATACGAACAATGCTTCTGAGACACCTATGATCGAATGCTAGCAGCCTACGAATATCCTCTACTCTTATCGGCCATGTTTCACTGCCATACAGTCAGTCAGCTACAACGTAGGACCAGGCACATATATGCATCGGTCCAAGTTGCCATACCTCGTTAGCACAACAAGACCGGATTCATAGAAGTAGTTAATTTAGTGGTGGTAGTATATCAAGAAAGGTTGTATATAAGGATATAGTACAGGAAGGAAGAGAGATATGAAGCGATTTTAATCTCAAGGTTTAAGGGAAGATAAAGAGTGTATACACCTTCGCCATTATGATCAACTCTGAGCCATGTCACACAGAGTCTCCAACCATTGGTTACGACAGTCACGCGGACCCCAACCAGGTAGTCAGCATCTGTCAACATGGCTCAGACTAGAAGTTAGTGACTTCAAAACACTGGTGCTATGTCTTGGTTTGGCCGCCCCTAACTCTCTTCCAACCAACCCCAACACTAGTCATCATAGCGCGTCGTGGTAAACGGTGTTTAGGCATACGTAACACATGGCCATACAGTAGGACGGACCGGACTGCTGCACAGTAAACCCGTCCTTTGGTTGCTAGACGGATATCTCGCCTACGCCATAAATGACGCAAGTTGGCGAAAGCTAGACGAGCCTTCTGTATCCGTGCTGAGTTTTCGTCACATACCAGACCACAAGGGCTGATGAAGACTCCCAAGATAAGTGAAGCGATCAACACGCTCAACTGCTTCACTCCCTATCATTGGTTCAGGTGTCGATGCAACCCAATCCTGAAGTAATATTTTGCACTTCGAGGGAGAGAATCGCATTCCGAACATGCCTGCATAGTTGCTTATAGTGGTCAAAAGACTGTGCATTTTGTCAGCGTCTTCACCAAATGAAACTATGTTGTCGGCATATTTTAAGTCAAGAAGTAAGCCTCCCACACTCAGCTGTTATTGTCATAGGAAGTTTATTTTTATGAAATAGGTAATCTTTAATGGTAACGCACTCATCATTAGAACTGAACTTAATCGTTTAATGTGATCAGTATCCCGATTTTTGGATGAAAGCACGTAACTGCCTAATGTATCTTGTATTTCCAGTGGTTCTCTTGCCAGTTTAATATAAGTATTTTTGACCGTTAAATCCCCAGAAAAACTTCTTCATAGATTGTTTTGGGTAAATTCCTTTTTTTTTCTTGAATAGATTGATGCTCATCCCATGAATGATTTTCTAGTTGGACAAACTGATACACGAGTTATTATTCGTTTAAATATACATGTAGGCAATATTTCTTTAGTAGATCAATTTGAATGGGATCTTTCTGAACCAAACAATTCACCGGAACAATTTGCTTCAAGACTTTGTGCTGAATTAGGTTTAGGTGGAGAGTTTGTTACAGCTGTTGCATATAGTATTCGTGGACAACTTGCTTGGCATCAGAAAATTTATGCTTTTAGGTAATTATTTCCTTTGTCTTTGTTATATGAATGACCTTCTGGCTACCTTATCACTCACACATACATTTCGTATTTTTCAATAGTCCAAGTGTAGTTAATGTATGTTCTTTCATCACTCATATTAGTAATACCATTCTTTTGTTTCCAACGATTTACCCTACCCTAACTGTTATGATTTATTTATTTATTTAAACACATAAATATTGGTAAAAGGGGCACCAGATACATATGCATCACACAAATCTCATTTGATTTGTGTGAGGGCTGTGATACTGCCCAGGTGCCCAAACCGAAACAGCTGGTTTTCCTAGGTGGCCATACCCAGAGCCTTTGACCTAAAGGTCTGATCCACAAGGCAGTGGAGCAACGTAAAGAGATGCAGTCCCATGTTAGCCGGTGACCAACGATTGATTCATAAGCCGTTTGTTCCCTTAGGATACTGGAGTCCATGTACACCATTGGTCTGGAATGCGGGTTTTCCAAATCCCCTAGGTGAACTCGCCGTGTCCACCAACCCGGTTAAAGCACCGGACATTCGCTTTTCGTCCTCTCAATTGCGTAAACAACACCCCCGCAGTGTGAGAAGGCAGCAAGTAGGACTTCCCTGACAGAGGCTATATACGTGTGTACATATGAGAGCATTTGGAGAGGGAGGGCGAACTCTCCCCACTCTCGACCGTACCAGGGTATTCACAGACTAATTGAACGCATATAAAAAATCACGCATAATGAAAGATCAGTGTGAATATATTAACAGTGATGTAATCATCTATGATATTAATTCATCTACATATTGTTTGTTTGAATCTGCTTATTGTTATTTAACACTACAAATAATCAGTCTCTTATTGGCATATATGCATCCTTTACGGATTGCCTTGATATTGCCACTAAGTCACAAGCCTTTTAAGCAAAGATGGATTGTGGTGAGCAGTGAAATCCAGGACGCAGATCTCGTTCTATTTGAGAATCTTAGGTACATTCAGCTGACGAGTTCCAAGTAGGACGAAACATGGGTCCTGGATCCCATTGCTAGTTACCATCTGTCTCTGTTTAAATCATCTATGATACTGTTATATTTTTATTATTCTGGCACATGTGCAGTGATTTACATTTGTGTTGATTATTTTGTCTAAGAAGATGGTGAAAACCTCATGATTAAATCATCGGCTTAATAATGTGACTCTCATCGACATCTAAAGTGTGTATAATGTACAACTTAACAACCAATTACATAACTCTCGGATTCTTCCAATTAATGTAATGAACTGCTTATATAACTATATGTTATAACACTATTTTTAAAACTTCATTTTTACTCTTCTAGTGAATCTCCTTTACCGACAGTCGATATAGTTTTCCGTAATTCAAATGAAGCTGATCAATGGAGTCCAGTTGTTGAAGTTCTTACTGATGCAGAAATGGAGAAAAAGATACGCGATCAAGATCGTAATACCAGGTAAGCATCACTATAGTCTAACCATAGAAAGTTGTAATCAAGCAAATCATCAATCAATTTTATTTATTTAAACACATAAATACTGGTAAAGGGAAGCACCAGATACATATGCGCTACACAAATCTCATTTCATTTGTGTGGGGGCTGTGATGCTGCCCAGGTGCCCAAACTGAAGCAGGTGGTTTTCTTAGGAGGCCACATCCGGAGCCTTTGACCAAAAAGTCTGATCCACAAGGCAGTGGAGCAACGTAAGGAGATGCGGTCCTATGGTAGCCGGTGACCATTGGTTGATTCACACGCCATTTGTTCCCTCAGTATACTGGAGTCCATGTGCACCATTGGTTTGGAATGAGGGTTTTCCAACTTCCCTAGGTGGAACCTCCATGTCCACCAACCCGGTTAAAGCACCGGACGTTCGTTTTTCATCCTCCCGATTTCGTAAACAGTAATTACACGATAAGGCAGTGAGTAGGACTTCCCTGGCAGAGGCTGTATGCGCGTGTCTATGTGAGAGCATTTGGAGAGGGAGAGCAGACTCTCCCCACTTTCGACCGTACCAGGACATTTGGGGGCCAAAGGTACTAATCAATAAAGCTTATCTACAGGATTTAGACAAATAGTTAACATAAACCAAATATCGATTATGTAATCGCTATAAATATTCTAGAAGATTGTAGTAAATGACATGTCTACCTTAAGGTTAATGACTCTAAGTATATATTCTACTTTCGTAGGGACATTTTTACGCTGCATATGTACAATTGAGTTGTACTTGTTGTTCGTGCTTCTTACTGCTTGTGGAATATTCCGTTCTCTCATCCGAACCAGTTAGCGGGGATGGGACGCTTCGGAATAGCTGGCTTATTGATCATTGTATTACTGAGTCTTCGTTCCGTTCGAAGATTAGGTGAATTAGTAAATTGTTCAAACGTAGCAGTTTGTTAGACATTTTGTGCAAACAACTGAATGGATTTTGATGGACGGGAAAAAATGGCTCAGACTGATTACAACTGTGTTGAAAATGAAGCTAGACCACCATGGAAAACTTGGACGTCCGTTTCGTCCTATTGTGGGACTCCTCAGTGGTGTGCGTCCACGGTCCAGCCCCGCGAGATTCGAACTCACAACCTATCGGAATCGCGCGCGAATGATTAACCTCTAGAATCACTGAGCCGACCGGCATCCAAATGCGTAAATGTCTAACTTCAACTAACCCACGAAATTATTTTGTCAATTACACAATCTCCATGTTTATATAACTATTGTATTCCCATTTTCACCACACATTTTTCTTTATTTTTTTGCAGACGAATGCGTCGTTTAGCTAATGCACAGCCCAATTGGTAGACATTTTGTTTTGTACATTGTTTTCAGTGTTAATGTAAACATTTCTTAGAAACTTTTCTAAACAATAATAATAATAATAATTTATTTGTGTCAAATGAGTGTCTTTTTTCTTGAGACAGTGAGTCATCTACAACGTAGGACCAGACACATATGTGTCGGTTCAAGTTGCCACACCTCATTATCATAACAAGATGAACACCAAATCCATGGAAATAGTTACTTCAATGGTAGTAATATATAAAAGAAAGATTGCGTATAAGGATATAATAAAGGGAGAAAGAATTAGTTCAAAGAAAGGTATAAAGTCATTCTAATCTCACGATTTAAAAGACGACAGAGAGTGTATACACCTACGCCATTGTGATCGATTCTAAGCCATGTCACCCACAGTCTCCAACCATTGGTTACGATAGTCACGCGGACCCCAACCAAGTAGTCTACATCTACCAACATGGCTCAGACTAGTAGTGACTTTATAGTCCGATGCCACGTTTTAGTTCGACCACCCAGAACTTTCTTACATTCGTCTCCAGCACTAGTCAGCATTGCGCGCTGTGGTAATCGGTGTTGAGGTATACGTAACTTGTGGTCCAACTATCTCAGTCGATGAAGATTTACAACCTCATCAATTGGTTTATCATCATTCCCTAATACCGTGCGTCTAACCTCATCATAAATAAACTTGGCAAATATGTTAGTTGACTGATTCGGAAGAGTGTTTTCACGATATTACTGATTAAAGTTTCCTATCAACAGCATTAAAAATAAAATTATACCCTGAAAGATATCGGTGATAATATTTGACTAATTGGAATCACCTTTTTAAATGGTCAATTTTAAGAGAACAAGCGTAGAGTAGTAGTAGTTCATGCTAATCAACCTGGTTTAAATGAAAGCTACACTAACTGCATCTGTCTCCTCAACCAAAAACTAGTTCGTACCGTGTTGATGTACATTTATTGCGTACGAGCGGTTTGAATACACTAAAGTGTAAAATGTGCAACCTCGAATGTTAATGTTCCATGACTTTACGATGACTACTACTAATGTTGTGTTTTCTAGGAACAAATTAATTGTGATGTAAATTGGTACTATTCTTTTTTGACCTGACACTTGTATTAACTTTGAAATCCCCAGTCTTCAAATGCCTTCAGTAACAAGTAGAATATTTGTAGAAAACTGATATAAAGATTAATGTATTTATTAAATATACAGAATATGAAAAATCACAGAAAAGTTAGGACATTCATCAGACTATGATGAGTTTTTATGCAACTTCGCCTACCGTCAACTATATTCACCGATTATCCAATTGTCTCTCACGAATATTCACAGACTCTTCAAATTTAATCACATAAGCAGTCCCTTTGTACCAGGTTGCCGTAACTGTACAAGGCTAAAAAAAGGCAATTTACTACTTAAAGTGAAATATACAATGGAGTTTTAATGTATCGTAGAACATACAATCTCTATTCATAGACAATTATTCATAATAAACATTTACAATCACCGAAATGGATAATATACCTTTTATATCTAAAAACATCTAATTCAATAGTGACTTTAAAAACTCAAATCATTCTATTGGATTTCATTAATCAGCATTGAAATCTCCTTCTACAAAACCATTTATTTAAACACATAAATATTGGTACAAAGGGGCACCAGATATATATGCGCCACACAAATCAAATGAGATTTGTGTAAGGGCTATGATACTACCCGGGTGCCTGAACCGAAGCAGGTGGTTTTCTTGGAGAACCACACCCCGAGCCTTCGACCTAAAGGTATGATCCACAAAGAAGTGGAGCATCATGAGGAGATGCAGTCCCATGGTAGCCGGTGACCAATGGTTGATTCACACGCCATTTGTTCTCTCAGTATACTGGAACCCATGTGCAACATTGGTTTGGAATGAGAGTTTTCCAACTCCCCTAGGTGGACTCGTCGTGTCCACCAACCCGGTTAAAGCACCGGACGTTCGTTTTTCATCCTCCCGATTTCGTAAACAGTAATTACACGAGAAGGCAGTGAGTAGGACTTCCCCACTCTCGACCGTATCAGAGCATTTGGGGGCGACCCATTTATCAACATAATACATTGCAAATTAGTTTCTGTAAAAACTCATTTTCTTGATTAACATTAACTGAGACTAATTTTAGTGAAACAACTTTGCAAATCATAAGTTTTAAAAAGGTTTTACACTAAGTCAAATTTCATTTTTAATCTTTATAATGTGAATGCTAATTTGATAAGCTTAATTGTTTATGCTAAACTCATAACTAAAACCAGTAGAAATGATCGTTCTAGAACAAACTGCGTTATCATAATGTTTACCAATCAACGATATAAAGTTTTTCACAGTAACTGAAAACAGTTTAGAATATTGTGCATATTGTTTCTCTCATTCTTATTAGAAGCATCACTCAGTCAGTTACAACGTAGAACTTCGTACGTACGTACATCAGTTCGAGTTGTCATACCACATTAGCACAGAGATGAAGTTATTGATTCAAATCCCATATTGGTAGAAGTAGTAAAAGAATAAGTATTATGTGAAAGATAAAGGTTTGAAGATGTTATTGAAGGAGTATAATATGGTGAAATAAATTTGTAAAGAGAAGAAGGATAGGTGCATGTGGAATTCAGAAGATTAGAATTTGGTAGAGCATAAAGAGTGGATGCACCTTCGCCATTGCAAACAATTTTGAGCCATATCATTCAAGGTCTCTAACCATCGGTTGCTATAATCTCGCGGATCAGAAGTATCACTAATGATATAGTCATGTACATTTCATAATATTCCTTCTTATTCAGACAGAGCAGTCAGCTAAAACGTATCACCAAGCACACATATGCATCGGTCCAAGTTGCCATACCTCGTTAGCACAACAAGATCAACACCGGATTCATAGTAGTTAATTTAGTGTTGGTAGTAGTATATAAATTATAGGTTGTATATAAGGGTATAGTATAGGAAGGAAGAGAGATATGAAGCAATTTTAGTCTCAAGGTTTAAGGGAAGATAAAGAGTGTATACACCTACGCCATTGTGATCGATTCTGAGCCATATCACACAGAGTCTCCAACCATTGGTTACGATGGTCACATGGAACCTAACCAAGTAGTCTACATCTGCCAACATGGGTTAGACAAGAAGTTAGTGACTTTAAGTTCTGATTCCACGTTTTGGTTTGTCCTCCCCTAACTCGCTTCCAACCATCCCCAATACTAGTCAGCATCGCGCATCATGGTAATCGATGTTCAGGCATACGTAACATGTGGCTTAACCATCTCATTCGATGAAGATTCAGGACTTCATCAACTGATTTACCATCATTTCCTAATAACCTGCATCTAACCTCACTATCACTTACCCGGTGATCCCAGCAGATGTGAACAAAGTTATCATGCTTTGTCTAAAGTATGATAACTTTGTTCAGAAAAAGTGTTATAAGAATGATCTGGATTAGAAAATATATTTTGTTGAATGGATAATTCAGATTCAACTACTTTAATGAAAAATTTAACCATTCTAGTTATTTTCTTTCAAGATGCACAAACAATCTTTTTTTTTCTTCATTCCCTACAGATGATGACGATAAGTCACTGTTATCAGTCAGCCTCTACAATTTCTGTAGTATAGTTACAAAAGTCAATATCTAAGGCATGCATTAGTGAACTAAACAATGTTGTGTTTAGAAGAATGATGAAATTTCGGTTCTATTATAGTATAAACAATTGTTTGTTTGTTGAGTCAGTCAGTCACAACGTAGAACTTCGTACGTATGTACGTACATCAGTTCGAGTATTCTATAGAGATTTTTGTAAAATTCTTTTGATTATTGTTAGCAAATGATATTGTTATATCTTGTGGCCGAGTGGATGCCTAGTTAATGTATGACGTGATAAAACCGCCAATCACAAAGCAGCGAATTATCAATTGGAACAGTGACACACGAAAACCGTACGAGCAGTCTGGAGTGTTTATCGGTCCTGCTCCTGCCTAGCCCAGCCAGCTAAGTCCAAAACACCAATAACAGCCTCTGTGGTATGAATCATTGTATCTTAAACAAACTGACCACATCGTACCAATAAAATAGAAAATAACATTTGTACAAGATTTAGTTAAATGTGGCTGTGAATAGGAGGTGCAGTAATTAATAGACTGGGTATAACTCAGGAATGATAAATTGTACAATAATAGTCGAGGGGTCAAAATAAAGCTCACAATGAAAGGAACATGAATGTGAGTAGTTTAATTATTTAGCAAATATACGATAAAAATTATATGCATAATATTGGTCCATAAATGGATCATAAAGTTACCATTTACTATTGTTATCGGGATATAACAGATATGACGGGGATAAGATGATATTATTTAGATCAATATGACAAGTGTGAACACCCGTTCATTGTAGTAATTCAAGTGAACTACATTTATTAGATGTGTCTTTCTTTACAAAAAAAGAGTGTATGTATTCCCCCTCTTTTATGATACTAATAATTGTGTTTAAGAATCATGAAATTAAATAGTTGTACTGCGTCCTATGATTGATGTGATTGTGGGTAGTTTATAATACTTCACTGAATTAGTCTTTTGTGTTCTCACATTACATTTATGAGAATTGTAATAGTTCCTTTTTCTCAATATCTAAGCAGTACGACTGAAAAATTACAGTAGTTTCTGATTGTTTATTAAAAGTAGTAAGACTGTAAAAACTTAAGAGACGATATGTGTATAACAGCGACGACTTTCCAGATATAACATTTAACTACCAAATTATAACAGTACTGTTGGGGATGTCAAATCCCCAGAACTTACTTGGTAAATGGCTTAATCTTGTAGTTTTATTTTGAAAATTTGAATTTAGCTGTTTTCGCGCCAAAAGCGCTCTTTTTACCTTCACGTCATATTTCCCACCTATAAACTACCTTAACCGCTATTGGTCCATTGTTTTTTTGTGTGTGCTATTTACCAGTGATGCTCAAGGACAAATTGTTGTTGTATAAATGCGCTTGACTTTTTCCCTTATTTGATTGCTTGTACTCGGCTGCTTACGGAATACATATATATTCCCCTACTTGCCTTGGACTTCTTCATCTAGTTAGCAGGGCCTGGGACAACAGATTAGAATAGCTTATCGTGTCATTGTGTCATTGGCTTTCGTTCGTTACCGCGGAATCGATTTAGTTTCAGGCATAACAAGTACCGACGAGGTTATACCCCAATTATAACACTAAACAATATGTAATCGACTTTTTCAATCGTTAATCTATGTTCTTATTAGCTACAATGTTTCAGTAATACTGTGGTGTGTACTGCTGATGTTAACAGTTATATAAGTAGTATGTATCATCAATCGAAAGTGAAATGCTTGATGGCAGAAGATTAAGAAGATCAAAGAAAAGAGAACGAAAACAGAGAATGAATAGTGTAGAGACGAAAAGAACAATGAAGTCTGGATATTTTGCAAATGAAGTATTCACTGTATGGATGTCACAGAAATCAAATGAGATTTGTGTGGCGCATATGTATCTGGTGTCCCTTCGCACCTTTGGTTGTCAGATTTGACTAAGATATTCTGTAATGGTTATCCCCACATATGTTCTCGTTCACTACAATACGAATTATTTTTTATATGAAAATGTTATATCCCGAAGAGAATTATGAATGGTAACTTTGGGGACTGTTTATGGACCAATGTGATATGTATATTTCCTATTGTATAATTGTTAACTGATTAAACTATTCATATTCTTGTCCCTCTTATTATGAGCTTTATTTCGACCCATAGACTAGTACTTTACGATTTACCATTCCCAAGTTATACCCAGTCTATTAATAACTGTTCCCCCCTATTCACAGTCACAATTGGCTAAATATTGTACAAATATTATTTTCTATTTCATGGTACGATGTGGTCTGTTTGGTTAGTATATAAAGCCAGTATGCTTGTGAATAATGATTCATATTGCCGAGGCTGTTACTGGTGTTCTGGACTTAGCTGACTGCGCTAGGCAGAAAACAGGACCGATAAGTACTCTAGACTGCTAGTACGGGTTTCGTCTGTCATTGGTCCGATCGTTAATTCACTGCTTTTCAATTGGCAGCATCGTTGAGTCATATATATTAATCGGCGGTACAAACCACAAGTTATAATAGAAAACAATAATAATAAATAAATTTAATAGAACTCTACAATAAATAACTTACATAACCAATACCTGACAAGAATGCTTCAACAATTCCAGCGTTAAACGCTGCAACATTCAATGGAGCAGCTACAATTTTAAATGAAACATAGTTATTAGAACGGTTTTTTGTGTGTGTGGAGATTTTAGTAATTTTATAGTTGAAATCATGAATCAATTGAAGCTAGACCACTATGCTTCAAGAGATATTTCTTGAAGTTCTAGTGAAAAGCAGTGACCAGTGGGGTTCAACCAGGTCTGTTGTGAGATAGGAACTCACTGAAGACAATGGCAGACAGTTGCTCAATTTCGTGGATTAGTTGAAGTTAGACATTAACACCGTTGAATACCAGAAGGCCCAGTGGTCTATCGGTTGAGTGAGCTGGCGCGAGACTAATAGGTCCTGGGTTCGAATTTCGCGAGGCGTGTTTGTGTATTCGCACTGCTGAGTAGTCCCACAATAAAACGAAACGACCATCCAGTGATTCCAAGTTTTCAATGATGGTCTAGCTTCAATTGACTCATGATGTCAACTATGAAATATAATTAGTTTTTATTTATTTATTTATACACATAAATATTGGTACAAGGGGGCACTAGATATATATGCGCCACACAAAACAATGAGAATGAAAAGAGAAAAAGTGGAAGATGCATATATAAAAAAATAAGAGTAATGATGAGGGAAACTGAATTGTACAACCAGAAGAACTCTTTCAGTTAAGGCAGTTATAACCATTCTTTATGAAGAAAGTAAAAGAAGGTTGCAGCAGGATCGCCACTGACTTCTATTCTGAGCCATATCTGATAACGTCTCTAGCCACTGTGTTGCATCATCTCTTGGACCCTAACCAGGAAGTCGTGAAGGACCAACAGGAACCAGCCCTTTGCAGCTTTCTGTCATACACTGACCACCGCTCCGCTTTTCCAACCAGTCCCAGAGTCGGCAAATAATGCAAGACGTGGAATTCTCTGGGACGACATTCGTAGAACGTGTCCAATCCCATAAAGTCGGTGTTTCAAGATGATCACACCGATTGAATTATCTTCTCTGTGCCCGAACACGATGCCGAACCTCTGCATTACTAACATGGTGTTGCCAATAGATGTCACTAATCCTTCAGAGATAACGATGATCGAACACAGAGAATCGTCTAACATCTTTGACTCAGAGAGGCCAAGTTTCACAAGCATACAGCAAAACTGCTCTCACCCACGCGTTGTAAATCGAAACTTTTACAACCAGATTAACATCACGAAAGCGCAAAAGATAGACCAAATTGGCATAAACCACTCTGGCTTCCATCATACGTGAATTGATCTGATCGCTCACGCCACCACGAACACTTATGCAACTACCCAGATACACGAACTTCTCGACTACTTCTATCTGCTCACTACTCAGGGTGCTGCCAGTCTTGTAGAAGTACTTTGCACTTCAAAGGTGCAAAGCACATACTGTACCTGCGGACACTGATCGCCAACTGATTAAGTGCAGATTGCATGGATTTGGGCATTATCGCACAGTAAGACAATATCATCCACATACTCAAGGTCGAGAAGTCTTCCTCCAGACAACAGATCCACACCGCCATTTCCTACATCCATCAGAGCTATTTCCAGAACGTTATCGATAGTAAAGTTGAAGAGTAATAGTGAGATTGAGCAACCATACCTAACCACACTAATTGAATGGAACAATGGAAAGAGGTGGTTCTATATCTTCACTCTGACTAAGGTGTTCGTATATAGGAATTTTAAGATGTTAATAAACTTCTCAAACACACCCTTCTTCAATAGACAATTGCGAGAACAGTCCTGTCCAACGAATCGAAGCCAGTCATGATGTGAAGGAACATTACGATTGTTGGCTTGTGATAAGACTGACGGTGTTCTTACATCGACCAGAAAGAAGAACAGTTTGCTTCTCCCGAGTCAATCCTTCTAGTGTTTTGAACAATCTATGAAGGATGATGGAAGCCGATAGATAGCACGCAATTGGAAGTAGACTACTCCCATGATAGTTGTTACAGAAAAGAAGTGAACTCCTATGGACAAGTACAGAGAACAACTAAGTGCATAATTCCAGAGTTATTCGAAATACCGTACACAGCATACACTGAGAACTTACACTTCTTTACACTATATTACTGTTAATTAATGAGTGACCTAATTATGATACATAGGATGATACTTAGAAGTGATAGTAAACCCAATATATTCTCTCCTCTCATTCCACCTAGGTCAAGACAACTTGAAGAGCACTGTTCAGAAGCCAACACACGAGTAATCAACGTTTGCAACTCATATATATATATATATATATATATAGAACTTTTAAAATGTTAATAAACTTTTCAACCCCCCACCCACCTTTCTTCAATAGACATATATTTCAGGAACTTACATGTTTTACGTTTTTCATCTTTATCTTCATAATTAAATTGTATAAAACGATTCATCACAGGTTCATGTTCAATCATATAAACTAAAGAAGGGGGAAAAAATTAAAAAAAATTTTTTTTTGTAATTTTACAAATATTTTCATCTACACCATCCCTTTCTAATTCATCAGCTTCTTTATTAAATAAATTTTTCCATAAATTAATTTTTAAAAAAATTAATGCATTATATAAACGTATATCACGTTTATTTGGTTTATCCCTTAGATACACAATATCAATAATACGTTCACCAATAAATTTGCCAAAATCTGACAATCTATAAATAGAATACAACAAAAAAAAAATAAAAAAATAAAAAATTTTTTTTTATTTTTAAAGAAAAAATCAAAAAAAAATTTTTTAAAAAGAAATCAAAATTTTATAAAATTTAAAGAAAAATTAGGATTAAAGGAATTGTTGGTATAGTTGATGATGATGAGGAGGAGGAGAAGGCGGTCTGTTTGAACATTTAAGCTACCTATTCCTGTTATCTAGATATTTCAATAAGATATTTAATTTTCGATAGTGTAATATAAGAAGATGAAGATTATCCGAACTATGTAATGATATATCATTGCAATACATTTTGAACAATCTGATCACACATCTAATATACTTGTTAAGAACATTTATATATAAAAATAAAAGATCAACTAGATTAGAAATAGGGGGAGAGATAAGAGAAGACAAGGATAATAAAGAATTAATGTGGAAAGAATTTAATGAGAACCTCATCACTCTGGATAATAAACAAATATTACCAGGATAGGTTTAAGGTAAGAACAAACTGTTTTTGAATACATAAAGGGGGGTTGAATTTTCGTATGGTTAAGGCTTCAATAAACTTTATAATACGCCTTTTTATACAACACCACAAAAGCTGAATGAAGATCAATCTTATGATCTGTTTCGATTATATATACAGCAATAGAGGATGATGGATGCTTATCATCTATTATTATTATTAATATCCTTATCTATTCTTACCCCCCCCCCATTTCCAGTCTAGTTGACCTTTTATTTTTATACATAAATGTTCTTAACAAGTATATGTGTGATCAGATTAATTCGAAATGTATTACGCTAATATATCATTACATAGTTCTGATAATCTTCGTCTTCTTATATTACACTATTGCAATTTTTTCAAAGTTGAAATCACGAGTCAACTGAAGCTAGATCACAATGGAAAACCTGGAAGAACTGGACGGCCGTTTCGTCCTATTATGGGACTCCTCAGGAGTGCGCATCCACGAACCCACTCTCACGAGATTCGAACCCAGGACCTATCAGTCTCGAACCGAAACCCTTAACCGATAGACCACTGAGCTAGCATTAACATCGTTGGTTCGCGGATGCGCACTGCTGAGGAGTCCCATAATAGGACGAAACGGCCGTGCAGTGCTTTCAGGTTTTCGATGGTGGTCTAGCTTTAACTGACTCATGATTTCAACTTTGAAAAATACTGAAATCTCCACAAATCCCCTTCTGACTATTGCAATTTATCAAAAGAGACTAATTGTTGTATATATCTAATTTTGTTTGTTTTAATAATATCATTATGGCTATTAATCGTATAATACATTCAGGTGTGTTTGTGAAAAGTGTAGAAATTTTCAGGCTCCCAAATGCCCTGGTACAGCCGAGGGTGGGGAGAGTTCGCTCTCCCTCTTCAAATGCTCTCACATTATCACGCGTATATAGCTTCTTTCAGGGAGGTCCTACTCATTGTCTTCTCGTGGCGGGGGTGTTGTTTACGAAATTGAGAGGACGAAAAGAGAATGTTCGGCGATTTAACCGGGTTGGTGGACACGGAAAGTGCACCTAGGGGAGTTGGAAAACCCTGATTTCAAATCAATGATGCACATCAGCTCCAGTACCCTTAGGGAGGAAATGAGATTTGTGTGGCGCATATGTATCTGGTGCTTCCTTGTAGCAATATTTATGTGTTGAAATAAATAAATAAACATTAGATGATGACTATTTATGTGGAGCATAGAAATCTTGGTGCCTCTTTTTACCAATGTTTATGTATTTAAATACATAGACAGATTTAGTAAGAAGCTATGTGATGTGTGCTACTGAGGTCGACAGATATAAGTAGTATGTATCATCAATCAAAAGTAACATGCCTGGCGATAGAAGGTTGTTATCGAAACGAAGGAACAACAAACTCTAAGCCAATTGCTGAATATTTTGCAAATAAAGTACTTTACAGTATAGTTCACAGATTTTACCAAGATATTCTGTTATGGTTTTCTCCACTTATGTTCTCGTTCACAACAACTGTATAGTAAGTTGGATAACATCTATCTAAATAGTATTATCGTGTAATGAACAAAACACTAGTTGGGGACAATCGAATGTATTCAAGCACAAATTACAGACTATCTCACTAAATTCTGATAACCATACAATGAACAGTTAATTTGCAAAATAACAACAAATTGTCTCAATCTTAACTGTTCCTTCTGAAAATATCAATCCATCTTCTTTAATTCCATTGTTCATGCATTTACCTACCAATTGAACTTCATTTCAGTTTTTTTCCTTATCGGTCTTCTATTGAAATACATTCTATGTTTGACCATCAACATATACTACTTATATGGATATAAGTAGACCACACTACACTAGTACTCAAGGGTTAGATGGTCACCACAAATTATATTAAACCTTCAAATATCAATACATGATCTCATTATAATTAGAATTTTCCATACATTAGTATAAATTATTCACTCACCTTTTCTGTACAAGATCCATACTAGATACATTACGCATTGAATATTTGACTAGTTCCACAAATAGATAAGCAAAGGATGCTATGTTAACCTAAGAAAAAATATAAAGAAATTAAAAACTTACCTCACCACGCAGTTTTGTTAAATTTTTTTCTAAAATTGCAGCAGAATTTTTTGGATTACCGTAATTCATTTTGAAAAATCTAAAATAAAAAAAAACAAACAGAAAAACATGGAATAAATCAATAAATACACAGTAATTATGAACAATAAGGGGGTGGGAGGATGAAAAGGTAGTTCCTCTGGGGGCTACTGCCGGTTCCAAGCCCGGGTAAAGGAGGAGGGTTGGGCATAAGGGTTAGTGACCCCATCCTGTAGGAAACCAACTCGCTAAAAAGACAATAACCAAAAAAAAAAATTATTCAAACCATTTAAACTCTGCCCTGGGAGGTGAAGGAATAATTATGACGTCTCATGATGAAAGCCGAGTTCCTTTGGAAGTCATGAGGTCGGTGCACATTCTAACAACCAGAGCAACCATTTTTTTATAGGTACATATAACGTTCGGACAATGTAGGAGACCGAAAGAGTCTACTAAATTGCTGCAGAACAGGTATAATGAACAATATTGATATTTGTCAACCACCTTCCGCGAAGTCTCTTAAGCATTCGATTAGGCCTTTCAGAGTCACTGATGTGGAAATTAGATTAACCAGACTTGAATAATATTTTATAGCTAATCGCATTCATCTACAAAATGAATTCGGCCGCGAAAGTTCACTCTTTTCGGATGAAATATGATGTATTAAACTAGGTAGTGATCAAAGTCATCTCATTAACCGATCAAAAAACTGCCAGATGCACAACATAAAAGAACGTCATCGAGACTAAAAAGCCATATGAGAAGTTTACGTGGAAACAAGAAAATAGATGGTAGTCTATTTAATCGGTTGTGGCTCCGTCCACTACTGCAGAATATACACCAGATCGTAAGAGTTGAAGACATTGATACCGACAGGACTCGAGAAAAAAACGAGTCCTAAAGTCTATAACACGATAATAGATGACAAAGTCGATATGTTACAAATATCACATTTGCCAAGAATTAAAATAGTTGACACAGTAACAGATCATAAAGGTGGTCACGAAGAAAATTGTGAGGTAGAAGTCGGTCGTTTTTAGAAGATGCTTAATCCCCTTCATTTACTAGTATTATCAAACACATACCAGGAGAGCCAGTTATATCTGTTTTACCTGCTTTTCTTTGACCCTCCACTCCTTAATTTCAGACTATGCACCCCATAAACACCTTATTAGTTCAGGAGTGCTAGGATCAAAAAGCTCTTGTTCACGCAATATCACTGGAATTTGTTAAGACATTCAGTACTATGGGATAATTGACAGTAACTGAAGAAAAAGTCTTGATTTCTTATAATTCTAGCAGTATCATTGGAACAGATCGAATGAAATAAACAGCACTCTTTCAATGAAAACAACGTCATATGCACTTGCCTTAGACATTCACACATCATTATGGAGTAAGTACTCAAAAAAACCCAACTATTTCTTCTGAGCACGTATATTTTTCAAAAAATAACAATAATCAAATGTATATACATAGTCAATTTATCACAACAATTTATGGACATATAGAATCAAGTATGAGAAAATGTCTTGTATAGATCCAAATCTGTAAATTTCAGCGCAGAACAGATTCCAGCAATGATAAGTATCATATAACCCATATAAAATGCCTATAATAGTAAGAAAAATAAAATTATCATCAGAAGGGGTTTTGTGGAGATTTCAGTATTTTCATAGTTGAAAGCGTGAGTAAATTGAAGCTAGACAACCAAGGAAGACCTGGAAGCACTGGACCGCCGTTTCGTCCTATTGTGGGACTCCTCAGTAGTTCACATCCACGATTCCGCCTCATGAGATTCGAAACCAGGACCTACCAGTCTCATGCCAGAGCACTTACCCGATAGACCACTGAGCCGGCGTCCGATGGTGTCTATGTCTAACTCCAAATAATTCACGAAGTTGAGTGATCTGGTAAGTCCCGGGTTCGAATCTCGCGGGGCGGGTTCGTGGATGCACACTGTTAACGAGTCCCACAGTAAGACGAATCGGCCGTCTAGTGGCTCTAGGTTTTCCATGGTGGTCCAGGTTCAATTGATTCATGCTTTCAACTAAGAAAAATAAGATTGGTAATAAAATGAAAACATTATATATATATATATATATATATGCTTGTACTCAAATAGCCTTTACAATAGATTGATCACTGAGTAGTAGTGACCAGGGTCATGAATATCAAGTATTTTTGAGTGTTGATAAAATCTCTACAGGAGGTCAATCGCAATCCCATAAGCTCAGTGATAATAACTGTGATGGTAAAACTGGGTGACCGAGGATCGAACCCACTAGACAGCATCAGTTCCTTCAAAATTACAGATATATATTGCCAATGAGTATCAAATAACATGAAACCTAGGTCCAGATGAGAAGGAAATATCACAAACTGGGATAAAGTGACGTTTGCATAGACTGATATAATAAGGTTTTTTCAGAAACAAAGACAAGTACTTTCAGAATTTTGTTGAAGTTCACTAGCCCCCCTTAATGATGTAAGTGTATTTATTTTTTCTTTCTCTTAGTGAACCCCTTTTCACATATGCTTGTACATAAATTTAGAGATGAAGATGATATCATTTGTCAAAATCCCTAATTTCTGATAAGTTGCCACCACCTTTTTTAATTACGACTGTTAATCCTCATCGAGAATAGGCCACTGAGTAGGATTCTCCAACCAATTCTGTCCTCCACTCTCTTTCACAGTTGTTGCTAAGTGTTACTCATCGTTTTGATATCTGTCTTCTACTTCCAGCTTAATGTCTTCTACGGCCTGGATTTTCCATGTTGCCTTCAGGGTCCTAAGTTAGAGTTTGCACGGTGATGAAGTTTCATGATTTCCGCAATGTATATTCTACCCGCTTTCAGCATCGTTTCTTAATTTTCTCTACAGCTGGAAGCTTATTTGTTCTTTCCCAATAGTAGGTTGTTGCAGGTGATACCCAGCTAACGAACATTGAGTATTGAGACTGTTGTTACATTAGCTGTCTTTACCTGTATATAGGATAGAAGAACTAGATCATCTGCGAATTCCGAATCGTCCAGCTGCATCCAGGGTGTCAATTGTATTCCGTGCTTATCCAAGATAAAGAGGTCTTCATAATCCAGTCGAACACCAGAAGAAAAAGTGGGAGTAAGCAGCCTTGTCTGACACCGGCCATTACTTGAAATGCATCTATTATCTGACCTTCGTGCAAGAACTTGCAGTGTAGTCCATCGTATGAAGTTCATATGATGTTGACGATTTTCTTAGATATACCATAATGTCGTAGAAGGTTCATATATTCACACTGTCAAACGCTTTCTCACAGCCAAGAATGTTGATGTACAGTGATGAGTTCCATTAACTAAATAATTCAACAATAATCCGAAGCATCGCAATCTGTAAGTCAAGATAAATGGTGGCCAAATTTATAAGCCATACTTAATAGCTATAAACTAGTAAAGAAAAAAACTGTCCCCAAGTGCACTCACGGACATTCCATTTGCACTACAGGTAGTACAATTTGGAAAGGGTAAATCAATTTTTCTGCATATATGTTAATATTTTGTTAAGTACGGACGCAATCTAGATGATGAGGCTTCAACCACAAGTAAAGTGGTCAGCGCCCTGGTAACGACTAGATTTAAAAGATGAGGAACACCCCAAACATTCTTGTATGATTTCTTCAGGATTTTAGTATATATAATAAACTGAACCCCGTTTCCTATGCGCTTTTTGTGAGTAATACGTAGATTTGTATAGTGACAAATGAATGTGAATCTTTGTGAAATGGTGAATAATGAGCAGTTGGTTATAATCTTTCCCCTTTCAAGACCGGAAGTTCTGCGTCGGATTCCTGCGTGCGGTATCATGGACGCACACCAGTCATTGAGGAATGCCATAGCAAAATGGAACGACCATTCAGTACTTCTAGGTTTTTAATAGTAAACAAACTAAGAACGGCTTATGAATTCATTCGCATCTATCAAATAGTGTACATTGTATGGGTAACTCATACTATGCCCCCAAACGCCCTAGTAGAGTCAAGGGTTGGGGGAGTCCTCCCTCGCTCTCCAAATTGTCTCATATGATCACGCATATACAGTCACTACCAAGGAAGTCTTACTCACTGTCTTATCGAGGCAGGCGTGTTTTTTTACGAAATTGAGAGGACGTAAAGGGAATGTTGGCAGACGCTTTAACCGGGATAGTGGATACGGAACATCTGCTTCGATTTAGACACCCGGAGAGTATTCAAGCCCTTAAAAATTTATTTATTTATTTAAACACATACATATTGGAACAAAGGGTCACCAGATATATATGCGCCACATAAATCTCATTTCATTTGTGTGAGGGCTGTGGTGCGGCCCAGACTGAAGCAGGTGGTTTTCTTAGGGGACAACACACCCCGAGCCCTTGACCTAAAGGTCTGATCCACAAGGCATTTGGATAAATGATTGATTCATACACCATTTGTTCCCTCAGGATGCTGGAGCCAGCCCATGTGCATCATTGGTTTGAAATGAGGGTTTTTCAACTCCCCTATGTGGATTATCCGTGTCCACCGACCCCGTTAAAGCGCTAAACATTCGCTTTTCATCTTCTCAATTTCTTAAACAGCAGAAGTGTCGCGAGAAGGCAGTGAGTAAGATTTTCCTGGAAGTAGCTATTCAATCCTGGCCATGTGAGACCATTTGGAGAGCGAGAGATGACTCTTCCCACTCTTAGCCGTACCAGGGCATTAGGGGGGGGGGCAAAAATATTGAATTATTTGTGAAGTGCATATGTATTTGGTACCTTTTTGCAAATAAATTACTTTATATTCAACAAATCTACTAACCAATGTTCTATCACTTCGTAACGAATGAATAAACATCAATATACTAAATGAATTTATTCTTACCATACTGGAATAATTTGGTTTAGATGGTTGAATTGAATTTTCTATTAATGATGGTAATGATGGTAAATTGAAATGTTTCTTAGAAATATTATTATTATTATTATTATAAGGGAAAACAATTGAGTCGAATGGTCCTGAATCAATAATAATACCACGCATAAAAAATTTA